ACATTTTGATGCGGTTTTTTTTTAATGTTCAACGTTCACAGTTTTTGTGTAGTGTATTTAGTATCAGCATCGCATCTAACCGAAAAGGGACCCGTCGCTATTGAAATATAAATGTCTTATAAGCTTTAGTTTACGGGTATTAAAAATATCTTAAACTAGCTGTGCCAGCGACTTCTTCCGCGTAAAATATTTCTATTTTAGCATCATTTTTTTTTGCAAACCTCCCCTTTATCTTTATAGATTTAAGCTGTTGCCCACGATATCAGTCGCTCAGTAAATACTCTAACCAATACAGAAATAACTTTTCAATTCAAACAAACGAACTCTTCAGCTTTATAATATTAGTATAGTTTAAAAAATATTTTAAAATACCTAGTTTCTTATTAAACAAGAGACAATATTTCAGACTTTATTTTTAATACTGGCTTATTATAAATTATAGTGATATTAAATTTTATACAAGGAAAAACGATTTTAAGTAACCTTTAAAAGTCATGAATCTAATCTTAGTAATTATTATTATAATTAGTTAAAAAATGATTAAAAGAATGTTATATTCGCAATAGTTGACTAGATTATTACAAAATTGGAACATCTTTAATACAATAACGACTGGAAAATTTACGACTCAGGCAGGACTTGAAACGCATAAGCGTTCCGTGCTTTTGCTCTACCAATTGAGCTACCGCATCGATTAGTGAGTACCAAGTTGAGTTGGTAGAGCAACAGCACGGAATGCTGACGATGCCGGTTCAAGCACTGCCCGAGTCGTAATTTTTCTTTCCAATATTTTTATTTTTTTATTTTATGTATTGCCGTCATGTTTAATGTGAGAAATAATAAAGTTTTGAAACATCCTTAATAAGTAAGAACACAATTCTTATATTAAGATCTAATTTAGATATTTTTACTATTTCAAATACGCGTGTATTCTTCAATTCAGATAAAATGTATGTCGTCCCCCAATTCCCGCTTAATCATAATTGGAAGTAGTGATTTGTAATATCTGTATTAACATTAATATTGGTTCATTGACTCACTTTATTATTATTGGAAACCGGAAAACTATAGTTTCAAGGTCTGACATTTTAATTAGAGAAAAGGAACGAAAAAAAAGTATTATAAACTCCAATCAATTATTTCGGTCCCGGATGTCTTTTTATATGATAGAAGAGGCAAGTATGGGGGTTTACTTTATGAAATATGAAACCCTAGCCAACAAGATGTGTTGTCGACGTATTTTCACACTTTTAATATTCTGAAATTCATAGACTGAAACTGAAAGTATTAAATTTACACCTTTGCATCTGTGACGGTATTTTGTAACTAAAATCAATTTTCGACATCTTTGGCGATATAAATAAATAATATATTAACGTCATTTAATTTACGAATATTATACATACCTTAAAAATAAAATTATACTGTTTAATAAAAACACGGATTTCAATAAAATTGGCATACACAATTATATAATTAAGGGCATTTTGACATAGTTATATATATTGAGTATCCTGGAGTTTGATTTTAACCCTTTTTTCTTTTGCAGATGAAAAAAGAACAAGTGAAAATAAGTCACATTAGCGGCAGTGCTGTTTCATTTGACAGGTATGTTTTGTACTGAATTAACTAATTAAATAACACATTTAGTATAGTGTCTCTAGATTTCTCACAAAACCGTGAGAATAAATGGTTATTTTCAGTGGTGAGAGTATTAATTTGTATCAGTAAATAAAACAAGATGTACTTTTATGAAGACCAGCTGTGGCAGCGACTTACGTGTTTGGTTTTGCTTACCTCCTGTTACCCACGACGTCGTCCGCGTCCCGCCCTTCTTGCAATTTAATTTAGAGATGTTCATTAATTAAAAAAAACTATTCATGTGTCTAAAGGTACAGACACCTGAACAGTTTCAGTAACTCATTTGTATGTAAGCGTACAGACACGTGATCGGTTCTTTAAACGAAGTATTTTTTTCTTATTTCGCAAACAAAATTGTGACCAAAAGATATAGAGGTACAGATAATATATGGGAGTATATATTTTAACTTAAAATAATCTGAAAGGACGAGAAGAACGCACCGATCCAAGACGTGGCTATTTTAAAGTGTTTTGTGTTTAATCGGTGAATTAGCATCTAAAAATACCAATTATTTAAGCGCAGTACGTGGTAATACAGCAATTTACTTGTATAAATTACATGAGTACATACACAATGTACATATTGTATGTCAAGGTAGCGGGGTTTGAATATTTTTGTTGCCTCGTCTAATTAAACGTGTAAGCGCGGTTTTACCAATCTGAATCTGAATATATATTAAGAAGCGGCTGCGAAATATCACAACATTACACACGGGCTCGTTGGTCTAATGGCAGCAATGTATGGCTAACGATCTACGGGTCGTGGGTTCGACGATCCCTGTGTCTAACATGTTTCTAAATTTACAATATACAATTTTTCTGAAACATGCTGGCCTTCGTCTGGAAATCTGGATATTGAATGGATGGTAGGAATATAGACAATCCGTCCGGGTCACGAACCGTCCACAAATAAAAAAGCCGTGAAGCTTAATCGCGTTTCGGTTTCAGTCAGTGGATTTCCGAATATCCAAAGTCAAAATAGGTCGATAGCGAATCTTGTTTAGATGCTATAGGATGGGTATATCACCTACCATCAAGTGAACCATGAAGTGAACCATGTCTGACTCATGATGCCAAGTCTGTCCTCCGCTATCATTAAAAAAAACTTACTTAGGTAAGAATAAAAATTGAGTGACGAGTAAGTAAAACAATTGTCTTTGAATTTGCTTACGTCATTACTGTGACTGGATGTTTATGGAACACATTTTTAGAGTATGGATAAAATTCAATTCAACAATGTGTTCATTAAATAAAACACTATTAACGGTTTAAAACCACAAATATATTAGTTAACAGCCGTGGTCACCTGGCGACACGTGGTAGGTGGTGGTCCATGACATGGCTGCAAAGCATAAAACATCAGGAAATTAAAATAAATCGTAAATAACTTACGTATATTTTGCATTTTAGATCGTAAAAAGGTTTTTATTTACTGATCTATGTAAATCTTATTTTATTTATATCTTTAAATATATATTTACTTTTCACTTGAGCTCACGTGTGGGTGAAGATTACTTTTCGTTAATCTTCGTTTGCTTTGTAGTTTTTATTTGTTGGAGTGGTTGCTATTACTTGAAGTTAAACTTGTCGTTTACAAAAAAACATTGTAGGTAAGTTAAAAGAGAGTAGTATTTTCGCTAGCTCTTTTAGATTTATCTGTTAATTGTTTTTCATTATATTTATTATGTGGGTAATTATTGTAACGTTTGCAATTGCGTAGTGAATTTGTGACTACAAAGCATTGCATTACGACACGTTTTATTAAAGGAAAATCATTAAAGAAAATATATAATGCTAGATGTGAAATACTGTTCGTGACAAAAATGCTATTTTATATTGAATTTTATATTAATTTATTGTCTGATTTTATATTGAAACTGGCTGTGACAGCGACTTTACCCAAAATAACTATTTACTACAAATTTGTTTATACAAACCTCCTCCACATGTTTATGAATTTAAGCTATTACCCACGACATCGGGCGCGTCCCATCGTTCTTACAAGTTAAACTTAAAAGATAAACATATATACGCGTCGCGGTCTTTTTTTTTAGTTCATTTAAAGTCAAATAATTCTTCCATACATATCTTTAACGTATCTCGCTGTATCTTAGCTTGTATGCCCCATTGCCCCATGGAAATGTTTTATTTTATAGTCTTTCTCGATAAATGCTCTAATTAACCCAAAAATAATTTTTAATTCGAACAATTTTAATTAGTTCCTGAGATAAGCGCGTTCAAACAAACAAACTCTTCAGCTTTATATATTAGTATAGATAGACAAATGCTATAAAAATCACAAATTATGAAGGGATTAAAATTGTAATAAGTGCAACGGACTGCCTAGACATTACAAATTTCATAGTATTTCTAAATATAGTATTTATAAATGTTCTAAAAATAGAAGAAGAAGACAAATTGCTCTCCTAGACAAAACCAGTAACTTATCGGTAACAATGAAAGATGTACCTACAGTTACAGTTAATTTACTGAACCACAAAAGTTTTATATTCAAAAACTCGTCTTCTTTACACTTTAGTATTTCGTTTGAAAATCACCTTGTTTGTTCGTTTTGGTCGTTTGAGCCTCACAACAGACGTCCATTTGAAAATTTGATTATTTTTCATACGTTATTCGCACAAGATGGCATTATATGAAAATTCAATGACAGGTGTGGAATCAGACAAATTATGTTTCGCGAGAGGTGCATGTATCCATAGATTGAAAAAAATCGACGATTATGTGTAGGAAACGGTAGGTCAATTGGTTACGCCGTGGATGCCGGTTCGACTACTGCCCGTGTGAAAAAAATAAAGTTTTCAACCATCCAACTTCATCAAGTACGTTCAACAACACGGCTATAAATATACATTTTACGCAGTAATTATTCTTAGATTTGATCCGGCCCACTGCGACCTTGGTTCGTATTACTTAACAGAAATCCCCATATTGTAATATACTACACTAGCTAGCGTTGCGATACTTTTGCGTAGGATCAACACTTTCACTTATTCTGAACCCTCAAACAAAGCACCAGTGTCTTCTCGGTCACCTATCCAAACGCCCGGCAAAATGGTAAGTATTATTGCTATACCTACGATTGTATAAAGTTTAATTTAATTATTTTGTCACCACCTCGCTGATAAGAACATTCTTCCGTCGTCCGATCGTCAAAAGTAAATAGCTAACACAACAATAGCACACGTCGCTTCAAACAGATTCTCATAAACATTTGCACGTCGTATTTGAGTGTTTACCTTTCGTGGTGGAAGCTTTTAGACAAATATTTGCCAAATTTATGATTTATGCAAACATTGTTTTGGATGTTTTTTTTTTAGCAAACAACGGTAATACTTCTAATGCTGATGAGCTGTCTCGCTTTCGTGGTGTCAGAGGACGCCGTCGCGTCTAAAGACCTGGAAGATGATTATGATGACATTGGAAGAAAGCATAGGAAGAAGAAGAAGCATCAGGGTAACCCATGTTATGGAAGAACCTTTGGAGAGAAATTTGGGCCACAAGATAACACGTATATATCAGCACCAGTAACTAATTATTTCTTTGGTTGTGGAGGTCTGCCTGCGCCAGTTGCACCTGTATATCCACAGTATGGATATGGTGATCAAGGACATGGTGGGCATGGACATGGCGGGCACGGTCATGGAGGACACGGTCATGGTGGCCACGGCCACGGAAGTCACGGTGGCAATATTCAAGGAGCATATCCTGGTGGTTATCCACAAAACGGATACAACGGGTTCCAGCAGTTCAATCCGGGGTTCGGCGGGGTAAACCGACCTCTCCAGAACGTAGTCTCATCAGCGGCTGCTGGCTTCGGTAACGCTGTTGCTAGTGCTTTTTCGAGACCGCGGAAAACATACAGACAGATCAACAGATTTTTCAACAATCTTTTCTGAGTGCTGTGAATGTGACTTTATTTATTATAGAGGCTACTTGACATAGATAAAATGCCTTTAAAGGCGTTTCTTTAAGTTTTACAAGAGAACGACTAGACACTCTTACTGTTTGTGTTTGTTTGTTACTCTTACGAAGCGTGGTTGTGGTTGAGCATTGCAAAGTTTTTAACATTTTTGGGCGACATTTAATTTTCAGTGTAACATTTTAGTTACACATATAGTATTGTACCTTAAATCTAAATCAAAGAATGCGAAGAGTGGAAAATTGTCTTCAACATTTCAGTTTATATTTGCCCTAAAACAGACATTTGATAAAAAAATGTATTTATTGTTAACATACAGTAATTACATAAAATGGATAAGCTAAAGAAATATTAATGAAGTCTTAAACATGCGTTAGCGTTGGGAAATTGTTGATTCTCAACACATGAGAATGTTTAAAATATTGCACATCAACGATCGCCCTATGTCTAACAATTGTAAAATATATCGTATTGTTTTTAATATGAAAAACGTTTGAACTATTTCTTCTTTTCTTATCATTCTCTTAGTATTAATTCAGTTTATCTTAGTTATTTCTAGGGTTGGGGTCCTGATAAAAAATAAATGAATCTGCAATCTTTTCAGTTATTATTATAAAGAATTTTCAACGTACAAATTAATGTTACTTATAATTTATAATTCCTAGTGCATTACTATCGTCGTCGTTGTTTTAATTTACTTTGTAATTATAAAATTACAATGGAAGTTTGAATTCCGGCTCGCCACTATTGTTTTGTAATATTTCATATTGTACAGCAATATGAAATATTAATCTACGTAGAAAATAAAACTAGAGAAATAAATGACGAAATGCCTACAGGAAAGTAGGTCGAGTTAAAGGTACTATTTAAACAGTTGAAAAAAATCTTTACAAAATGGCGTATATATTATAAATTTTAGTTACCTCCATATATTATTTAGGAAAATTGATACATAACATTACGTTACATTGTTTAGTAGGGGAAACTATGCGGGGATTACGCGGACTGATAATGTATCAATAAATAGATTTGAACAACATATTTTATAAGAAAAATAAAAGGAGTTTCTTTTAACACAATGATTTATTTAATATTTATAAATCGAATGCTGTCTCTGTCCCGCAAGCGTCATTTCAAATTTGAATGAGCGTGACACTAGACCCGTATTATCTATAGCACCACTACAATCGCCGCACTTAATTGCAAGAATCTTGAAGAATGAGTCAATAATTTCTTAATGCGGACAATTTATCTAAAACTATTGCATAAGGAGTTGGCAATAACGCCTGACCTTAAAATCGGACGCAGTCACCCGTGCCCTTAACAAAGTTTTCGTGGCCACCAAAACTAAATTTTTGGGTGATCGTTAATTGAGTTTTGTCTGCTGTACACATTAAAATGGAGCAATATTAACGGTTAGGAACGCAAAATTACGCGACTTATTGATTTAAGTCCCCTTTCCACGGTCCCAAAAAGGCAGTTGAATTATTTCTATTTAAAGAAATCACTATTAACGGGTTAAAAAGCTTATGAAATAATATATTAGCTTTTTTACGATTTATTGTAACCCAATGTTAGCAGCTAGTCTCTCCAAATACCAACTACGATGAAACACGTAGCAGATTTAACTTTGCCATTAGGGACACCTTCCATCTTTAGTCCACCCGTGACCACGAGTCTCACGAAGCATCTGAAATGTCGGACCGCTGCTAAATTAAATTGCATAAAATTAACTACACTGGCAGATCGTAAACGGAAGGAAGTAATTTCATTTGAATGTCTTTAAGTGTATAAGCAAGTCGAGTTATATACGTTTTTGTTTGAAAAAATATGACCCCGTATGACCCCAGTGAGTAAAGGGTTCGAAGCTCGGGCAAACATTAAAGGTTTTGTCGAGCAGAGAACTGAAATCTTATTAATTATCGGAAATAAATGTGATCAGTACAACAGACACAGACTTCCCCACCCAGGTGAATCGGGCATCGATGCGTAGATAGCCTATTTGGTTTTCTCACCATGATGACCTCATGATTCTTTTTTTAAATAGTTCACTTGATGGTAGGTGAAATACCGCAGCCTAACATCTAAACAAGATGCGCCGTCGACCGATTTTGCCTTTCGATATTCGGGAAGCCAAAGTGAAACCGAAATGTGATTAAACTTCCCGGCTATTTCATCAGTGGAATTCCGATATTCCTACCGCCCATTTCATATCCAGATTTTTAGAAGTGTCTCAGACAATGTCTCAGAAAAATTGAGACCCGGTGGAGATCCAACCCACGCCCGTTGATCATTAGCCGTACTTTTACACCAAACTTCTGCATTACCTTTGCTATAAAAGACAAAAACCTAATTATGCTTGTCAACTTTCAGCACTGTATCAGATGGTGTTGGTGCATTTCAATCCAGGGAACAGATTATACTAAAGGATAAGAAGCAGCTGGACTGCGAAAATGCCCAGGATGACGACAACGATGGCCACTACAAGGCAACGCATCCGACCTCGTAAGTGCTACTAGTCGAAATTCAATTTAACCTCTTAATTTTTGAGAAGAAAATCGATAATTAATTTTTGAGTTGGAGTATCTTGAATTTTATCGTGATCAGTATTGGTGCTCGGTGGACAATTCTTACCAACAAGCTCCGTGAACCCTCCAAATTTTTAAATTGGTACAAGAACAGTTAATTACAGTACATGAGCAGAGGTACATGTATCAATAGGCTGCAATATTCGTCGAAGTGTGAAGCATTAGCTCAATTGGTTAGAGTAACAGCACAGAACGATGTGGATGCCGGTTCAAGTCCTGATCAATTTTTAAAGAACATTTTATCGGTTTACAAAGAGGTTAGGCCCTCCTAAGCTCCACCTGCAACACCTGGTTCTTCGAAAGTTCCGCCACTGCCTGTGACTACTAATCTCCTGTATTTCCAGATATATGGACACAATGTTGCACCTTTTCCGAGGTAACATCGGTTCTGGTTTACTCGCAATGGGCGACGCTTTTAGAAACGGCGGGATCATATTCGCACCAATCATGACAGCTGTTCTTGGTGTCATCTGCGTACACGCACAACATATCCTGGTAAGCTACTTTAATAAAATCTTGTATACATTTAACAGGGCTGTGTATATGTTACAGGCAAAATGATTACCTGGTCATTATTAATAATGTCCTACTGCTCGTGGTCCTTGGAATAAGTTTTTGAAATAGCCTGAATTTGTCACTTGGACCGGACAGTATTATAAATTTAACAACTTTCTTGCACAGTCCTTGATTATTACATGTTTCTTTTTGTAAATTTATTTATTAAAAAAAAAAAATGATGTTATAAAATTTTTAGTTGATTGTTTTCCAACTGTACTGCTTTTCGTGAAAATTTTGTATGTTTAAAAAACACTACAAAAGCAGCTGTTAATTCTGGCTGTTTGAGAAAATAGCCGGATTAACAAAAGCACAGACAAAAAGTAAGTAACGTTGGGTTAACTAAATTTTTAAACGGTTGCCGGGAAGAAATCTCTTTATAGCGATAGGGCCGCCCTCGAGTACTAGTAAGGGTAGTTTATCTTTATAACTTGTATTATAAAGAATAAGGAAATTAGAAGTAAAATAAATTTAATAAATAAATGTTATTTCAGTTAAACTGCTCAGAGGAGATGTACCGAGAAACGAAGAGGCCGAAGCCCCCAGGTTTCGCGGACACCGTGTCCCTTGTATTCGCGCATGGGCCTGTGAAGCTGCGGTTCTTGGCGCCCACGATGCGAGCCGTCGTCAACGCATTCCTCTGCATCACTCAACTGGGATTCTGTTGTATCTACATCGTGTTTATCGCGAATAACGTCAAAATGGTAATTCATAATATCTATCTAGACATTCTATATCCTTTTAAATAAAACACTTCAACGCGATATATATTAGTTAAACTTATTTGAAAATGATTTTTAACTTCGGCCCGACGTTTCGGATGCTTTGCAGCTTTCAAATATATATCGCGTTTTAAACCGTTAAAGTGTTTTACCTCAATGCGTACTACTCGCGTGAAGTACAGACAATATATCCTTGTTCTTTTTAGTTTATTTATTTTATTTTTTCAATTATTTTGTTTTAACTGTCTTGTGTACGCCAATACTACATTTAAATAAAACGCTTGAACGGTTTAAAACGTCGGGCCGTTTAGTTTAACTAATATATATCGTTTAAAAATCGAAAATAAATTGAAAAAATGTTCGACTCGGGCAGGACTTGAACCGGCATCGTCAGCGTTCCGTGCTGTTACTCTACCAATTGAGCTACCGAGTCCTACACCTCATCGTCGAATTTTTTCAACTTATTGATTCATGCACGGAACGCTGACGATGCCGGTTCAAGTCCTGCCCGAGTCGAATATTTTTTCAATTTATTTTCGATTTTTAAATTATATAGTGCCTTCATGTGCAATAACATGTAAAAATTAATAAAGTTTTCAATCATAATATATATCGCGTTTAAAACCTTAGAAATGTTTTAGGTCAAAATAGGCCGACATCGCATCTTGTTTAGATGAAATATTTGCCTTCTATCAAGTGAACCTTTTAAGTACGAACTTGTCTCTCTTCCTCTTTCATAAAAAAGGATTAAAATAAAACGCTTTTAACGGTTTTAAACAATGCTATCGAAAGAGCACTCGAAACGGCCTATCGAAATTCAAATAAACTAAAATATAAATTACCAATTTACTCGCGTTTTAATACTTTAAAAGTGTTTTACTTAAATGTGTACAGACAATACGTAAAAAAAAATATTACGTCAAACTTACAAACAAATACTTTGTTTAATTATAATACCCACTTACTTACTACGCATATTAGTAATGCCTAATTCGCTAGACTCGAGAATGCTCCAATAAATGAAATGCGGTAGTTTAAGAAGAGGGCACAGAACAATGCCTTAAAATAAAGTCAGTAGGACAGATATTAATCTCAGAATGTTACTTTACCAGTATAGTGTGGATTTAATTTTCAGATTGCGGATCAATACGGGATAACAATCGACTTATCGATACATATGATTTTCGTGATAATCCCCGTGCTTATCTCATGTATGATAAGAAATCTCAAGTTCCTGACGCCGCTATCTATGATTGCGAATGTGATGATGGCTGTGGGTGTGGGTGTGGTGTTGTACGAGGCTGCGCAAGATCTCCCCTCGATTCAGGAGAGGACGTTCCTGGCGAGCTGGCAGCAACTGCCCTTGTATTTTGGAACGGCTATTTACGCTTTTGAGGGGATCGGATTGGTAAGTGTTAAGAATGTGGGTAGTTGTGTAAAATCCTAACAAACTTATATATGTACATAAAGGCATATTCCGTTGAGAAAATCTAATAAAAACTATGTTATTTTTTTTCAAGAAAAATTATCAGCTTCAGTCGATAAGATCGATTCGGCGTAGAGTTCGATAAATTACCCGAAAGTACAAAAGAGATCTTAACAAAACTGGTTAAGGCAAACGGCGAACACATTTCTGTGTCCGTTTCTCTGATCAGTTTTTACAGGCCAGTGGTTATACTTCTGTTGCCTGGTCTGACAAAACAATCTTTTGTTTCCCCGAGATTCGAACCAAAGATCCCCCACATATATAATCGTACAACCGTTAGTATCATTTGTTTCTCTATAACACTTCTCTCATCCCCTATAGGTTTTACCCCTAAAGAATGAAATGCGCAAACCAGAGCTGTTCCAAAAACCCTTAGGAGTTCTCAACGTGGGCATGGCTGTAGTGGGCTGCATTTTCATCTCCATGGGCTTCTTGGGATACCTAAAATGGGGGGAGGATGTTGCTGGTAGTATGACACTCAACTTACCCAGGGGGCAAATGTAAGTTTTCATCAGTAATTGCTATATCTTCAGATTGGTTACCTGGATAATTAATGAGTTGGGGAATATCGAAATTGCGTCTGGGTCATAAACCACCGTCCACAGGTCGTGTTTTGATTTCAGTCTGTGGATTTCCAAATATACAGAGCCAAAATAGGTCGACGCTCACCCTGCTCAGGTGTTAGATGGCTGGAGTATTTCACCTCTCATCAAGTGAACCAAATGCTTGTCTGTCATCTTCTTTATTAAAAAATATATACAAATTGAAACGAAAACTTTAAAAAATAAAGATATACATTAATAGTTTAGTGAGTGATCATCACTGTTGGTCCTGGTTTTTTTTTCTGTTTACTTTGAATTAGACTTAACACACACGTATACATCAGTCAACACATACACATCAACACACATACCCTTGCACAGGCATCATTTACTTAAAAGGGTTTCCAGATCAAAAACTACTTTGATGTACATAATCTGTTAACTGAATGAATACTTTTAACGGCTTAAAACCAAAAGTGTACTTCAAATACTTGAGTAAATACAAACAGTTATATTGATTGAGGATCGTTTCTATTTTAGATTAAGTTCCGTGGTGCAGGCGCTGATAGCCCTGGCGATGTTGTTCACGTACCCTCTTCAATTCTATGTACCGATGTCGATCACTTGGCCCGGTCTGCGCAAGCGCTTCGGACCCAAGGCTTTGGTCGCCAAGGAACTTGGCTACAGAGCTATCATGGTTATGCTAACATGTGAGTAATACCCTTCATAGTATAAGATTTCATATTTCTAAGATGAAAAGCTGCGCCAGCGATTTGATCCGCGTAGAATAGTTATTTTGGCCACCAAAATTTGTTAATGCAAACCTCTTCATCTTCCTAAATTAGGTCGATCGCACTCTCTCGTTTTTGCAAATTAATCTTAGAAGTCCCAAATACTTTTTTAAATCATTTAAAGAGGTCACACGTAACCAAAACCCTTAAAGATGAATATTTTCCCCGATTTTTCTCTCTTGCATTTCCCTCTGTTTCTCGGCTCCTAGTAGTCACAGCGTTGATTTTATAGCCTTAAGCCATCTTCGATAATTACTCTAGCCATTTGGAATATAATTTTTCAATTTGAACCAGTAGTTTCTGAGATTAACGCGTTCAAACAAACTTTACAGCTCTGTATCCTCGTTTTGTTAAGCTAATTTATCATTCTCTGTTCCAGTCGTTCTAGCTCAGTCAATACCAGAATTAGGGCTGTTCATATCGATCGTGGGCGCCGTAAGCAGTACGACATTGGCTCTGATGTTCCCGCCAATAATCCAACTGGTCCACGAGGGCCACAGGAACCGTCTAACCAAATACATCGTCATCAAAGACTGTCTCATTTTGCTGCTCGGCGCGCTGGTCTTCACCACGGGAACATATGAAAGTCTCTCCGCTATCATTAAGTTCTTCAGAAAAGAATCATAAGGTCTAAGGTTGTCAAGTGTGGCGTTAGTAACGCGGGGTGTCCTAATATTAGTTAAATTATTACAGCTATAGTAAGTACAACGAGACGAGATAAACAATGTACAAACACGAACTTATTCAATACTTGCCGTGCCGGCGACTTCGTCCGCGTGGAATAGATAACTATTCGGGCATACAAATTTATTTCTACAAAGCTCGTCTTTAAAAATGATAGCTTTTATCCACGACGTCGTTTTCCGTCTTACAAGTTAATCTTAAAAGATAGACGATCGAGAACATTTTTTAAAGATTTTTTTGGTTCTTGAACTGTTTTCGCAGCGCACGCAACGAAAGCCAACAAAAAAAAAAATTCCCGTCTTGTTTTCCACACCGATGTTTTTTCGCTCCTATCGATCGCAGGGTGATGTTATATAGCCTAAAGCCGTTAAACTATACGACACAAAAAATTATTCGAACCAGTAGTTATTGAGTTTAGCGCGTTCAAACAAACATAATATAATCAAACTTCAACTTCATAATATTAGTATAGAATAGCAATAGTTTTTGGATTCCAGATGATTTTATTCAGTCCTTAGTATGTCAGAGATGATTGTTTTGTGGACAAATGGAAAATGTTGACGTCAACAAAGTTCCAAGTTCCACGAAACAATGCAATGATAGCTGGACTAAGCAATCTCAGTAACTGTCTGTTTGTTTACATCGTTTATCCCGTGTCGTCGGCCATACTTTTATCCCAATGACAACTCTAGACATTCAATATTTCCATACTTACTTCCTACTAATTTACGAATATAATTAAATTAAATATAATTTATGCAGAGCGCATTTTAAATAAGTATTATTACGATACACTCTAACTTAAGAAATCTGTGCATTTAAAGGAATCACTATTAACAGTTTAAAACGCGAAATAAACTCCGTCGAGCCGTAGTTATAAGTTAACTAATATATTTCGAGTTTTTGACCGTTAAAATGTTTCGTTTAAATGTGTACTCGCGTAAATATATCTGGTCGAGAAAATGTCATTTAGTTTTGCTAAAATAGTATTTTAATGCAGCCATCTATATTTATTAAGAGTGAAGATAAAATTGAGTTAAGAATAATTTGAATACAATTATATGTATTCGAATGTGTGAAAACTAGAATTATGGTGCTTTTATTACTGTAGCGTTATTATATAACTAGTTAGTCATTTAGCTCAAAAGCATAATTTGTTCCTTCATAATTGCATCGTCAATGTTGAACAGATAATTCAATCTTACTCAACAGGTAATTCAATGCAATTAGGAAAATAATAGTAGATTTTAAGATTCTAAGGGTAAAGTGTTGAGATGTCAAAATCAATGTATTTGTAGGTCCAAAGATTTTACGATGCGAATTTATGATAGTTTGTAATTATAATGTTTAAATAAAACACTTTAACGGTTTAAAACGGAAGGAGTGTTCCCGTGACCACCCGTGGCTGATGCAAAGCATCCGAAACGTCGGGCCGAAGTTAAAAATAATTTTCAAATAAGTCTAACTAATATATCGCGTTTTAAACCGTTAAAGTATTTTATTTAGATGTGTAGTACTCGCGTAAAGTATAGACAGTATTTAGTTTTAATGTTCTTATACAAGTGTGCTTTATGGAATAAATTATTTCCAAAGCAACGTTTCGCCGGTTTTAAAAAAGTCCAGAAGATTCGTCTACCTTACCTGTTATTTTTCACAAGTCATTCATAAAACAAAGACGATTTTCTTTGGCATTATGTTTTTGCACATAAAAATAATCGGTTGACACTTAAATAAAACAGACAATCTTTTGTCAATCTGCAAACACTTGTACAAACAGTCATTTCGATACAATAACTTCTATACCACATACAAGATGTAAAATTAGGTCCCTGATAAAAATCACATAAAGGGTGAGAAATAGTGATATCGACTAGTATTAATATTATTAAGTTATTAGCATAATATCTGGACCTTTAATCGCGTTCCGGTTTCAGTCTGTGCAATTCCCAATGTAAGCCTAAATAGGTAGACAGCACACCGTGTAAATGCTATACGGCTGGGTTATTTCACCAAGTCTGTCGTGTACCATAAAAATATATATTCCGATTCTAGAAAAACTTTAGATACAATGCGGTCTGTTGCATACACGTTTGAGCACGCGAAGACAGTTGTGTACGTAATGTTAATTTATTTAAGGTTTTTAATGATATCCAATTCAGTATAAGCTGTTTGTCAATAAAACAATTGAACAAGATCAACGGTTCATTTTATTTATTACTAGCTGTTGCAGCGACTTCGTCCGCTAAGAATATTTATGTTGGGCATTCGAATTCGTTTTTGCAAATGCCTTTATCTTTATAAACTTCCCGCCGTTCTTGCAAGTTAATCTTAAAAGATAGATATATAGCGTCGTGGACTTTTCCATTTTTTCATACATATTTTTTTTAATATCTTGAACTGTTTTGCAGCGTACGTCTCGGAAACGCATATGATGAATAAGTTTCCTGTTTTTTTTTCAAATTTCTCACTGTATCTTGGCTTGTATAAGTAACAGTGCGATGTTATATAGCCTATGGCCTTCCTCGATAAATGATCTACATAAAAATATGATTTTTATTCGAACCTGTAGTTTCTGAGATCAGCGCGTTCAAACAAACATACAAACTCTTCAGCTTTGTATATAGATATAGATTGAAGTTACCTAAATTCCCTTTTCTAATTTATAAACAATAGCGATAGTGTGTAAAAATAAGAAACGAACATATATTATTTTATTTTATTATCATCAATATCATTGTTAAAATTACTCCATCATGGAACAGTATTATAATCAAATTATCCATAATAAAAATAAAGACTTAAACACTAATAACACCAACGCTACAATAATTATCAATCATCATATATGTCATAATTACAATCCTTTACACGTTACTAATTAACATATAAACAGCACAAGACATACACTTATATACAAATATTAACAGTTAAAACATTCGTTTCCGACAAAGTTCAACTTTTGCGATAGAAAGACCGTGTTATATATGTATAGAACTTTACTACATATTATATATGTTACTTCTTCACCAGATTAAAATGAACAATCCTATTTAGCTCACTCACAACATACAATTGACCAATGACTTTACGAGTAAACAAAAATCACTTAGTAAAATGTTTCTCAAACACCTAAAACATTTAGTGCAATAAAGACTTAATTTTGTTATAGACCCTTACGGTGTCCCGAGCTTCTAAGTTTTAAAGTTACTAAACTAATTAGAGTAAACTGCTGAAAGAAAATAGTTATTTGCAAGAAATATTACCTGTTTTTAGTTATTTGAACTCCATCGACGACGGCAACACAGGTGTTAAACACGGGGGACTGTGGCTTAGTTCCTGTAGATTCATGCCAAGTACGAAAAAGATTTACTTAGCCCCATAAGCTTTCTAACAAGCCGCTGTCAGTCGTTTATAAAAAGGCTGCATCGCAAAAGTTATCCAATCAAGTAAAATTATCAAGTTGAATAAACGAATTTGAACTTTCGTACTCCAGAAATATTGCATGACACACATATAAATAAATTATTCATCAGACCAAAGGCCACCCAGACCCAGATTAGATTCTTCATTTGATAAGAAAACCAGTGTTAGTGTGTAAATGGTGTCTGGGTTTGTCCGTCCGTTTAAAGAATTTCTGCAGAATTTATCCGGCCTTATGGCCTTAGTCAATATATATAATACATTATTTTAATATTGCAGTTTGTAAGACGTGTAATAATGAACAAGGCGTGAAATACTTTTTGTAAACGAAAGAACTTTAAAGCACAAAACTTAGAACGTTTAAGTTATTATTAGAAATTACTTTAAATTAATCTACTACTTAACCCTTCACTTGTTAATCAAATCTGCTTTCACACAGTTTATTGTTATTTTAACTCACAGACAACTCAATCCTTCGCCAGAGCGTATTGTTGTTCTGGTGCTCAACGCCTAATAGTTTATATTGCCTTGTCATTGTACAGTCCGTTTATACTTTAACAGTTTTCCCGGGATGTCACAAAACTAAGAATCAACTTTACTTCAGTCTCCTAAGTTGTTCAACCGGTAACAGAACCTCCTGTTCTGCTGAGACGTCTCTCTAGCGCCCTCTATGCCACCTATCAAGTTCGTTGTCGAGGTCAAAGCTCTTCTTCTCGCGCTGTACATCTATTTTAAGTAGCAACGGAAGAGCATATTCGTGTTAACCGCTTCGTTCTCCTGTTCTAGGAGGCAGATCATGTCGCGCAGGTTGATTCGCTTGAGGCGGGTCCTAAGCGCCAGTTGGCTGCGTCCAGCCTGAAACAGAAGTTTATTGCAAAAAAATCTATGTCCATTATACTTCATCACGCTCAGACTAGCATGTTAGCAAGGTTCACTTAATAAAATAACGAAGCCTTATTATATCTTGATAAGATGCGCTATCGATAGGCTTTAGATATTGGCCAAATTCACAGACTGATATCGCCTATGTAACTTCACAGTAGTTCATCTGACGATGGTGATACATTATTTCTATAGCCCATTTATTCTTGAGATTACCAACATGTTTCAGAAAATTTATTAGAAAGATATAAGATCCTGTGGGGATCGAATCCAAGACCTGTTGATTATGATGAGTGTAATGGTAGCATCGTGTTACTACATTGCTACCATTACACTTATGAGCCTGTTAGATTTGCGGTGTTTAACTTAAATCTGACTTATCGATCTCCATTTCCGTTTCAGATACATTTTTTTTTTCAATATTTCACTTACAAAAGTATTTCCCGGTGTGTTCGATACCGTTTCCGCTGGTCCTTCGAGCCGCGCTTTCTTGCGAGGTCCAATCGCCTGCAGCGCCGTCAAATTCGCCTCGCGTTGACGCATTTCTTCCAATTCAGCGCGTTGCATCTCTTTCGCCTGTAATTGTTTATAATTCCAATATCATAATAATTATATTTCATGTCCAAAATACCAAATACCAACAATGATTGGGCTTGCAACCCTGCACCTTTGCTTTCAACTTGGCCTGTTCGGGGTCTTCGTTCTTGGAGCGCGACTTGGCTGCCCTCAACAGGATTTCCCTTTCGGAGTCTTCACGCCGTTTCCTGTCTACGCGATCCAATTCTTCGAGAAACTTCAGCTGGCCTTTGAAGTCTTGCATTGCTTCAAAACGGGCGTCACCCTGCACATAGCAAATTGCATAGAAACAGATTGATACTTTCAAATATAGACAAAATTGAACTTTTAAAGTTTCAGTACGATATCAAATAACCTAAAAAGATGATATTTGCGTACATATATCATCTTTTTAGGTTATTTAATATTTTCCCAATTTATTAAAATAAAAAGAAATATCATACAACCTCTAACACTATAAAATAGTCTTAATTTTTGCAACACCACTGCACTATTATTTAAATACACACAAAAATGGTAAAGATAAGTGTGTATGTTAAAACTCAAGCTATTTTTATCACTAAGCAATTTTTTCATTCGTGGAAAGCGATAATAGTCTTCTTGTGGAATGTGTGTCCCAGGACCTGCTGAGATGCAAATAATGTTGATCTTCGGTGGCAATGTTGAAGAAATATCCTTAAGAGCTCTTCTTTGTATGGCTTATTATGCAGATAAGCTTCATTCAGTCTTCCCTCGCAGTTCAGTCTCTTTAGCGGTAGCACTCTTGTCCGTAGTCTTGATACCACCTTTATATTTTCATTGTATCACCTCAGCAACTGTGCTTTCGTGCGTGCGTAGAAACCGTAACATCTTCTCTCTTCTTCGCCGCTGTACGATGAAAACATTTATTTGCTTTAAAATCGCGAAGACGATTTCAAAAAACTTTTTAATTATGATATTATATTACTTCTATGATTTATCGCTACAGGCTGTTGTATTATTGGTTGGAGCATTGTCAATAGCAAATAATTAATCTGTGTGATTATTATGTGGCACACAATAATTCTAATCTATCTTCATCAGGACTCGGTAGTTCCATTGGCAGAGCGACAGCACGGAACGCTGACGATGCCGGTTCAAGTCTTGTCCGAGTCGAAAAATATTTTCGATTAAAAAAAACTGTTTTGTCTTTATCTTTGACTATTTCGTATGTTGGCCTGGGGCCACCAATACTAAACGGACGTTTTGGTCTTCGGCCTCGTCTTGAGATGCTGGACGAATGATGTTTTCAGACATCTTGGAATTGAAAAAAATTACATTTATTAAACTATACAAAAAACAGATGAATAGCTTACCTTAATGAGTAGATCGCCTCTCTGCTGCGCAATGACAGCCAATTTTTCCACCATTGTCTTGAGGCGTTCGTGAACGGCATGACAAATCAAACTGGCCACATCCATAGAGGCGTCTTCAAGGCCGTGCTTGTTGGTTATCGCTTTAATCCGACTCTGCATAACGCCCATTGGTACTAGAAACTCGTCCTTGATGGATCTAAGTTTATATTTGTTTATTAACATCTTTCTGGGTTTGAATAAGAATAGCCAATTCAAAGATATCTTGTGAATTGTGATAAAGACAAATTGGCTGTTTGACTGATTATAAAAATGTACTTTATATCATTTGGACATTGACATTTTTATTCACATACTGTTTTACTACTTCTGAATTTATACTTAATACTGATGACAGTAATTGTCGCTATATTTTTCGCATTGTCAAATAGCCCGTTGCGTTGTAATTCGGGTGGATGATAAAACGGAACATGCTATTTACCGGATTTGTGTTCCAATTAGCTCTGTAGATCCCAATATCCTCTGAGTTTCTTCAGCCAGATTAACACCACCCATAGCGGCAACATCGTTAATGTCGTCATCGCCTGTCATCTTGTCATCGCCAAACGGCTGAGTGAATTGGAGAGTGGACTTCTTCTCTCTCTCCTTCAACAGGGACCTGCCAGGGGTGAGTACAGTGGACAGAGCCGCGGAAGGGTTCCCCGGCCTCGAGAAGTTAGCTTTGCTGTTCACCGTCATAGTTTTACCGACTTTGGACACGTTGGTTTTCGTGCTGAGCGGAATGTTTTGCAATACAGCGATGGAACTTCCCGGTTTCGCGGGCGTCTTTTGCTGAAACGTGACATTAAAATTATTAATGTAATCAGGACAAGAGATTTAAGTACAATCAAAGTTAAAATAACTTGAAATCGTTTTAAACTACCGATTAACTAAGTTAAACAATAATAAAATTGATTCCACTTTATTAGACAGAGTCCCTGTCACTTCTTCCCCATTGTTAATCTTAATTACTAGATAAATAATTGCAATAAAAAGGTATTAAAAACTAATATATAAGATATCATTACTGAATAATGGACAACATTTTAGGCTATTATATTCTTAGGATCAGGAATATACGAACATGCAATAATGCAATAATGTATAAAAATCTATATACGATTAACCGCAAATAAAAGGACAACATATAACTTTTATGAAAAATAAATGGTCATTGTTACCCAAGGTAATTATAATTTTAAGTTTTTCTACCTCGTTACTCCAAACCTGCTAAAGATACCCTACATATTTCACATCTACACTTTTTTACATTTTATACCAATCCAAAAAGTAAAAGAAGCAATCAACATCCAATCACTAAAATACTAATTGTCTTCATTCTTAGAAAATCTATTTTACAGACATAGGGAAACATCTACATATAAGCTAAATAAAAAATAAAATGCGCCATCAAAAATTGGACTTGACCATACTCCATAAACATTCAACAGTACCCTCGTACGCTTCGACAATGTTTTGGATAAAACTTTTTATAAATACCAACAGTGTTACATCGAGACGCGACTCATATTGGAGTCTGTCTTAATAAATACGAGTTGAAGTAAAAATGTATTAGTTTCTCCCGTCCACCGTAAGAGTGTGCGATCTATTTACCTGTTTAATCGTCTTTAATTGATTGGCGGGATATTTTAACCTATCCTTTCAAAAATGATGAAGGGAAATTTCAACTCCGCGCTTTGACAAAAGTATGTCTACGTCTTGCCAAGTGGGTTCGCAACGCACGAGGGTATGGTGACCAACCTGCGTCTGCATGGGCATTACGCTAAGTTTCGGCGAGGGCGGGCGAGCCAAGGTCATCACGGGCGGCTGAAGCGTCGTTAGAGTCGGGGCTGAACCCTCCTCATCCTCAGGCTGCCACGACGAGGGCACAAAGTAAATAGATATGGAAGGTCAACGCACACTAGGGTAGCTACTATCTATACTTTATCACGAAACGGATATTATACCAGATTTTATAGCAGATCGCAGTGAGCGGGGGTGATATTTAGGATATCCTATATAAGACCTTATATATCTATGTATTTTGTGATTATGGATATTTCACTTATGAGCAATAGCATACGCGCTTACGCATCTAAATTTAAATGGAGGCTTCTCAATATTGACAAGATGAAAATTTAAATCGAGAAACGTCCGTTGAGTTCACTATGTGAATCATGCGCACTTATGGTTGACGGCGTTGTCGAGTTGTCCCTTAACGTTTTACACGATTTCGGTTAGATCATTGTTATGTCCGGTTTTCGGCATACCACTAAGTGGAGGTGGAAATCGTCACTCCATAGTGATAGATATGACGGATGACTGTTGTACTCTTGTTAGTTTAAAACCCTCGTACTATCAAAAGAAAATATAATAAATTGTAGGTAGTGGTTATGAAAATTCAGACGTACTTGGGACATTTGTAAAAGATTGTCATATTAAAAAATATACGCTTTGGTTATTTTATTCAGTTTAATAGAAAAGTACCTCCGTTTGATTGCGATTGTCGTGTTGTTCCGTATACAACAGTAAAACACTTTGTTTAAGCGTAGATCCATACTATAAAAATTAGAAATAATTATGGGAAACATGGCACTCTGTTTGAGGGAGTGCATATGTATAATGATCTGCCTAGGAGCGTCAAGGGTGGGTTTTAACTTTGTTTAGAAAGAAATTAATAAGGCACATCTTAAATTGTAACCCTCTTTCATCCTAGCATTATATACAAGAGCCTGAGGAACACCGAAATTATATATAAGCCAATTGGTTCTATTTCAATTTTACAAATTCTTATGAGTTGGTAAATATCTTTAAACCTTATTATTTTTTATAATATAAACTTACCAGCTGAAGGTTTGTAGTAGCGACGACTGGTTGGGGTTGAGCAGGCGGCGGCAGAGAAGGAATAGAGGAGAAAGCTACGTGCGGAGACGGCGGGTTTATTCCCTCTATAACCAGTTCCTTGGTGCACATCGATTGACGAAGGAGAGGTAAGCTTTTCTATAAAGAAAAACATTATGTCTAATATGTACGACTTATAAATTGAATCTAGTTTATATACTGTCTGTAGTTTACACGAGTAGTACACATTTAAGTAAAAACACTAACGGTTTAATACGCGATAAAATTATTGACTACGGCCCGGCGTTTCGGATGCCTTGCAGCAGCCGTGGTCACGGGGAGTTTTGTCGTTATAGTGTGTAAGAAAGTGTTTTATTTGAATAAGTCGAGTTTACTTAACTGGTATTATATATAATATATTAATATAAGGAACCCTCTTAGGTGTCAACAAATTTCACTAACTAACACTACAACTAACTTTGCATACAAACTTATAAAGTGTTCTAAATAAAATTTCTACAACACTCTCTCTTTACTTACGAAAAAATAAGTATATTACACTTTGAATAAAAAATATAAACTAAAAATTAGTAGTAGTTATCTTCAAGTTAACGCGAAATTACGATGTTTTGTTGAATCTTTCGGCTTATCTCCAAGTCTATCAGCTTGTTTAATTGATCAAATCGTTACATTAGTACGAGAAAACCGTTTCATATGAACCTTTAGGAAACCGATAAGACAAGGTTGGGGACTCGCGTTCAGCAGCCTCTCGAGCCTATCACAAAACTCTTCAGGCTCCACTTGCGCGTCAATCAGCTCCTGGATTAGATTCCTCACGTTCCTTTCCACCGACTTCGGCTCTTTGCTTGAAAGGTCCAGGAGGTTGGCCAGAAAATTCCTACATTTCTCCTTCGTATTGTCCAAAGGCTTCTATATAATAAAGAGAAGGGGACTATTTAAAGTTAGTAATTACAATTAAAACTTGGATTTCTTAATTGAGATAGTTCAGGTAGCAGACCAGTTAGATAATAACAGAAGTAGGTAGGTTAGGTCCGTCAAGTTGTTTCAGAGATTCCTAGATTCTATTCCTATATTCCTAATTCTAATTATATCCTAACTCTCGAGGTTTCGTGGTGTAAAACAGAAAAATCCCGTGTGTCATGGGACGAATACATTTTTGTCCCTGATCGGTTTTATTTACAGGCAAGATCTGTTGATCAGATCTGTGATCTGCCTAACCGAAACAATCTGTGTCCCCGAGATGGAACCTGCGCTTAAAGCAATGCTAGGCAAAACTTTAAATGATTTAGGCACAGAAGGAAAAATCAATACCTGGGTTGGAACAACGGGTGGCTGGGCAACAGGCGCGGGCGCACTGCTCTGGACTGTGGTCACGGATGAGACGGCCACCGGGGTGGCCACGGGTCCAGTCGGCATCGCGCCCATCTGCGAAGGCACCGCCACACTCGTCGATACGGTCACGACACCGGGGTGCTAACCAAAACGACAATCATGAAATAACGAACGCTCATCACAGTAGCCCACTAACACCCCCAAAGACATCACACCATTAAGATCAACGTCTAACAACACACTTCTGTAATTCTCAGTCCACCAGAATGGGCTAAAATAAATTTCTAGGAGTCTCAACAAATACAACATGCAAGATCACTTCTAATTTTTGTGTAAAATCTTTATAAAGACTAAATAAGATTTAATGTTATTTTACCAAGAGCCTACTAGTATTTTTTTTATTGAACACATCTTGTTGTTTTAATAAAATATTCAGGATTCTGTCATGATATATTTGTTGCTTCGATATAGCTAGTAGAAGTTAATAGATATATATTGTATCTTCTCAATCCAAAGAGTCGGTATCTACAAACAATTAAAACAATTATTTGACTCTAAACAAATATTAAGATGATGACTATGGATGTCCGTAATTATATTAATTGATAGATTAGTTAATCGAATGAAGGAAATAATTAAGATATGGTGTAAATTTAATGAACTCAACATGTAATATCTTTTTTGAGAGTTACAAAACCTAACTAAACAGACAAACAGTAACAGTATCAAAATACTACCAGAAGAGATTTGTAACTAGCAATTATACGGTTACATTATTGCCTATATGCAACAGCAAGATTCTGTAGCATACAATTTTGCGACATGTATGTGGATGGTGGGAGTTAGTTTTATTTTATCTTAATATTCATCATTCTCTAAATAGACAAAATAATGAGGAGATAGACCTTTACAGATTACAGATGACGAGTTTATCTTTATGTATTGAAAAACATTATCTACAAATAAGCAATACACAGTACTAAAACCTTTTAAATAAAACACTTTAACGGTTTAAAACGCGATATATTAGTTAAACTTATTTGAAAATGATTTTTAACTTCGGCCCGACGTTTCGGATGCTTTGCAGCAGCCGAGGTCACGGGGAGACTGCTGCTGAAAAGCATCCGAAACGTCGGGCCGAAGTTAAAAATCATTTTCAAATAAGTTTAACTAATATATCGCGTTTTAAACCGTTAAAGTGTTTTATTTAAATGTGTACTACTCGCGTAAACTATAGACAGTGGTACTAAAACCTCATAACTATTTAACCACCTATAAACATTGCTGGAGAAAACAACTACTCAAAGCAGTTACTTACAATTTTAATATTAGATGTTCTTGAGACGTCATGTGAAGTATTTTATTACCATGCTTTAACCATATAGACAACATAACTCTTTTAATGTACTATTATTATTTTCATTTAATCATTGTACTCTCAAAATAAAGTAATAATATTAAATAGTCCCTATAACACATAATATTGCTTTCTGCTTCAGCCGATTCAAACAAATATTAAGACTAAAAGCATTTCAATAAGTTTAAAGCGTTCAAAAGCAACAATGTAGCCAGAATAGTACAGATTCGTAGCAGAATATTTAAACATAGTAAAGTATTATTCTCACTACAGCTGTGCCTAAAGCTAGGAAAAGAACAGCACAAAAGCTTAGCTAATTAATGAAGTCATATACCCTAGTAAGATATCAAATATGCCCGCCGTAGATAACACATATAATTCCCAAACATGTCATTACAAGCACAATACTCTCCTGTTTTCGTCAGCCCTGGATGCCTTCACTAAAACTACTATTACCAGGAGCTTATTAGAAAATGATATCAAAACCTCCATGCACCTTACCTGGTTAATTTATTACCTCACATGCACCTCAACCAAAACATGCATGACAATGCATTTATAAAATCAACAGGCATGGAGCTTGGAAAGTGAACAGGATGTTTATCCAACATCAGAGCGCCGATGAATTGTCCTACTTACAGCCGGCACGGTCGATAGCCGGAGGGTCTGTGGCTGGGGCGCCGTTAGTGTACTGGCAGCAGGCGCCGGACCAACCCTCAACAGCTGATACTGACCGTTCTCTGTTTTTAACAACAAATGACCCTGCTGCCCCTGTTGTAGACTTTGAAGTGTTTGCAGCGTTATCTAAAAATGAACGCTCGTTTCAATTTCGATTGTGACTCGGCGCAGTTGATGTTTTGAAAACGAGATGATAAAGCAGGTCATTTGTTAGATACACATCAAAACAGACCGAGGTAGCTAGCTCGATTGCCACACCATTGTTGAAAGACATGTCACTAACAAAGTCTTTGTGGTAAATCTGTGTTGCCCCTTTTGACAACTCGTGCAGATTCACCATAAATCCTCTGTTAGTAGTGTTAGATATGATGGAAAAACATATGGACTATTATTTCTTCTGTATAATATCATGACATTAGGAGGATTTTGGTAAGCAAAGAGACATCAAGAGGCTTGCAACATCGAACTTTCCTTAATTCAATTAATTCATTACAATTTTACCTGCTTGTATTATTTTGTCAGACGTCAATTCAGTACACAGGACAAATTAAGCATACAACATGCTTTAAAGTAGTACAGATTATGATAAGACACAGTAAGCATTGTAGAGAAAATAAAGACATAAGAAGCTATATTTCTTAACATAATAATGTGTTAAATCTCTTTTGCCCTATTGCCTATATTTATTGTAAACATTCTATTGTAAATAGTAAAAATAATTCCATGACTTAAAAATATAATTTACTTGAATTCTATTTGTTAATACCTATTTTTTTTTTTTTACAAAAAATCTTGTATACTCAGTTGCAATGAATTTGTAGAAAATGTAAACAAATATTTGGACATTGCCTAGATTTCCATAAAAATATGCATGATTATCATCCCATAAAACAATATTCACTGGCAACCACTATTAAACTACACAATTCTGATTTTCACATTATTTCTCTGGTTTTACACTTTCTAGAGTTTCAAACTTTGAAGTAAAATAATGTCTCAAAACCAGTTTTCATAGTCAATTTCCTTTCATATGCTTTAAAAAACAGTTTTACGGTAAAATACTAAATCATGAAATTCTAAAATAATTTTAAAACCAAATTTCAAGTCAAACTTCCTTACATCTGAAACATTTGTACGACTTTATGAAATTTCATAAAAAGCAATTATTTAACATAATCGCCAAGAAATCCTTCTGCTAAAAATGGGGTCAATAACCTTATCATTTACCTTTTCTAGAATTTCATTTAGAACAGCATATATAAAAATCAAGTTACTGATAAAAGTTACATGGTGTCTTTCAGATGCATAGATAGAGTAGTTGAAACAATATAAACGGTTTAACAGCTCCACCTGAAATTCTCATCAATTTGATATTGACATTTCTATATTTCTACGGTATAAATATCATAGTACATCCTATTAATCATAAACAAAGGACCCATAAAAGGCTACATAATAACACATTTACTTATGTATAGTATAAATACCTATTAACGGTGGGTAGAAAAAGATTATTTTCCATAGGACAGTAGATGTAATTTCTTCTTGGAAACATTATTCACACAATTAGACATGCAGACAACTATAGAATAGATGAATGTGTGATGAGTGAACTGATATGCCATTAAAGCTTTAGTTTCCCCAAGGCATTGATTAACAGTAGTATTTGCGCATAGTTATTTATGTAAAAGCAATTACTATATACAAATTGTGCTTACATTGTAGCTGGTAATATTATCCAGCCTTAAACAATGTTAACACTAATGTGGTTCATGCTTACCCCAGGTACAGCTGCTCGCGTCCCAACTACTTGTGGAGTTCCAATGACAACCCGAGGTGACACCGTGGCTACAGATTTCTGAGCTGCAACGGTAGGAGCTGCGGGCCGAGTGTTTAATATCTGTACATTGGGAATGATTGCTGGCTGTCCTGTACCAATGTTCTGAGCTGTCACAACACCATTCTGACCTCCTGCCTTATTTATGGTCATCACGTTGGGTATTGTATTCGACATACTTGAGTTAACTGTCATTGGTACGGCCATCATTCCAGGCTGTATGTTCACTTGGCCTGTTGTTGTACCTTGTTTTATTACTAGTGGCGACTGCATCGTTCTCGTCGCTGACAAAGGTACACCTCGCACACTGTGTATAACTTGCGCTTGGGTAGCGGGAAACGCAACAACACCATTTGCTATGGACTGTGCAATTGCACGGCCGTCTATTTGCGATTCAGCATAATGCGCGTTGCCTGCGTCCTCGTTTGCATTGCGTTGAGACGAAAACGTGGTTGGATTGAACGACGCATTAGACACTGATGTTTGGAAGTTAGCACTGACTATTTCATCATCACTTTTGTCCTTAATGTATATTTTAAGTCCGATAATAGAATTTGCCACAGATGTATTGATATTATGACTGGGGACAACATTTACAATGTTTTTTTGTGACTGGTCTGACGCAGTGGAAGTTACTAGTTGATTTTCTAAAGTCCCTACTATGGCGTTCACTGCGTTCTCGTCGACGTCATTCGACAGTACTTGCGCCTTGCTCTAAAAACTCCGCTGACGCCATTAGTATAACCCATTGTTCTGGTTATATTTTTTTTTTTACATGACCCGTTAGCGTGTCCTTTGGCCAACGGAAAATTTGTTGTCCTCTACAATTTTAGCGAATCTGAAATTCAATCTATCTATCGTCTCAACTGTATTTATTTCTAGCCGCGACCGTAATTCCGAAAATTATTAAAATAAATACTTAGCTTTTTAGTACTAACATTAATACAGAAACACAATAGCAGGAAACATTATACTTTATCTCGAAACAAAACAGCGCAATAACTTTTGCCTACTTTGAGTGCTTCGAATTGTTCTATTAGAATTGTTTAAAATCGGAGTTTCCAAGAGAGCTATAGACTGATTAAGCAGCATTTCCTCCTTTTCTTCATTGTTTAATTTAACTGCCATACCGGGAGGTTCCCAATAAAACTTGTGCTGTTTCTCTATATTATTTTTCAATCTATCATTATGAGTTTTTAGTATTCCCTCTATACCGTTAGAAACATGGTATTCGTTTGGTGCAGGTGACTGAGTCTGTAGAGAACAAAATCTCGGCACCCTAAATAGTGGGCCTTGTTTAACAGCAGGATAGCATCTCGCTTGCTGCGCAAGGTAATAGGCTGGACCGGGAGTTTTCTCTCTCGCGTGAACGGGTATCCAATTATACCAAGGGCGAAAACGAGCCTCAGAGCTAAAAAAAGGCGCTGATTGTTGTAGTTCCAAAATTCTTTCCTTTTTACGTGTCAATTCATTGACCACCATAGAAGATTTTAGAGATTCTTTTTTAAGCGGTTTCATTCTAACAGTTTCAGATTTAAATTGCCAAGTTGGAATCACTTTTACTTTTTCATCACTTTTTTTGGTTTCAGGTTCATTTGCAGGTTCAAAATAATCCTCATCTTCTTCCTCTTCGTATACTACATCCTTAAATCTTTGAGTGGATACAAAAAAGGGAACCTTAAAACAACGAATGAATTGGCACGGCTTATATCTTGGATCGTAACTCGCCGGACTAGGCCCTTCATCCTTACGATGTTTTAAGCGAACAGACTTCGATCCAAAAGGCGCGCGTTTTGGTAATAGTGCATGACAAAATTTCGTTGGGAGTTCAGGTGAATCAAAGTCACGCCTAATCCAATGATCTGCTGGCCCAGGCCATTTAATGTCCATTTTCGTTTTACTAAAACGGGGTGCTTTTGGTCCCAAATAGTTTAAATCAGTTCCTTTCATGAATTTCGGACTATATGAGCATGGTCCAGGTAAATTATCTAGAATATTTCTTCGTTGTACCATATCTATAAAACGATATTGTTTTGACGTTCTTCTTTTAAAAGATCGCAACTTTTCAGCACATATGTTGGCAGCAGTTGGATCGTGCTCTAATGTATAAGTGTCAGGTCCAGGCATATCGTTAACAATTTGTGGTAATTTCGCCGTCCTGTGACTCCATTTGCAACCCCTATAAAAAGCATTAGCCTCCGTAATGTTAGTATTATAAAATGGTGGACATTCTTTTTCAGGTCGTAAAAGTACTCGTTTATTTGATCCATCTGGTAAAACATTAAACCTTTGGCCTCCTTTTGATGGAGCTGAAAGACCATCTCCGCGGCTTGATCTTGGTGGGTGACCTTTAAATATTGTACGTTTTAATTTTCCTTTACATACGGCCTCTTCTAATACTGTTTCCCCAATATCACATTCGCATATATTTGGGTCCTTACACTGACATAGAATTTCGTCAATGTTAGGAAATTTATTGGCTTCATAGGGAAATCTTGGAATTTTTGACATAAGTGCAGTACAATTTGAAATGTGCCGTTTTATATCGGTGGAATATATAGTGTGTGTCCATATTTTATCTCCAGATTTGATTTTTCTTTCACAGTTCGATAAAAAGGGTGCTTTATTAATTCTGGTGATTGGAGTACTTGTACTCTGATATGCTCCAGGATCTAAAAACCTAAAATATGGAGGTGCAGGAGCAAACCTTTCATTGAGATTGTAGGCCATTTCTCGAAAATAAATATTAACTATAATAACTTCTAAACAGTCTTCATTTTTATTGTATAATAGTTTAAGTATATTACGCAACCATTAGCGAAAGTGGTAATATTAATTGTCTACTACAAAACAAAAAAATATATAAATATGCAAAATAGTATAAATATAGTACTGTATTTAATATTTTATCATTATGACACTGGTTATTTTTTTAAATTTAATTATAAAGTTGATCTATATGCGAAGGCGAAATTTCCATTTGACTCTGTATGTTTTATTCAACGTCTGTGGTAATGCACATTATGTAACGTCACATTTAGATTGTCAGATGACACTTCACATTTTATGAAATGTCAGCTGTCATAACAAGTTTCCTTTCATATTATAATATGTAGTAAGTACCTTATACAAGTTATCTAGCTCGTTGGACTATTTCAAGTGAAAATACTACGTTCTACTTTATAAAGTGTCGAAGGCATCTTAATTTTCTCTGGAAAATGTTATCCTATACATCCTTTTAGGTCAGTATTTTATGATACAGAGTACGTTGCTACATGTTTTTATAGAATGTATCAGTAAATTTTCCATATTTGGTTCTTTAACACATATTTTAAAACATTGATTTATTCATTTATATAATTATGATAAAGTTAAACAGAATCCTTATAATTTGTTATATCCGTCGTTGTTCCGAATGTATTTCAGTTACATCCGTACTGTTGTGAAATATCATCATTGTGGGGGCGTCGTACATAAAAGTTATAATTTTTCATAACACCTATAAAATGTGTTGGAATATTATATTAATATTATTATGTAAGGCCTGAGGTTCTTCTCTTCTGCACCAAAAATACTTACATATATATCATCTGTAAGGCCTTTTTAAAAAGCTTGAATTAAAGAATTTTAGGTTTCCTTTTAAGATAAATTATAAAGAGATGTTATATATTGTTATATTGATAATTTATTAAATTACTTATTTCTACAGATAGTGTGCAATGGAACGATTCCCTCTCAAAGCACACATTCCAAAAATGGCAACTACATATCAATCTGTTTACAAGAAGGTAAATTAATTTTATATATACTTCTTTTAATAGAAATAAACGTATAAGAATGTAAAGCTATAGGATTTTGAAATACAACAGTCTCTGAAATACACTGGTCAACTGTTTCTACTAAGGGGTTTCTATGACTAATATAAAGTAAATAACTTTGATAAGTAAGGCCCCAGTTTTCTTAGCGGGTTGTTAAAAATTAAGTAATTATAAGTGAAATTTATCAGGCACATAAGACAAAAAAGTATGTCTGACCCCATGCCTTGCATAAAAGAAATTAAATTAAATTTCTATGGAAGATTGGAATCTCTAGAAATAACTAATCTCTATTTATATATAGACATAGATATTTTTCTCTTTTTTATATTGATACTTATCTATGTTTTATTACAACATGTATATGCTACCTCGCACAATATTTAAGAAACAAATACAAAAGAAGCTAAATCTAATTTGAAGCAAAGCAATACATATATCAGAGTTTCTCGTTTATCGAGGAAATGTTAAATTGTGGACAATTTGCTATATTCAAGCACAATATAATTGGAATTAGCATTGGATGCAGCTATTGTGATCCTATACCCTCAGAGTGCGCTCAATTACGCCACACGTCTCGTCATGCTACAATAACCCCATCCTATAACGTCTTCCTTGTAGTTAATTTTTAGGTACTAGTGATGTGAATTTGATAATTTTCATATCAATTGAGTGATTTATGTTTCATGTATAGAATAAAACCGTTTTTAAATTCGAAACCTTACTTTAAAATTATTTAATTAATTAAAAAGATTTTTTGATTTATATAATAATTTTTTTTAAATAGTTTACATATTATGTAAACTATTTTTAAACAAAATTCTTCGGTCATTATTCAGTTAATTCTATTTCTTAATGAATGTATAAGTTATTAATAAACTTCATGGTTTAATAAGCAGTTGCTTTCTTCTCCTTGGGTATTGTAGCAATTTACCCTAATTCTCTAAATAAATAACAAAACTGGTTTCAGTATATACTATAACAGAATTTAATGTTAATATATAGTACTTCTTATATTATGAATTACCTTGGTGACTAATATCTTAACACCATCCACATTTGGCATAGAACTTATAAAAATATATTTAATTATCTTGGTTGAAGTAATTTGTTCTGTATTTCTTAAAATTGTAATGTTTATATTGATAATAGTACTATCAATTAATTTAAACAATGTATTAAACGTAGTATTTTAAATGCGGCTGTGTATACCAAGAATCCTTAACTTGTTACGGAAAATAATCACTTAAGCTTTAAATGCACTAGATTTATTAAATCTATTGCTACAGTCCGAGTTGAAACTACAATATATAATTTTTAGTTCTAAACTAGACTTAATTTTATGATTTGATCACATAATTTTTAAATCCTCTCTGTTTTCTTACGGCGGTATTTTTTATTTCTCAATATTTAGATTGGATGTATATTCCAATAGATTAATTCTGATTATCTGATTTTATTATTAAAATTTTAATAAATTTTTGAATATTCCCCCCCCCCCCCACATAAAAAAATGAATACGCTATTAGGTCAGTCAGACCGGCATTTATGTACATAAAAAATATATTAATAATAATCATTAGAATTTCAAAGTATTAGTCGAAGTTCGTGTTTTGTTTTGAAAACAACGCGTTGACGCCTATCGTACAATGAATATGTTTATCGATAGATACGAATGGGCGTCACTAGCTCGTGCATTGTTCGCTGTCATTTCGGTGGCTGTGCAGTGTCTACTCTGTGGCGGCATTATCGATTTTGTTGAGTCGAGCCACCCCCACGAACCCGCCTGGGGCTTACGTCTCTGGTTTCATACGAAATTTGATATCCCGTGCTTAAATCCAATTCAAGTTTTCGTTGCTTATATCCTAATAAATAGTGTCATGAGTGAGTATTACGTCAAATATAGTCTAGTTAACTACACAACGAATAGTATATTTTTAATGCAAACACATAATTCGTCACCGATTTTCAAATAGTAGTAGATTTCAGATTGCAGAATAATAGTAAGAGTTAAGATAGCATGTTTACACGGAAAACGTGAAAATTTTTCAGAGTTATTATGAAACGTTGCTTGTGATATTTTAGTTTAAATATTTAGCCTTTAACTTAACTCTCATTAAATTTAAATAAAAAGTATATACGTATACGTTTTAATAAATATCGTAACAAAATTTAAAAAAATACTTATTTTTTTAAATATAAATGCTAGTAAAAGTATTTGATATTAACTATAAATGACTCTTAAAAACGTATTCCGTTAAATGTACGAATTTTAAACCGTTCAAACCTTGAACGAAGTAAAACTTTTAAATGCTACGAAATTGCAGCGAGCTCGCGATAAAAATGTTTATTGAAAATTGCTGATCGGAGCTGATTGAATTACTAACAACTTGCACTCTTATAGCTGCGCTCTGTATTATGAAAACTAATTACATTGCGGCTCGGAAAATAGGTTACATGCTTCTCAACTTTTTGCTTTCGTGTTATATTATCCGCAGGACATAGGCACGTGTATGGATAATTCTACGTTGCTTGCGAAAAGTATTCAAAACAATATACACTTCAGAAACATAATTATTTTTTGTTCGTAAAAGGTATATTTTATATAGACTTTCTATAATGTATCGATGATTGAAATTATCAGCTCAAAAGGCTATAGGTAAGTGTAGATTTATCCGTTGGTACTGAAAAAGAAATATTCAAAGGTCGTTCGTTAAAAGTAATAATAATAGTCAAGATACAAATATAGAGTATGAAGAGTTACTTTGATAAGCAACAAGTCCATAAATAGATAACTCCAGTACACCCTAAATGTCAAAGAACTCTCTGTGTTAGATTCGTTTAGAAAAGATAAGAAATGCTCCTTTTTACTACGCAATAACACGAGTCATAAGAAACGAAGTAACTAATCTTTATCAAACCTTTTTGGAAACCTGAGTATTATTCTGACATCCTTCGAGATGAATCGAACCTGCTGTACTGGTCGAGCAGCGGCCGGCAATAGTTGTTTGAAAATCCGTATCTGTCGGACAAATAAATAAATATGTAAAACCGTACTTGTCGTGTAATTTAAAAATGGAGCGATCTTTAGAAAGATTTCTTGTGAAAAAAAAACTTTGTACTACTCAGTTTTAATTGCCGCGAATTGTTTGAAGTACTCTAAAAGCCTAGCCGTTTGTCCATCCATGCCTCTCTTGCCGGCCGCTGCAGTAATGTACTATTAATCAGACACAAAACTTGGATTAACTTCAGGTCTATCATTAGCGTGTATTCTATAATGTAATGTATTTTTACTGTCAGGTCTTCCCGCAACTTTATTTTCTGTAAGTTCTGATTGAAATTAAACTAATGTCATTTCAGTCTTCAGTCACCGTAGACATTAGAACATCACTGTCGTTGATTATGCTATTTGTATTATGTATGATATGCTGTGATAATGTTTACCACGGGTCGTTAAATCTATAACAGACATTACACCATAATATATTACGATCTAGATTGTTTCATATGATTTGCGTCTTTATGCCCAAAGCATCTGCAAATGCTGCTAAAAGCATCCGAAACGTCGGGCCGTAGTTAAATCTAATTTTCAAACAAGTTTAACTAATATATATCGCGTTGTAAACCGTTAAAATGTTTTATTTAAATATTTGTTATCTTCTATAAAATAGATTATGTTAGCGACGAGGTAAATACTTGGTTTATCTTTAGATTTGTTTATCACTTTCAGATGCATATAAGGTCACTAAATTTTACCAACCTATGTGTGTTTTGAATCGTTTACAGAGCCATAGAATGTATATTCTACAGACTGGCATTAAGATAGAACAAAAAATTAGGCATAAGAACGACAAGTTTTTGTTGATCTATCTATATAATCGTCAATACGCTTCACTGCACATCACAAGTTCCGGGTTTTGACACCTAGTTCAGGCGAAACGTTCTCATCACTAAAACAGTTAAAGCCCACCCCACCCGTAGACGTGCGCGGTGGGTTTTAGCTTATCACTTGTGGGACAAAATATCTGCGAGTCACTTCTCCACTACCACTAGTTAGTTACTAATCGGTTAAAATATAACAAATACAGGGAATAAAAAATTCTGTATTTATAAATCACTGCATTCATGTTGTACTAAGAAATTAATAAGCTATAAAACGTTAAACATAAACATTGCTTTTAATAAATCATTTATTGCAAGATAGACGCTTGTGTTTAACTAGTAAGTTCATTAGCCCATATTGAGTACTTTCGTATTAAGTAGGCCCTACTTCATGTTTCCACTCGAACGACTTTAATCCCTTTACAGGTAGCACAGTATGAATTAATTAGTCAACTTATATGACAATATTAATATTAATTAGAAACAAAGAGATTAATTGTCATGATTGTAAAAGTACCATTAGCTCGCAAGACTTTTAAATTATATTCAAGTACAAGGCAAGCTGAGGTCAATATCAAACAGCTGAGATAAAAATGTGCAAAAAATATTATATGTATTTAATATTATTACGAAATGGACCGTAAACCAAAGCTTCGACACCATCTTAACATTTCAAGTGTTTAAAGTATCCAGTGTACTTTATGATACTCAAATCGTAGATTTTTTATTAGTAACTTATAATTCAATTTTTAAAATAAATTGTTCATACATAAGCAATGTCACTACGCATCTATTGGGCTTCGAAGGCAAGTTTGTCATTCGAGTATTGGTTTCAGGGTTCTAACACGGGGAATGGACACGGAGGCCCCAGTGGCGATGATGACATGGTGAACATAAAGACGGGGCCGCAACGCGCGGCTGACACACCCACCACGCCCACAAGCCATGGAACCTTTCAGCTGTACGAGCATGGTACAAGATACAGCGACGCTAGCGCCACATGTAAGTACATTTGTATTGTACAAACGCACATACAGTTCTCTCTAAACTATTTGGCCGGGTCGAAGTTAGCGCGGCCGCCATCTTGCGTATGGTACTGTCATTTTTAAGCAAAAAGTGGCGTGGCCCTGTACCCGCGCTCCCCTGTCGCAACTCACAACTTCAGCCCGGCCAAAAAGTTCGGAGAGCACTGTACATTTGTATTGGACAAACGCACATACCTTGAATACTTTGATCGTTAAAATCGGTTGCTGTATTAGAAATTTTGGATATTAAATGAGTGGTAGGAATATCGAAATTCCGTCCGGATCACGAACCAAGGTGAACCATGAAGAATCCGCGTTTCAGTTTCAGTCTGTGGATTTCCTAATATCCAAAGCCCACATACACATCGCATCTTGTTCAGATGCTATAGGCTGGAGTATTTCACTTAGCACTACCTCTATCATAAAAAAATAAACATACATATATAGAAATATGGGTGGTAGTGTGATATTAAAATAAGGGTTAAAAATAAGGTTTAAATTCATGTTGCCTTTTTTAGCAATAAAAATCTATACTGCGAGTTTTTACTCTTTAACAAAAGTAAGGATTAACATAATGGCCAGATGTTTAAACCAGGTATGCGTCCTTACCAGGTACACACTAAGAACAACAATAGCGAAGCACTATTGAATTGTTAATAGTCTAAATAAAAAACTTTAACGGATATAACGCGATATATTAGTTTAAACCGTTAGTGTTTTATTTAAATGTCTACTACTCGCGTAAACTATAGACTGTATTTGTTAATAGTCTTCAATTGATATTCTAAAGTTATACTAAATACGTTTTATTATTTACTGGCTCTGGCCGCGTGTCATATGTTCGCGTAGAATAGTTAATTTGGATATCAAAACTTACTTTTGCAGACCTCGTCATTTTTATAAATTTTTAGCTGATATCTACGCCGTCGTCCGCGTCCCTTGTTCTTGCAAGCTAGTCTTAAAAGATAGACATACCGTCACGAACATTTTTTAGATCCCTTGAAAAGGAACCGTTTGTGCAGCGCACGCAACGCCACAAAGATGAATAATTTTCCCTGTTTTCGTTTACATTCTCTTCTATTACTTCGCTCCTATTGGTCGCGGAGTGATGTTTAATTAACTAACACAAAAATAATTTAATTCCAACCAGTAGATCCTAAGATAAGCGCGTTCCAACAGACTTTACATATTAGTATAGATTATTGTTTTGTTTTCAAATAATACTCAGCTGTGTCTAGACTGGTAAACCAATCTAATTTAATCGCTGATCGTGGTATAGACACGTCGTTCAATCAAATGTCAAATGTACTTCGAAGTGGGACATTGCTTTTCCTGAAATCGGCTGAGGTGTTAATTCCGCAAACACTATTAACGGATGTTCGACTCATTCGCTTAATTGAACACGATGTTTCGCGTCGTTTGAAATCAGACAATTCAGAGAATCTACCATTTTTCTCGATAATTTTGCCCTTATTACGACGTTAAATAGAGGAACGTTTTTTATTGTGATTTTAATTTTGCTCTGTCCGTCCAGATGTATATTATTTGCGGCCTATTTAAAGTATTTTTTTTTAATTTAACTACGTTGCGATCGCGATTTTCAGGAACGTTAGAAATTGAATCTATGAAATGAATAATAAAAGCTCTTTCTTCAATAATTCCGTCACATTTAAAACTTCCCCCTTTAGACCTCTCTTCCCACTAATATCAGAAAAGCTGAATCACTCCGTTCTTGTAAGAGATTCCTCTATAAGTTTTACGTTTCCAATATTTAAGTGAGTTTCTCTCCTATTCGTTGTGTGTACTTTTACTACGTCCTCTGCTCTCTTTATTATTCCTTACACCTACTCTTTTCTATTTCTCTTCTCCTGTACTTTAGGTTGCCTGGAATAGATCGCTACTTAGCAATAAGCCCGCCTATATTTAGAAGTTAGTATGTGAGATTTTTTCCTCATTAATATGCCTCTTCTATGGCGTGTATAATAAATAATAAAGCAATAATAAATAAATAAATAACAATAGATACAGAAAACAAATGATTACGAATTAATCAATCGATATTCTTATTTTTCAAGCATACATCGCTCAATACTTCAGCTCTTCAGCTGGTAAGGGTAATAAAAATTAACTGTTAAATGTTTTGCAAGCGCTACCGTCTGACTGTCGCATGCTAGTTTTCTCAAATAGACAAGACCATTTTCGACACGACATCTATTGTAACCTGTATTGCACAATACTTCAAACTTGCAGTTCTTTTCATCCCATACATTCTATAACTTCATTGTTTTTAAGCTAATTTAGTTGTCTTTAATCAGCTCTTCACATAATTATCTGTAGTATACAAATATTATGTAAATATAATAATAAATATAATGATTAATATTTGCACAATTTAATCCATAAAATTTAGGATACTACATTATCAGTTTATTGCGATTGTGTTAGGTATGATAAAACTATCAGTATTAGCTATAATTCCGAAGTTATAGGTTGCGATCTGTGCCCCAAAATGATGGAAGAGTCTAATGAGGCAGGGGAAACTGTGCCCCTTGTAGGTGACGATGTAGGTAAAATATATTTTATTGCTTCACAATACGTGGAAAAAATTGTTTTAAAATGTCTTTTGAAGTTTATATTCGAATAAGAAAGTCAATTTCACGAACAACAACTTTTCTAATTAATTTATTCGTAATAAAAGTAAAACTTCGCTTTAATAATCATAATTTTTATCACGTTATCGGCACGTGACTTAAGATTACTTTATAACAACTAATTGCAATTGTATAATATTTGTGTTTAAATATCAATTAAGATTCTTTAATTTTAAATAATTTATAGTAGGTGTTAATTAAAAAATACTTCGCAAAATAACGTGTTCGATTTTGTTTGTTTGAGTGCTCCCTGTGCATACGTACAAAACACAGAAGTCACCTATGTCATGTGTCAATGTCATTTCAAAATGACAGCTATTGACGTTGACGTGTGTCACCTGTAATAACATTGCATTTAAAGATTATCAACAAATTGATTAGGAGATAGTTTTGTTGTTTCTATTTCATTTTTGTTTTTGTTTTATATTTCCATCCAAAGTAAAGGATTGATTAAACGTCACTGCGTAACTTGCGGCTGCTTACTTACGTGTCACGCGTACTAAAAATGATAATGAGTTAACTTAAAATAGCGGCGTCAAGTAATAGTTTTAGCTCTTAAATTAGACAAAACACTTTTCAGGGGACGCTGTTATGTTTTCCGGACTTCCAGGTGAGATATTACGTCGCTTCACTACTGCCTTGTGCTAACCGCTTTTGTTGCTTGGTGCACGAATGTCTTATGCCAGCGAAATTCCGATATATAACACTCAAATATCATTATTTCGAAGCTATTAACCTTGATGGAGAAATTCACGTTAGACATTTAGTAAGTTTTAATATCACGTGATGGTACTTCAGCGCGCGCGCATGTGTGTGTGTGGAAATTGCAACAATCATTTAAAAGACATTAATACTTGTGTGAGTTTAAAATGAATAGCAATGGTTTAATGTTGTGTTCTGGTGGATTGAATTTAAAATAACTTCACTTCTGCATTTTAATTTTCTGCTGTTAATAATGGTCCAGCATAAAGGAACTAATCGTTAGTTAAATTAGTTATTTAGCATTTTAACCCTAAGTTAAAGAGAGTGATGAGTTTATCAAAATGTTGAGTTTTTCTAAAAACATTTTGTTTTAATATTATATAAATGATGTTTCTTTAATTTACAATTTTGAACAGGTGATTATATATCTTAGAAAATAAACACAAAATATAAAATAATTACATTGAGCTCAGCTTTAACTTAGTGTTAAGTTTTACAAAAATAATACATATACATGGTTATTAACATGTTCTGTTTGTTCAGGCGAAGCAGATGATATTCCAGGAATTGGTCAGTATGAGGACTTTCACACAATCGACTGGCAGAGAGATATTGCGAGAGACCGCATGCGGCATAGATATATAGTCAAAAAGAGGCAGGACTCTATATGGGATCTAATTAAGGTTTGTTCATACTACATCTTCCAACATGTTTAGTGTAGTACATCAAAGCCTAAGTTCTCTTAAGATTTGAGTCCCAGCCGAGCCCCAATAATATAAACAGGACGTGGTAGCTAAATTGTTAGAGCAACAGCAAGGAACGCTGTGGGTGCCGGTTCCAGTCCTGCTCCTCTTTTAATTTCTTTGAATTTATAATCAATTTTTAATTGATTTAGTGAAATCAAGTGCAATATTATTATTATTTTCTATCTGGGATACCTGCGGTAGGACGGGTGATCACTCCACGTTATCAGCCGACCATTTCACCCAAAAATGTGCAATAACATATGATAAAATATTAATGTTTTCAAAAAGTAATTATGTTTTATAATAACTTCTGATAGTCATTTAAATTTTGTGTAATTAATGTTAAATTAAACTTTCCAGAAACAGCATTATGTAATGTTTTTAATTACTCTATTTAAAATGAATATTGTTTTAAGTAGGAATTACTGACTATCAATTAAAACTTATTTGTCTTTAATTTATACGAGGATAAGTATAAGTGTGTGTGCGTGATGAATAACAAGATCTATAAGACCAATTAAAATATATACTTTATATATAAACAATCATAATGAAATAATAACTTAAGGTACAGTAAAACCTGGTTAAGTGTGACCTGGATAATTGAGATTACCTGGATTACCTCTGTTTAGATTTGGAATTAACTCTGTATCTCAATTATGTGAAGACTTTGCTTATAAACAAACGCCACAACAACTGTAATTTGATTTAAAAATCGAAAATAAATTGAAAAAATTTTCGGCTCAGGACTTGAACCGGCATCGTCAGCGTTCCGTGCTGTTGCTCTACCAATAGTGCTACCGAGTCCTACACCTCATCGTCGATTTTTTTCAACTTATTGATACACGCACCTCTCGCGAAATGTAATTTCAACCTTAACACTTTCTACCTTAACTAAACAAATAAAAAAAAATCTATATATATATTTTCGATCTTTAAATTATATAGTGCTTTCATGTGCAAATATTAATGTTTTCAAACTGTAATTTGCTCAATTGGAAAACTGGATTATTGGAAACCCTCAATCATTGAGGTTTATCTGTTCTAGGGCGCCCATGACGCTTGGTCAGGGTGGGTCTGTGTGCTGCTCGTTGGTGTTTGCACAGGTGTCGTCGCGGGTGTGATAGACATCGGTGCATCATGGATGACGGACCTCAAGTTTGGTATCTGTCCACAAGCGTTCTGGTTCAATAGAGAGCAGTGCTGCTGGTCCAATGATGAAATAACTTTCGATAGAGAAAACTGCTCTGAGGTCAGTATTTATTCAATTAAATGGTTTATTTGCTGATTTATATCCCTTTCAGAAAACACTTTTAACGGTTTAAATCGTGGAATATATTATTTTTATTTACAATTTATTAATTAAGGACCGACGTTTTGGTGGCTCTGCAACAGTGGTCACGAGGGTACAAAGTTAAAATAAATTGTTAATAAGTTAACGGCATCACGTATCGGATGCTTTATAGCAGCCTTGATCACGGGAGTTAAAAATAAGTTAACTTATATATTTCGCGTTTTAAACCGTTAAAAGTGTTTTATTTAAACATCTACTCCTCGCGTTAACTACGGACAATACTTGGCGGCTATCTTTATGTATGCATTACTAAGTATAAATTTAAGCTATTATGTGAATATCAAAATTCTTATGTTTCGTACGTTCGGCTTGGGTGCAAAAAATGTTTAAAAAAAAATGTAATTATGTTTTTATTATTTTATTCATTGTTTGTTGATTTTCAAATAAGGCGAAAGAGATTTTACTTCAATATGTCGCTAGAAATTGCTGTTTTCAATTCATAACTCTAATGTCTAAATTATATCAAACACTAGATCGGTTTAGACAAAATTCATGTTTTGATGTGAATACACTTTGCAGTGGTTAACATGGCCCCAAGTGTTTGGTGAATCACGGGACAGCACGGGCGCCTACATAATCAGCTATTTGTTCTACATAGCGTGGGCGTTGACTTTCGCTGCCCTCTCCGCTTCGCTCGTGCGCATGTTCGCACCGTACGCGTGCGGTTCGGGTACGTACTAATTTGTTAAACTTAAACATAATACTTTAACACCAGCTGTGTCAGCGACTTCGTCTGTGTAGAATAGCTATTTAAGATCATTTAAAGAGGATTCCTTCAAACATATTTTTTGTTCACACGCAAAGATGATTGTTCTGCACATTTTCCGCTCTTTCTTCACTCCTTTAGTCACAGCGCGATTTTTTATAGTAACGAAGAGAATGAGATTATCGCGTTCAAGCAAACAAACTCTTCAGCTTTATATATTAATATAGATTACTAAATGATTACTATTATAGAACCAGCTATATCCACCTGTATCGAATATAGCTATAGATAAAAGTTTCAAGAGTAACAATTACTAAGTGAAAAAGATACATTGAAAATAACACCCAACGGTTTAAACGCGAGATGTATTAACTTATACATATGCCGTGGCCGCTGCCTCACCTGCAACGTTTAGCCGTACTACTTTTATATGTGCATAAAGTTGTTTTCTCTACGTTTCACAAATTGTCCTGTCATAATATTGTTATTAAATTACGCCTTTAATCTACTTTTATATATTTTACAGCACCGTCGTGCAAACCTTTAATTTAAATACATAATTAACCCTCGCGCTAAAATTCTTTAATGTAATGGAGCTTCTCTTAGTGGTGGTACACTGGATCAATCTGATGGTGACATCGTAAAATTTTACAGGTATACCAGAGATTAAGACGATACTCAGCGGCTTCATCATCCGCGGATACTTGGGCAAATGGACGCTCATCATCAAGTCAGTTGGTTTAATCCTGTCTGTGTCTTCTGGTCTGTCCCTCGGTAAAGAAGGACCTATGGTTCACATTGCGAGTTGTTTAGGTAAGTATTTTAAAGTGGTTAGTTTAATTTAGATGTTCGATTGATATGTTCTTCTTTTCACTTATTTCATCACAATGTTCTATCACAATATTTCCTTTGTTATCAATTTTAAAACATCATGTTTGGTTCAACAAAAATGTAATTAGCATGACTAGATATTCTGCTTCTATCTATTAAAAGGAAGATATAGTGTTCAATAGAAGAGACAAATAAACATTCTTTGTTTCATCCAAACGAAAATGTAATAAGACCAAGTAAGTAATTCGCAAAGTAACGAATGGGCTGATTGATTGCTTTTAAAAGTCTACTTCATATGATGTGGTAGGTGTAAAGGAACCCCAGAAAGTAGTATTTTTGAATTCTGATACATATAAATTAAATAAATTGCGCGCCTAAACGGTAATTTTCCGAAATAACGCTGCAATACCGCTAGTGACGTCACTACCTTATATTGGCGATGGTGTGACCTACGATCTACATTCATTTCTACCAAACAGTATTTATTAATTAATGCAGAATAGAATAGTTTTAAACTTAAACAAGGAAACACGGCGGCTTATAGCACTGTTTAAAAGCAAGTGACGTTGTCATAAACCCGACCGATCAGGAGCGTTTTGTATCTCGTGACAATTTAAAACAGTTAATTTTATTTGCGGTGTTTTTGTTTTAAACAAAAACACCGCATGTTAATATATGTAACTGTTTTACTATTTATAAACTTATACCTAACACTCATAACAGTAATTGTATATTTTTCGCTTTGTCAAATATTGACGCAAGTTATAAAATATGATTCTGTGTAACATATGTATTTTTTATTCTGTCATCTTTAGGCAACATCCTGTCCTATCTATTCCCCAAGTACGGACGAAATGAGGCGAAGAAACGTGAAATATTATCCGCGGCTGCGGCGGCCGGTGTCTCTGTTGCGTTTGGAGCGCCTATCGGTGGAGTACTCTTCAGTCTTGAAGAGGTTATATACATTTTTAATTTCATTAACACTACTACAACACGCAAGTGTATTTGTCAGCAAACGGGACGTAGAGATGAAGCCAAACGCGAAGGCCAACTAATTTACCAATAGCATTACAAAGCACGCTCTAACATCTACAAATCGACTACTGCGCATTTTAATGTTTTGTTCAAGATGTTTGTTGTCTTAAAAACCTCAACCAGAAAATTTCAACAAAGATTTACAATATTTTAACGGAAGCTTACAGTATAAAAATGTTGTAAGATAATATTCTCGGTAGTAAATGCGAGTAGTACACAAAAATTAAACACATTCAATGTTCATAAACACGAAATAAATTAGTGAAATTAAATATGTTTCACATGTTATTGCACAACATATATATAGTGCCATATAAATTAATTTTAGGTTGAAAAAAAATTTTGTACCCGCGCAGGACTCGAACCGGCATCCACAGCGTTCCGTCTTGTTCTCCAATTTAATATCGATGCCGTTTCAAAGTCCTGCCCACGTCCTTAATTTTTTTCAATCTAAAATCGTTTTTTAATTTATGTTCAATTTGTGCCTGATGTTTCAATGCTTTTAGCCGTGGTCACGGGGGTTCGTATATTAATAAGTTATAATTGAATAATTTGGCTAGAATTCTAGCCAGTTGTCAAAATAAGATTTATGTAGGTTCAGTAGGCTAAAGCTATTGGTTTAAATATTTTGTTAATTTACAGGTGTCATACTATTTCCCCTTGAAAACGCTTTGGCGGTCGTTCTTCTGCGCTCTGATAGCCGCCTTCATCCTTCGCTCCATCAATCCGTTTGGAAACGAGCACCTCGTACTCTTTTACGTGGAATATAACAAACCGTGGAAGTTCTTCGAGTTAATCCCGTTCGTCGGTCTTGGGATTATTGGGGTAAGAATATGTTTTTATAGAGACCAGGAAACTAATAATTTCCGTCCGGGTTACGAACCAGATGAAAAAGCAGTCAAGCTTGATCGCGTTTCGGTTTGTCTGTGGATTTCCTAATATCCAAAGCCAAAATTAACAGTACATCTTTTTCTGATCATTACAGGGTTGCATAGCGACGATATTTATAAAGGCTAACATTTATTGGTGCCGTTACCGCAAGTACTCGAAGTTGGGCCAATACCCCGTCATGGAGGTTTTAGTTGTGACCCTGGTGACGGCTATTATAGCCTACCCCAATCCTTACACGCGGATGAACACCAGCCAGCTGATATATCTACTATTTAACCAGTGTGGGATATCGAATACAGACCCAATATGGTGAGATGGGTTTTCTTCATGCTCTCCTAATTTATTTATTTATTCCCTATATTATAACTTTGAGAGATCATAGCTCTAGTATACTCTTCTTTATTTAAATGTATTTATTTCTTTGCGGTACATCAACATAATATAGACACTTCTCGTGAAAATAAGTTCTGATGGTATTTCCTTGACTATGCTACCACGTTGGCGGTATGGACGCCCCAAGGCTAAATAATTATTCTTTCAGCGATTACCAGAGGAACTACACTGACTTGAATACCATAGAAAAAGCGGTCGCCGGGGACAAAGTGTACAACGCTATGTGGCTTCTGACCCTGGCCCTCGTCCTCAAACTAGTCATGACTGTTTTCACTTTTGGTATCAAGGTGCCATGCGGGCTGTTCATACCCAGCTTGGCCCTTGGTGCTATTCCTGGAAGAATCGTTGGCATCGGTGAGATTCCTTGCTTTGGTTAAATAAAACTTGGGCTAGTTCCTTGTCGCCCTATGAAAAGTTTTAAATTAAGAGTTTAAGTAAAGACAAGCTTGGTTACAATCTTATATATTGTTAAAATTACTCGGGATGACTGAAACCGATTGTAACTGATATACCCCAGCCATATAACAGCTCAACAAACGAAGCATGACATTGCAAGTATGAAGGCGATTGAATTGCTTTTAAGGTGTCGAGCAACTGGCTAACAAGTATCCGAAGAGTTGGCTCTTCTCTGGCGAATGTTCCAGCGGAGATGACTGCATTACACCAGGACTGTATGCCATGGTGGGGGCTGCGGCTGTACTTGGAGGAGTCACTAGGATGACCGGTGAGGTCCACAAATTATGAAATTTTCATAAACTTTAATATTTTTAACACATGATTGCACTGTACTTAACACGGTAGCTCAATTGGTTAAAGCCACAGTACGGGATCCTGTGTCTGCCGGTTCAAGACCTCCCGTGTCGTAATTTTTTTTTATTTATTTGTTAATAAGTTAATACAGAAGGAATTCTTTACATGTTTTCTATTTCGTTTCCAGTCTCTCTAGTGGTCATCATGTTCGAGCTGACGGGCGGGGTGCGGTACATCGTGCCGCTGATGGCAGCTGCAATGGCTTCCAAATGGGTCGGCGACGCGCTCGGGAAGCAGGGCATCTACGACGCACACATTGCCCTAAACGGGTACCCGTTCCTGGACAGCAAAGACGAGTTCCAGCATACATCTCTCGCAGCTGACGTGATGCAACCCAAGTGAGTACACGAAATGGTTTTTATCTTCTTCTGGGAGGCATAATGGTGGTGAAGGAACTTCATGGATGCTGCTATACAGTCTTTCCAAAAGGTTCCTTTTACAGTAACTTTTATTACATGTGATTCCTTAATATAAAAGGCCCTATATAATAATAAATTTGATTTCATTTCTATAAGAGATACTAAATTTGATGTCTTACTCGCTATTGCTACACATAACAAACTTTTATAATCGATTGGTTGAAGTTATATGAACAAACTCTTCATGTGTTACCGGCTACAAATTGTACGTTATGCTTAGCAAATGTAACAAAAACCTGGGTGGACCACTTCTGTAGCGAAACAAATGTAATGCCTGTGCTGTTTTCATGTAAGGGCGAAACCTTTTGTACAATTAGTCGCCAATATTTGATACTGAAATCTTACCTATTTTTATATTCTTGTATAGGGATACACACGCACACACACACACACCGACACACAAACTCACATACCTACACACAAGCTCACACACCTACACACACATCACAACGTATTTCGACTGGGCGTTTTATTGTTTGTTATTTAATAGATTAAGTTAAGATTACGTATAGATCCTAGCGGTTTAGCACAAAGTTGTCTCCGCTTTACGCTAAATGCCGCTAGTGGTGCCGAGAGGGCTTGGGTTCGAATACCGGGGAAACCAGAAATGTGTTTTAACTTTTTAAACCCGGATTAAATAGTACAATAGAAAATAAATTACTGATTTAATAAAGGTCCAATTTACTTGCTTTTTTTAATCATATATATATATAATTTTTTACTTGTTTTAAGCGATATTGCGATGTTATATCTTAACTCATATTTGTATTTTTGTGTATGTACAAAGTTCTTATTAAATTATAATTAGAATGAAATTTCTTTGAAGAAATGAAACAATATACAGTCCACATGTATTATATTGTAAAAATGCTCTGAAAATTACATCTGTCGTAGGATTAGTCATACATATAAGATAAGAAAATAGTTTTAATTGCAGCTTGCGTTTGTTTTCTGAATACACATTCAAAAGCTTCTGTCAAATAAAACAATTTCAACTGTTTAAAACGCGATATGTATAAGCTAAACTTATTTACTTTTTATTTTAATGACCCGACGTTTCGAATGCTTTGCGGGGGATTTATGTTGCTTGGCTCTTAGGCTCTACGGAACTGGGTCTGGGATGCAATTCCAGGACGTTATAGGAAGTTGTTTAGCTTGCCTAACACAGAAAGCTTACGCCTCTAAGTATTTGTGAAGTCTAAATATTTGAAGACTGCGATATGGCGAGCCCCATTTCAATTTCCTACGCGATTTAGTTTCCTGACATTTTTATCAACTCACCTAAAACATTTTTCCGAATATCCAAACCCGTCGACAGCGCGTCTTCTGCAGATGTTATATGGCTGGTGTATTTCAGCTCCCATCAAGTGACCCTATGCTTTGTCATATCATAACTGAATATTTACGATTCTGCGATTTTATTACATGAATTGCGAAGCTTCTGAACGTGTTGTTTAGTAATATTGCTTGTTTCCACGTATTGAGAAGATAACTTATTTGAGAATTGTAATCGCAGGCGCAACGAAACGCTATCGGTGATCACGCAAGATTCGATGACAGTTGATGACGTGGAAACCCTGCTTAAGGAGACCGAGCACAACGGATATCCGGTTGTCGTGTCCAAGGAATCCCAATATCTCGTGGGTTTTGTTCTTCGGAGGGACCTTAACCTAGCTATAGGTTGGTATTATATGTAACAAACTATGGCGTCGGTAATGGTAACGTGTGGCAAATAATCAACGGGCCGTGGATTCGATCCCCACCGGGTCCGCTCTTTCGTTTCTGATCAATTTATAATTTATCTGAAACACTTACTTCGTTTGGAATATAGTTAGAGATATTGTCTGTAGTTAACGCGAGTAGTACATATTTAAATAAAACACTTTAACCGTTTAAAACGCGTTATATTTCAAACGAACGATGACAAAACGTAGTTAAAAATAATTCTCAAAAAAGTTTAATTAAAATATAAACCGTTCAAAGTGTTTTATTTAAAAGGTAAGTATATCAAAATTCCATCCTGGTCTACCACCTGTGGGTTGCTGAATATTCAAGGCTAAAATAGATCGACAGTGTATCTTGTTTTGATGCTATAGACTTTGACTGATTTGTTATTTTGTTAGAAAGACAGAATTTTTGTAATTTTTTGACTTGAGATGCTTTATCGTCATATATACTAAATATATGGCATTCATCAGCCAACGCACGCCGTACCCTCGAGGGGATCACTGGTCAGTCCGTGGTGATATTTGCTGGGCCTACGCAGCCGTTGCCCCCCGGTCCCCCACCCTTGATGCTCACGCGCATCCTTGACCTCGCCCCGATCACAGTAACCGACCAGACGCCCATGGAGACGGTCGTGGACATGTTCAGGAAACTCGGTCTGAGGCAGACACTCGTCACGCATAACGGGTGAGTTTTGTATTTTTATAACGAGATAGACTAATATTTAAAGACAGATGAAATACACTGATATATAAAGCTGATGAGTTTGTTTGTATGTTAGAACGGGCTAATCTCAGGAAATACGGGTTTGAATTGAAAAATTATTTTTGTGTTGGTTAGAGCATTTATCGAGGAAGGCTATCTATACTAATATTATAAAGAGGAAAGATTTGTATTTTTGTATGTAACGGACAAACTCAAAAAGTACTGGACCGATTATAATAATTCTTTTTTTAATTAGAAAGCTACATTATCACTGAGTAACATAGGCTATATTTAGTACTCGATTACTATATAAATTCTTACTAAAACAAACGGAAGGCGTAAAAAAATTAGACGTAAAATGTCTTTATTCGCATACACTGCGAAAAGTCTTAATGATAGGACAAAAAATGTTTGACAATTTTATAGAATATATCTATGTCTACAAAAAACACCACGAGAGCATATGTCTAACTATTGTAGCTACGTCGCTGTAACTACTTTTAATATTCAAGACTGTCTCAATACCTCATGATTAAATTTTTAATTATTGAAATCGGACATTCCATTCAAAAGATATCATGAAATTAAAATTAAAATCCATGCCGGCGTCGGCCGCCACGCCGCGCATCGAGTAACTAATTCGAATAGAGGGGCAGTGAGCTCCTTACGCAGTGGGCGCGAACGACATTGAATATTTAGAGTTTTTTTTATACATTTTTATGCTTCACTTAAAAAGTCCTTTAATAGCTACTTAGTTTTAGTATTAGGAATCACACTTTGCATAATGTTTGTCAAAGTTCTTTTCGGAATTATGTCTTTGAACTTGAATATTTTCTTTTGTACTATTATTAGTTTATTCTTAATTTGTCTGATTAAAAGTAAATACCTAAGAATAGTTCCCAAGCGAGATTAGCACAAGTTCGTCGTATTGGAGAGTCTTCTTCTAAAAATGATCGTCTGGAAAGTATCAGAGAGTACGCGTCCCAATCGCGAGCCAGAGAATCTAACGTGTTCTGACTGACTGACTGAATGTTCGTCTTGCAGAACGAAATGCAAGATCGAATTGAATGAAATAGAGCTAGAAATTCGGGAAACACGTGCACGGGACTCTAATACTACTACTACTACTATAAAACATAGCGTTGCTACTAATAGGAACGAAGAAACATGGTAAAGGTGGAAAAACGAGAAATCTATGTGGGTGTCCGTTGCGTGCGCTGCGAAAACGTTTAAAGATACCCATTAAATATGTACGAAAGAATCATTCAAATGACCTAAAACATGTCTGCGACAGTGTATGTCTACTTTTCAAGATTAATTCACAAGAACTATTTTTATGGTAATCAAATTTTGTTCCAAATACTTCAAATGGCAAAATAACGTTTACTATCAGCTAGCTCTATATAAACGAACGTGTACATTCCATACATAAATAACAATTAAACAGTATTAAACTTCAGCAGAAAAGAAAGATCTTCTTTGATAAGATTCTTATTAATATTTCAGGCGGTTGCTCGGTGTGATCACGAAAAAAGATGTCTTACGACACATCAAGCAGATGGATAACGAAGATCCTAACTCAGTGCTCTTCAACTAGAGAGCCTTTGGGCGACGGTGCTTGTCTACACATCCATGTGTTTCCAAACCTACTGCGATGGACGTGGCTAAACGCTTTTAATGTATAGTGTATTCATTGTTGAATTTAAAAAGCATCAAATACCCTAATTCTTACTGAGAAGTACTGCTTAATGTGATAATGATGCAACATTTAAATAAAACACTTTAACGGTTTAAAACGCGATATATAATAGTTAAACTAATTTGAAAATTATTTTAACTTCGGCCCGACGTTTCGGACGCTTTGCAGCAGCCGTGGTCACGGGGAGACTCAAATAAGTCTAGTTAATATAGATCGCGTTTTAAACAGTTTAAGTTTTTTATTTAATTGTGTACTCAAATAATTCAATTTTTGTTTATAAGTTTATACTGACCTATATTATAAATTAAATGGTCTATAAATGGATGTAAACTTTTTTGCCAAAATCAATTTGATCTGTATAGTATTGTACGCATCACCAGACAATTTTAAAACATAGATATATAAACTATATGTTATATCATATCAAGTCTAAGTAAGGATAGAATTAGGCAATATGTGTTTTACAAATACCATAGTTGGGCCACGTCTAAATCCAATTTAGTCATACAACGCAACTATGTGTTAGCTATATCTATATGTTGTAGATGAAGCACCGTTTATATATATATACAATTATTATTATTGACATAATTTGATTTTACATAAACGATCAATTTTGAATTTTTTTCTTATTTTTTGGTATTTAAAATTTTTTATTTGTATTCGATAAGATTAATTATTAGTTTTGTAACTATTGTAACGTATAAGTAGCGGCACAGATCAGCAATGAACGAATCATGCGCAGAAGTCAAAAATAAGGTATCGAAGGGTCGGAAGCGGGCGCAGGGCGAGTGAACGTCATGTGCGGTAGCGTTGATTGGTACCCCAGTCGCGTTGTCTCTCTTAGACCAATACGACGCTCCGCTTGCTTCTCGAGTACAGTCACGTTTACCAATCAGTTACGTGTGCGACTGTACACTTCGCTCAGCGCTAAACATCCGTGCCGCGGCCTATCATTTTATTATGTACATGCGAAAATAACTGCTTTGAAACTTTTATACAATTAATACAAGTGTGATTGAATGTGATATAGGCCCCGTGTTTTTCGGGTGTACATGGTTTTATTAAGCAAAGGATTTTATTGATTAACAACATTTAAAAACCTGTCGTAATATTTATCTTTGTATGTAAATAGAATGATGTTTTACGCTACTCGTCCTTTTTTACCATTAAACAAATCAAAATTCATTATTAAATTACGACTATTCCACCTACATTATACTTTGCTCGTTGGCTCGTTATTAAATGGGTGGTAGGAATTTGGAAATTCCGCCCACCCATTGTTTGTCTTTCGTGATAAAAAAAAATCTTTATGGTACCGAATGAAGTGTAAATATATATCTGTAACACATAGCTGTAGTAAACTTGACGGCTCATGATCATATTAATTTAGTTTATTATGACGATAATTTTAAGAGTCTAAGTCTCGTAAAGAACATTCGTTACGATTATTCTTGTCCACGTCCCGACGTTAGTAAATTTCTCTTAGTCTAATTGTATTTTATTATTTATTGGTTGCTTTTATAAAATCTGATTATTGTGTTTTTTTATGTTTTATCATAAGTATCAATGTTAGATAGTTGCTAATTCTTCGATAGTAAATGCAACAATAGGTAATAGTACCAAATTGTGCTCTGGGAGGGCTTATTTACATCAGAATATTATCAGTCGGATTTGTGAACTCCAGTTTAATTTCGATCTAGAAATTGTCGGATATAGCATGATATCTGTTTTTGTAGTGTTGAAATTATATGTATTTTTTATTGCATGTTCGCAGCCAGTAAATAACTTACTAACCCAATACGAACGATTTCTTTTAAAGTCAACGAAAACAAGCATTACTTTCAAACTTCATGCCTTGTAGAGTTGTCATCTTGCGATTAGATGTTTTGTAAACCGCTCATTCATTTATCGGACTAACAGTTTTATAATGTAGATTATGATCTAAATCAATAAATTTTATTGAAAGTATCTTCTTCTTTTTTCTTCCGATAGATAATGTTGTCTGCAGTGCTGTGTTAAAGAAATACAAAGCACTTGTACCACGTATTACGTCGTTTTTTGTATTTTATTTTGCGAACAGACGTTTATCACGTATTAACATTTTGTAAAACAGAGTAAAAATTGCTTCTCTATATTAATATTATAAAGAGGAAAGATTTGTATTTTTGTATTTTACGGATAAACTCAAAAAGTACTGGACCGATTTTAATAATTATATTTTTATTAGAAAGCTACATTATCGCTGAGAGTAACATAGGCTATACTTAGTACTTGATTACTATCATCTATAGAAATTCTTACTAAAACCAACGGAAGGCGTAAAAAAATTAGACGTAAAATGTCTTTCTTCGCATACGCTGCGAAAAGTATTAATGATAGGACAAAAAGATGTTCGACAATTTTATAGAATATATCAATATCTACAAAAAATATCGCATATGTCTAACTGTTGTAGTTAAGTCGCTATAACTACTTTTTTTACATTTAGCAAATTAATAGAAATGCCGATCAAAATCAGACCGTGTTATCCATACCATTTATAAACTTTTATCCAAATATATAATTTAATATTCAAGTCTCAATACTTGATGATTACTTTTTTAATTATTGAAATTGGACATGCCATTCAAAAGATATCATGAAATAAAAATAAAAATACATGCCGTCGGCGGCCGCCACGCCGCGCATCGAGGAACTAATTCGACGATAGAGTGAGTGGGCTCCTTACGCAGTGGGCGCGAACGACATTAAATAATTCGATTTTTTTTTAAACATTTTTATGCTTCACTTAAAAGTTCTTTTCAAAGCTACTTAGTTTTAATATTAGGAATCACACTTTGCATAATGTTTGTCAAAGTACTTTTCAGAACTATCGCTTTAAACTTGAATATTTTCTTGTGTATTATTATTAGTTTATTCTAAACTTCTCTGATTTAAAATGAACATTCTTCATAGCAATATGCCTAGACGAAGAAGGTCGCAGATAGCTAAGAATAGTTCCCAAGCGAGATTAGCAATTGTTCGTCGTATTGGAGTCTTCTTCCTAAAATGATCGTCTGGAAAGTATTAGAGTGTACGCTTCCCAATCGCGAGCCAGAGAATCTATCGTTGAATATTCAGATTCGTCTTGCAGAACAAAATGCAAGACCGTCGCAGCGACTTGAAGGAAATAGAGCTATGAATTCGCGAACGCGTGCACGGGACACTAACACTGAACGCTCACAGGTTGTTAACAATTAGGACGCGCAATACATTTTTTTTCTAATTTAGTGATTCATGGTCGTTTTAATTAGCATGCTTATAATTTGAATATCTGTACTTATTTATGTCTACCCGTGCGAAGCCGGGACAGGACCGCTAGTGTATAATATTACTATATATAATGTATTTTATTATCGCAGTTTTAATGGTTACAGATATCAGTGAAGTCTTATTTTTAGAACAAGCTCTTTGGGTACGGAAGAAGCTAAATATCCTTCACCTACATACATTTCTATGAATTTAACTCTTAAGGTGGCAATTGTACATTACTATGTATGGAGTTAGTCAGATTAATAATCTCGATTGCAGTATTGACACATCACATCCTGAAAATTTATAAAAAAACATCTATATGCAATAATAAAACGACAAAATTTTTAATTATTTATTTAATCCATGGATTAGGTACACAATATGTATTAGTACTATTTACTTCTCTAACTTGAAATTGACGTGTTAGAAAGAGAATGTGATACGAAAGATCGGAAGGCGTAACGTACATAATTTAAATGTTTTGCACTTTTGTCCTTGTTTGAAGTAATAATGCGTTCTTAAAACTACAGTTAGCCCGGGTTAGTCAAAGATGTATCGTAACTATCAACTTACTCAAGTAATATAGATAAACACTATCTATAACTTTACATAGAACACTTTAACGGTTTAAAGCGCGATAAATATTAAACTTATTAGGAAAACATTTTAACTACGGCCCGACGTTACGAATGCACCCATGGTCACGGGGAGACTAAAGATCGAGAGTGTCTCTGACGTCAAAGTAATTAATTGCTTCAAATAAGCTTAAGTAATATGTAACGCGTTTTAAACTGTTAAGGTGCTTTATTTAAATTTGTACTAGAGACACTACCTATAAGATCCAGTTTAAAAGTGTGTTTAGGTAAAGAATTAAATTACCTTAGAGCAAGTTGTGTACACTACGTACTTTGACCTAGGCACGCTTTTCCCCCAATCGTGGTACAAGTATCATTCGGAAACTAAAGTAGACAGGCTTTTTATCTCTATGAGTATTACTGAATCGGTAAAGCTTCAAGCAGACAATGATACCGAGTGTCCGCGCGATGTTAAGTGCAATCACAAATTCTTTGGTCACCAATGCCAGACCGCGAAGATACTAGACACAGGCACGGCGTATAATACTGTTTATAGACGTATACAATAAATAAGATCAAAATATTTGGTTCCGCATACGAGTGACGAAAGTATATACTAACGTGTTCGAAACGAATAGTCACCACTGACCAATTGAGAAAGAAATATAAGGAAGCGACTTTTTTTAAAGATCGGATTTTTGCGAATTGTTCAAACAACTTTTAACGGTTCAAGACGCAAAATTAACATCTTTACAACTCATTGTAAAAAAGTAATTTTCTTACGCGTCACACCACCAAATACTATGAAACGACACAATGTTTCGTCAGATTTTGAAAACGTTTAGAACTAAATGTTCTGTGTAGTTTACTTCTTCTTAGAGTTAACATCCAATTCAAAATTGTAATTGGTTCTACTTGAATAATTCTGAGTGAATCGATTGCAAAGTGGACATTAAGTTAAAAATGTTTTAGATTATCTAGTTGAGATCAGTAATTGTCATCCTAGTGAGTTGTTTACCATAAGGTAATGTCGGCCGCGACTGGCCCTATACGCTAACAACCAATTAACTAACTAAAGCGACGCCATTTGTCACGTGTTGTTACAATTGGTAAAGACTTAGATTAAAAATAAGATTGATTACACGCTTATAATATACAAGAGAACAATTTACCTCCAAACTCTATAAATATCATAAAACATCCATAATAGAGTAAACGAAAATGTCTTAGAGACGGTACTTCCAGTTTTTGTACGGATTTAAACGATTTTAAATAAAACCGTTTACAAAATTTTTATATATTAGTTAATATATGCTTCTATGGTACAGTAAAATTTCGTTCAATATCTTCCCATTTCTTAACGTATAAATGATTTAAAATCCATCAACGTCTGAAGAGACAATATAAATAATTTGACCTATGAAAATCAAAATTTTAGTAAAGAATTTTTATAAGAGATAAAATGAGTTTTAAAACTAGTAATATACATATATAAGCCAGTTTAATTTTAGGCGTGCATGGTTCACTACTGAATCTTGCTTTCATTAATTCCTTTTTTTTAATTTATGATTTTCAATTTGTCCTTGAAGGGATTATATTTTTGCCACGTTCAGTAGCAAACGACACGCTATATCTATGAATGAGAAAAACCTAACTAACATTAGAGTAAAAATAATTTATCATGGGATAGGCTAAATAAATTAATATACTTCATAGCATTTTTTCCTAATGATCAACAGGTGCATTTGTTTGATTTCCAATCGGAGACGTACGAGCACAGTCTTCGTCCATAATTACACGAACTCTTGACGCTGCAGTGCCACGGACACCTTGTAGAGGCTCTCCATCATGAAAGACAGGTTCTGCGACAGTTCCTTCACTGGACGTGTTATTGCCACCATATCTGAAATAATTATTATTTATAGCTCGACCCGGTCCACTTACCGGTGGTTCAACAATTTGGTATTGTTGCAACGTTTAAATAAAACACTTTAACGGTTTAAAATGCGTTATATATTAGTTAAACTTATTTGAAGCCGTGGCAGCTGTTGTCACGGGGCTGTTGCAAAGCAAGCGAAACGTTGGGCCGTAGTTAAACTAATTTTCAAATAACTTTAACTATTAAAATATCGCGTCTTCAACCGTTCAACCAGAAGTTCAACATTTTGGACCCTCGGCCAAAATGCTGGGGTATCGAACCCTCGGCCCTTTGGTTGTTATTAGCCACACACTACTACCATACCAACGAGCTCGTTAAAAACCAGTGACTAAAAACCTATTCATAAGAAACTTGTAACATGTTAAACTGGACCTCCTTGGAAATTTATAATTTTAATTTTTAAATTAATTAATGGTTATATTGTTATTCTATAATATATATGTTGGCTAGGGTATATCAATCTCGGAATTATATTTATTATATACTACTTTACTAAAAATCACTCCTTTACTTTTATGCGCGGGCCAGTCTGAAAACCAGCGCTGCTGAGTGTGACAAGCATTCAGCAGCATAGCTGAGACTGGTACCGATTGCCATCTCTTATATATTTATTACTATATTATTATTCTTTTTATGTACACATTTAGTTATAAGTTATAAGTTTGTAAATATATATATTTTATGGCAATAAACGTTTTGAATTTGAATTTGAACATCGGTAAGTGATGTGATATATGTATACAAAAGTTGTCGAGTGATAAACAGTTACCAGGGTGCCCTTGAACCAGCCCCTTGCAATAGACGTGAAGAAGGCTGGTAACGTCATCTTCGGGTAGTTCGCCGCGTTCCAGGATTCGTTCAGCGTTGCGTTCCCGTACCAGCGACAGGGCCGCACCCCATCTGCAATTAGGAGACCATCGTCTAGTTCAGTTGCTACTTTGCTCTAAGTGTTTGAGTCAAAGTTTTATGTTACTTTTCTGTAGCTGTCTTTTTAATGCAGTATATCTAATATATAAAGCTGAAGAGTTTGTTTGTTTGTTTGAAAACGCTAATCTCGGGAACTACTCATCGGAATTGAAAAAAATCACGCCGCGACCAATAGGAGCGAGGAAACACTGGGAAATGTGAAAAAAAAACGGGAAAACACGACGAAAACAAAATCCAAAATATATGGATAATATGATAATTCCTCTGTAAATGATGCAAAAAAAGTCTGCGAGAGTCTATCTTTTAAGATTAACTTGCAAGAACGACGGGAAGCGAATGCCATAGTGGGTGACAGCTACAATTTACAAAGATGTGGACAAAGTCGCTGACACAGCTAGTTCAGGCTATTCGGCGTCCAGTACTCGACAACTCAAAGGTGGAGAGATTATATTGAATTAGCGAGGGTCGACTTTACCTTTGTCGTTGTATTAGCTGCAAGAGCCGCGAGTCGTCGTGCGGCGCGGGCGACGGTGAGGTCTCCCAAGAGTCACCGGCGTGAGCCAACAGCGCTGCACGGACACTGTTCACTGCGCTGCTCATCTCTACGCCCTGGAAGTCATATTGGCATAAATTAATTACATCTAACAGAGTTACTATGCTACCAAAAGAATGCGTAAAGATTAAAACTGAGGTTAATAAATTGTGTAAGGCTTTCACGGCCATCGTTCAGCATATCATTGTCTTTCGGGCTGTTCGGCCGATGTTAGCGAGAAGAGGTTTTCGACGTTTCGCTATCACGTCTGGTCGGCCCAAAAGACAATGAAACGCTGAGGTTATTGACCCCTTACGAATCGAAAACGAGACTGATCGAAAATATCCTTATAACAAAAGACTGCTAATATCTCGCGTTACAAATCGTTAAGTGTTATCTTTAATTTAATGGCTCTGGAAAATTTGGACAGGATTAATGATAGATGCTTACCCTATTATCAAGAGCCGCGTGGTATACTGCTACCACCATCTTGTTGTTGGTTTCCAGCAGCAAGAGCAGCTGGAATATCAGCTTGTACAGACAGCGGCCGGTCTCCTCCATGCTCCGTGATACTTCTAACGTCTGTTAAAATAACCACAATGCCTTGTCTTAAAGTGTCAAAAATTATGCTTATACTAAACGTTGTAAAAAAAACACGATTTTAAACTGAAAAAACTTAACGACACAGGCCTTAAACCGGCATCTACAGCGTTCCGTGCTGTTGCTCTTACCGACACGAGCAGCTCAATGAGTGCAAAGTTTTTCTCTAGTGTATTTAGTATGCACCCGAGCGACGCCGAGGCGGGTCGGTAGTTAGAAATATTTTACTATTATATTTCGCGTTTAAACCGTTTTGGTGTACACTCCAGAGAAGATTACTATAGATTAGAGTTAAATCTGGAAGTAGTCTCCTCACCTCAAGCCTGTCGAAGTACGTCTCCAGATGTTCGTTGATTTCTAGAGCAGCAAATCGTACCGCGTCCCTGACGCGCGCGCATTCGGCAACAGCGGGCGCACACCATAGCAACGGCGGCTCTTCCGTGCTGAGCCGCTCAAGAACTGCGCCCAGCTCGCCCCCTCCCAGGCCCACGCTCAAACCCATCATGCCCACTAGTGAGCCCTCGCCGCAGACCGATATTGTTTTCGCCGTTACCTCCTGTGAAATTGTGGGTATTATTTAGGCTAATGAGTTTTGATAAGGAGAACAGAGAAGCCGAAACGCGACTAAACTGCAAGTTCATCTGTAGACGGTGGTTCTTAAAGCGGACGGGACAGCGATTTAATATCCAGTTATCCAGACGAAGTCCATGTTTCAGAAAAAATATAAACTGTTTAGAAAAATGTTAGAACTGGTGGGGGTCGCCCCGACGACCCGTCGATGAATAGTCATCGGATCAAAAATCCCGCCAAAAGGCGATGAAGATCGGGCCGTTTTTATATATTGAAATTGTTTTATATAAGTAAGAATCTTCTAAGAAAACGTTTAAAGCTGTTTAAAACTATTTTATCTTGATTAACTTCATAATACCTTGAGAACGGTATGCAGACGATGGACGAGTGTCATCGGTGGCAACTGGCTCGCGTGGCGTAAAAGAGCCGCGACCGAACATCGCCACGCATCGCGCATAGCGCCGGGTACTGGTGTCAACTCACCTCGTTCCGCTTAAACAAACAGGAAAGATTAGCACTGGTACAAGAGATTTACAAATTGTAAAATAAAACGTCAATACATAAGTAATATAGATTTTACAGGTTTAACATTAAATAAACACTTCATGGTTTAAAACACGAAATGTACTGTTTTTGTTAATATCTTAGCTTATTTTTAACACGTGGTCACGGAAGGACTGATGCATTTCACGTTTTAATAATTGTTAAATTTTTTTTAACGATAAAAAAGGACAGACATTAAAAACAAGACGCGCTGTCGATGTATTTTTGGATTTTTTCGGCTTTGGATATCCGATCGAAGTGTTTATTTATTTCTGTATTTCATTTTAATGTATACCTACTACTACACTATGAACAATACTCAACACACTGTCTTTTTTCCGCTTGATTTAAATTTACTTATATATAATATGTTGACGTGTTCATTATTATTGTGCAGGTTCAGACAGCCAGTTCAATTTATTGTATTTGAAATCTTACCATCTTGATCCCCACTAGAGGCACTTGACAGGGAGAGAGCTCGTGGCCTCAGTGACATATCGTGGGCGCCGTCTCCCTCCCCCCGACTCCCACTTTCGTCCCAAGCACCCTCCTCATCTGACGAGTCTTCGTGTCCGGCCTGGAAACGTGCATAACTTAAGAAGCCACTTACAACAAAATTGTAGACATGTAGATAGACATATAATAAATAAAATAGTAATACGTAACAATAATAGTACAAGTAGTAGTAAAGTAATACACTAGATACTTTCGGTGTATTTTTTCTAACTTGGCAAAAGATCACAAACAAATATGGCCGACCATAGAGAACTTATGGTGAAATTTCATAGAGCCAAGTCGATACCACAGGGATATACATATATTGACCAAGCGACTTCAATACTCAAAATCTCTTTTATGATGACCTTTTTATATATATTTTTTTTGTCATTATTATTCAACTCAACATTTGTAACGCTTTTCAGCGATCGTGTTGAATGGGACTTCTACCCTCTATTGTCGTCTACTTTGCTTGCATACCATCTCTATGTCAAAGAAATTGGATGAAATTGTAGTTTTTACTACAAATTTACGTACGATTACCAAAAATACCAAGTTAGGAAAAATACACTGTACGAACGTAACTGTATCATAAACAATTTCTATCTCTTACCGGTCTATGATGGTGTCGCTCAGTGAACTCGGTAACCGGGGCACTCCTTTCACGAGTAAGACCTTCCTCCCTCTCTTCACTCGGCAAACGACGACGCACGCCCCAGTTGAAGTTATCAGAACTCTCACCCTGAAATAATGAACACATTAATGACGGGACGTCGATCTAATGGTAGATTGCTACGGGTCGTGGGTTCGGTCCCCACCGGGAATATCGATTAATAATTGTTCTGAAACATGTTGGACTTAATCTGGATTTTAAATGGGTGGTAGATATCGCAATTTCGTCCGGGTCACGACTTTTTTTTTAGGTGGACAGTGTATCTTGCTTAGATGATATATGGCTGGGGTATTTCAGGTCCCATCAAGTGAACTGCAGGCTTTTGTCCTCCTCTATATTAGAAAAATGCTCTTACAACTAAAATTCAGATGGGGAAAAAATATTTCGCTCATATAAAAATTCGATATAAAAATTTAAAATCTATTTACAGTCCTTGCATCAAACGCGCGGAACGCTGTTTATGCAAGTACTACTCGTGTCGTGATTTTTTTTTCTTCTTTTATTAAGCTAGAAGCATAGAACGTTACCTCAATACTCTCGCTCTCGTACTCCAAGAAGTCAAAGTCCTTGAAGACGCCAAAGTGATCGGTGGGGGGCGCCCCGCCGGAAGGTTCATTGCCTGGTGTCCCGGACACCTCCTCTAGCGAGGATGCCATTGAGGACTCTCGTTCTAGCAACTCCGAACTTTGACTGAAGATCACCTAAAGAGAAACTCGAGTATAGTTTACGCAATAATAAATAATTTGAATTGTTCTTTCGGTTTAATTAGCAACATACATAGCTTGAGGATTGAGTGATTTTCAGTTAAGCGTAATGTTTACAGCTAGTGAAGTTGTGACCTATAGTAAATTCTTTGCAGGATAAATGAGGCTGCTGGAGCCAGAGTAGCCTAATAACAAAAACATGATTTTCAATAATGAAGAAAATAAAAATGCGCAACTTAGGCGAAACTAAATTTGTAGTATTATTTGTGTAGAAGTTATGTTAACTGTGTAAATATTTTCGGTCACCATGCTCTTATAGATGAACATTTTAAGACTAAAAAATATTATAAGTCATAAAACTGCAGATAGGCTACAATGCCTCTAGCGGCCTCAATTTAGTCATACAAAATAATAATTTCATTTTTCGAAGTTTCTTCTTATCACATAAATATTGTAACGCATTTTATCGTACTGAGAAACACTATAGCAAAACAATATCAGTTGCCTGAGTGCTGCAATCTCGTGAATGTTATTGAATGTTTAGTATAATAGACATACATACAATAAGTGCACGAACAAAATCGTATTTTACAATTTTGGTCAATTTCATTCAACCCACTTGTACTAGAATGTTATATGATGTGAAATAACTGTGTTTTACCAACAGTGGTGGACAAGTAAATTACACCTGTATTTTGGTGGTCGTTAGATTATAAAAGTTTTTCAAATGAGCTTTGGATGTTATAAAGCTTGACACTTTTAATATTTTTCACATGATGGCACTATGTAAATTAAAAAACGATTACAATTCAAATAATTTACGATTCCGTCAGGGCTTGAACCGGCATCCACGTTCCGTGCTGTTGCTCTAACCCATTGAGGTACCGTGTCCTACACGTTATTGTCGAATTTCAACCTTTATAACTAACTAATTTAACTGTTATAACTTTTTTATTTCATCTTCAATGATTCTCTTAAGCTGCAAATGATAAGACATTGAATCTTAAAACGCAAGTGGCAAGGTTGAAATTACTATAGGTAGGATTCGGTAGCTCAATTGGACGCAACAGCACAGAGCGAAGCAGGTTTAAATCCTGCCCGAGGCGAACCGTTCTTCAATTTATTTTCGATTTTTAACTTTTTAAGGCAATCAATTACATATTCTCTGAATAAACCTCTTCCAACCGACACACCTAAGTACTTATTTACAAGACACACGTGAAGCCGTACTATCTGATATAGCGTCTAGTTTTGAACCCACGGCCAAAGCCAAGCGTCACAGTGATAGTGTAAGCAATCCATTCCTCACTCGATAGCGTTGTCGAAGCTTACATATACAAATTACCTTTGAGCACAGAGTAGTTAATAAATCATCCTAAACGCAGCAATGGGTAGAAATATACAGATTATTAACTAAAGACACGCCCACTGACGGCACAAATAAACACCGTGCAAATTTATATGAAACGGTTTTAAACGCGGAATTATTAATCTTAAAATCACTCAACATAAATGACGAGTCGAAGTAAATGGTTATCTAATATGTTTAGCGTTCAAAATCGTTAAAAGTATTTAGTTAAGATACCTTTTTGCATTTTAATTTAAAAAAATCTAATTTCTGTATGATTTCCATATTTCAATGGATTTAATTCATTGGGTTGAATGATCGGTTTAGTCTTGGGCTAACGCTACGCGCGTTGCGATAATGGTTACAGAAACCAAATATATATGAAAAAACGATCTAGAAAAGGGTACGCGATCTATCTTTTACGATTAACTCGCAAGAACCGTTTTAATAGTAACATAAAATTCGAAATATGGAAATTTAACTTTCGAGTCACCGTTAAGTAAATATGACATCAGTGGGCTATCTAATTATCGTGCTTTTGTACAAACGTAATATAAAGCTGGAAAAGTTACAGTTACTCACAGACGGGCTCTTTGGCAGGCCGACCCGCTGTCCACAGGTCGTTAGGAGATTCACGAGGCATTCCCGGACTCGGCTCTGCAATGTTACATCGGATAAATGAGAGAAAGATATAGATTTAACGAAAATTAATCTATTTAAATAAAACACTTTAACGGTTTAAAACGCGATATATTAGTTAAACTTATTTGAAAATGATTTTTAACTTCGGCCCGACGTTCCGGATGCTTTGCAGCAGCCCTGGTCACGGGGAGAATATATGGCTGGGGTATTTCAGCTTTCATCAAGCAAAACTTGATCGTGCTCGTCTGTCGCCTTCCATCATAAAGGAATATTTTATTCAAAAAAATAAACCTCGAAAAAAATTTATGTTTTTTTGTAAGAACAAAAATCGAACCTGCGACATCCACGGCCTCCGCCAGCCGCTGGCAAGCGCATCCGCGGGCGAGAGCGATAGCGAACGACGTGGTGAGGCAGCGTAATGTGGTACACTGTTCGCTGGCTGACTACTTTCGGCACCCACCACTGTAGAAGCTGAACCAGTCGACGAGCCTTAAATGTAAATGATACGTATACATTTAAATAAAACACCTTTAACGGTTTAATACGCGAAATATATTAATTATAGACACATAGTAATAGTAGAATTATCTTATTTAATAAATAAAGAAAAATAATGTCCATCTTTTTAGTGTTTAAGTTGTATTTTTTTCTCTGTTCTTTTTTTAATACAAAAGGATCATATAAAAAAATATTTATCTTTGTTTGGCAACTTTTAAATAATACGTCTAATATTAAATAATAATACAGCTATATAGCTCTTTTGGTGTCTAATTATTAAGATAGACATACAAACCTTTGTCTGGGGTAGTTGATGACGCGTTAGACAGAGAACTAGGTCCAGTTGGGGGTTGGCTCCCCCCTTTCGGCAAGTATTTACGGCCTATCACTGGAGTTTGAGAGAGATCAAAGGTGAAGTCCATGGTACGGCCAGGTAGCTCCTGAAAATGAGTGTTATCTAGTGTAAATTATGTGTATAAACGAAAAAAAATATCGATTATATTCAATGAATGAGACTTTTTCATACAAACTAAATAACGCAAGAGGCATTGAATTTTACCACACTCCTTACATCGCAATTATCTATGAATGTTATTCATTCTAGTGTTTGTAGTTATAACTTTACTTTTAGTGGTTTAGAAAAAGAATTCTTGCACATAAAGTGCTCGGCAGATTTTAATTAAATTTTGCAAAAATCTATCAAGCCCTATTTCATTAAATTTAATGTAATTAAGTTTGTCTGCGCCCTCCATTTATTAATACATATATGTAATAATATACGACGAAAGAAAGCGGCTACAAGAATATTGAATGAGATTCGACTTTGAGAGAATTGTTTGAATAAAACTTTCTTCCAGTTTTAGTAGATGTTGTTCTGAGCGGAAGCTTAGCTTAGCTCAGCACGAGTAAAATCGATTTTTAGCTTTTATTTTTACTATTTCAACCTTTCGAGACATATATTTAAAAGTAATTGTTGACTTAGACATAATAATACTTTTAATAACTATGTTATAAAACATACCTTTTTATGTATTAGCGGATCAAGAGCGTGTTCCCAATGTGGTGGTACAACAAGGGTTGAGCACCGGGTTACAACCAGTTTGAGAATCTTCATCGCCTCCTTGTAGTTATTTCCATCTTGCTGTAAATTACATATTATTATTAAAAGGGGCGTGGTTAATTTTCGTAGTGAAAAACTTGTAAAGGTCAAGAGAATACCTAAGACCTGAACACTTGCAATAGTTCATTCGTAACATTAAAATCGGTAATTCTGATCTCAAGAAATTGTACTTTTAAATAAAACACTTTTAACGGTTCAAAACGCGGAATGTTCAAAAATGTTCTATTTAAATTTACACATTGAAATATAACATTTTTAACGGCATAATACCCGAAATATTAAAATTAAGTTAACAGTTCACTACAAGTCGTTTTAAACCTTTAAGTGTTTTATTAACTTAAATTAAATATTGTTTATGTGTTAATTTTAACAGCTTATTTAAGAAAGTAGTAAAACATACGTCAATAAATTTGGCGACCGCCTTTAGAAGGTCAGCGTTAACGGGCTGCGCTGCAGGTGCGTTCAGTTCCACATAGTACAGCATGCAGTGTAGAATAGACAACACCGGTAGTTGAAGATTTGTCGCACCCTGTATAAGGAACGAATAAAACAATACAATTATAATTTACCAAAAAAACATGTCAAAAATAACGTCTGTTTTATTATAACGAAACATAAGACTTTTAATAACAAATTTTGATGATCTAACTATTCTACGTGGACGAAGTTGCTGACAAAGTGAGAAATTTTATACATTATAAAGTGTTTGAATTCAGGAAATTTAACAAAAATAAATAGTAAGCAAAATACGTGTTGTTTTATTATTTAAGAATATATTTAAATTGTATTAACTATACAGGTATACCTTTTCCAAAACCTCTACCAGGAATGCTAGCATCTGCAGCGAGAGATGCGAGTAGGTATCCCACAAGTATTTCACCACACACTTGGTCCACTGGAAGCTCTCCTTGCTGAAGGTGCGACGCGAGTAGAGCGTCATTACAGTACCTAAATTCTCCAACTTCTTGCTTTTCTCCGCTGTGAACTAAATTATGAAAATATATGTATATACTTTATTCTTTTTTTAATGATAAAGGAAGACAAACATAGCATGGGGCTATGGCCCAATAAGGGCCCAATACTGCATGCATACTAATGCAGTATTGGGCCGTTGTAAAAGACTACCTGAAAAGGCCGAATACCGAATAAAAAAGCCGGATAAGCCGTATACCGAATAGTAAACGAATGTCCGTATAAGCCTAGTATGGAGTACATTTTAAAGCAATTTTATTCATATATATTTTTATTACCTGTGCTATATGGCAAGCTGCGCGTACGCATAGTTCGTTCGCGTCTTCATAGTGCAAGAGCATATAGGGCAGCAAGGCGACCACCGTCATTGGGAAAGCGAGTGATTGCGTAGGATCGATCACGGGCAACTCCAGAAGCGGGATCATATCAACGAGGACCCCAACCACTGGCTCGTAGGTATTCGGATGCGTACAGCCCTAGAACAATATGTAGTTATTAGCTTAACAATAATGTAAGTTAATTTTTGCTATGTAAAAAATAATACGGGATTCCAAGGATAGAAAAACATACAGTATATTTCAAATATTACGAACAGAACATCGATAGCTAGTAATTAAATATTAATACCTTTCAATAGAAATGTATATACTAGCTGACCTGGCAAAGGTTTGTCGTAGTATGGTATTCCAATAAAAAAATTATTATGAGTTAATCTTAAAAGATCGTCGCACGGACATTTTTTTAGATCATTAAAAGAGGAATCATTCATTACTACATATTTTTGGGTATCTTCAATCAACAAAAACTCATAAAAAAGAATAATTTTCCCCATTTATTCCACATTTCCCTCACTTCTATTGATCATTTTTTAGCAGCGCTATGTTTTATATAGTCTTTCTCAGTCAACGATCTAACCAATACAAAAATATCCATTCGAACCAGTAGTTCCCGACATTAGCGCGTTCAAATACACGAACAAACTTTAGCTTTACAATATTAGTATAGATATAAATTCATTTTGTAATAAAAAAATATCCACAGACAAAAATCATACGGTATATATGATATTTCAAACATAACCTCACTTGTATATTTATTTTTACAACTTTCAACCCATCTACTTGATCACTTAATTCTAGCCTTTTCAATTTAGTTTCAGCTAATGTAAACAGCGACTGTTTTTTATAAATACCTTGAGCAGTAGCGAATGTAGAGACGTCGGTGAATGTGGCGCGTGTACTTGTGTGCGATCGAGGCGCTCGCGCGCATCCGGCCTGTCAAGTGGTAGCCTCGCCATGACTCTGGCCAACAACCGTACTCCGAGAAGAAACTCATGCTCATAATCTGATTCGAGCACGGACGCACCCACCCAAAACACCGTGGCTAGAATTGTCAGTTTATCATCCTGAAAATAACCCGATTAATATTATACATGTTTTAACTTTTACAGCCTTTTTAGGCCAAATGGTTAAATATTAGCAATGCGTTAAGCGCGAGAGGTATAATCGAATCCCAGGAAAACAATAGAACTTCCGAACAGGCACAGAAATCCGAGCACTACTCGTCTGTAAAAGAACCGATCAATGATATGGACTCGGAAATGTTCGCCCCACGCGTTACTAGGGAAGCGGGATTATATAAAAATATGTAACTGTACGAATTGATAAAAAAAAATAATCTTTGTACATATAATGACGTCACACTTTTTTTCTTACATTGACCAAATATATTACGACACACGACAATGCCAAAATAAAACCTAAAACTCTAGCGTAGCCGCGAAAATCGTTTTGTCTCAAAACGACAATTTTACACAGCGCTTATCAACGTTCTAGCTAAACTATGCTTCATAAAGTGAATACGAATCCATTTCAATACAACTTCATTCGTAACTAGAACTAATGATGGAGCCGAGTCGTATGAGCAAGAATTTTCATAAACGCCGCCGTCCGACATATTTGCAACTCTGCGGTGCTCGAACTAAGTTAATCTTTATGAAATGGATTCCTAGCGATTTACTACGATATTTACCGGTAGTCGTTTGAAGGGAGATGCTATGAAAAACGGCTAAAAATAACATGAGGAATTATAAATCGTTTATTTAGTACAACAATAAAAAGGATTAACGGGATGTAACGGTTACGGATTTTTATCTGTAGACGATAGTTCGTTATCCGGACGGAATTTCGACATTCCTACCAAACATTTAATATCACAATTTATTACTAACAATATCGAACAAATAATGTAAAATTTAAATACAATAAACTCAAAATGTCATTGCTTAATTCACTATTTGCCCTCTTTATATTTAATTTACTTAATACAAATGAAAATAAACTTAATTCTAGTTCTTTTTTTGTGTTCTTAATTCTTTATTAGCTTATGTTTAGTTTTAAGTGTTTTTAAGTCATGTGTGTTGTTTAGCAGTAGATATAGGAAATAAACAATAAATAAAAAAAATGGCCCCAGTGGGGATCGAACCCACGTTAAAAATTGAGGTTGCTAGACGCAGAGTCGCCTAATAACAAAAAACAAATAAGGAGGAAAATAAAAACGCGCAGTTTAGGCCGAAATGATTATGTACTATTATTGGTGTAGAAATTATGTTAACAATTTTCGGTCACTGTGTGTGTAGATAAATATTTTCAAACTGAATACTGTCTGTAGTTTACGCGTGTAGTACACATTTAAATAAAACACTTTAACGGTTTAAAACACGATATCTTCTATTAGTCGAACTTATTTCAAAATTATTTTCACCAAAAATTAAATATATATCGTGTTTTAAACCGTTAAAGTATTTTATTGACTTTTTTAAACTAAGAAAATATAATAAGTCATAAAGATGCAGTTAGGCTGCTCTGCCTCTAGCGGACTCAGTTATTGGTACCATCATACCAGCGAGCCCGTCAAAAGAAATTTTGTTATTTCTTTGCAATAGTTAAACATTCAGCTGAAGGTCAGTTACATGGAAAGGGATCGATAAAATACCTGCGTGGCTGTATCGCCGAGTAGTTTTAGCGACTGCGCAGAACGTGACCGACATAAGTTAGAGCACGCGCCCTTCACCGCTTCGCTGCATAACCGGGTCCTGCTCTCTGAAATCAATATTGCACAAGCTAAGAAATATGTACATTGAAATACACTTCAGTAATGTCTGTGTGTTATACAATATACTTTTTGGTTCTCGTTCTCACTATTCAAAAGAAAAAATATGACATAAAATTTTTTCACAGTATAATTTCATGCTGAACTTTATTTAAATAAAACACTTTAGCGTTTTAAAACGGGATAAATTAGTTAAACTTATATGAAAATTATTTTAAATTTCGGCCCGACGTTTCGTATGTTATGCAGTAGCCGTGGTTACGGGGAGATCTGCCTAACTTTAATTTATTGCACGCGATGGCACTATAGAAATAAAAAATCGATCGAAAACTATACATCTTCTATACTATATTATAGTACTAATTATACTATATATGTACAATTTAATCTTTATCTATATATCAGAAGACCTAGTTTGTTTTTTTTAATTATTTGCTTTTAGATTGAAGTAAGTATTTTTAAACGAGATATGAACGTAAGGAATCTTAAAAAAAAAACGATTTAAAATAAAACACTTTAACGGTTAAAAACGCGATATATATTAGGTAAACTCATTCGAAGATGATTTTAAACTACGGCCCGAAGTTTCCCCGTGACTACGACTACTGCAAAGCATCGGCGTTTATGAAATGTCAGGCCGTAGTTAAAATAATTCTCAAATAAGTTTTATTAATATATATCGCGTTGTAAATCGTTAAAGTGTTTTATTTAAATGTGTTCTACTCGCATAAACTACAGACAAAACGATTTAGATTGAACAAAATGTAAAAAATATAAAATATAGAGCCATCATGTGAAAAAATCATTTCATTGATTAATATTTTAAAACGTATTATAAATACACGACTTGATGGTACTAACCGTGCGAATGCTTGTCAGAGGGCGTAGAGTGCGACGAGTGCGGGGCGGAGGGGGCGTTGCTCTTGCGCATGCAATATGACACTGAGTAGCTGGTGCTGCGTGTGTGGTTGTTCACGCAACCGACGCAGACGCCCGGCGAACGCTTACCTGAAGAGAAAACGGTTGACAATGTTTACAGTATTAGTAGTAAAGTGGAATAATTCTTTCATACACATTTTTTGGGTATCTTAAATCGATTTCGTCATGTACACATCGTAAACCTAGAAATAACAATCATTTGCCCATTTCCCACTGTTTCCTCGCTTCTATTAGTCACAGAGCGACGTTGAAGCCTATAACCTTCTTCAATTAATCCTATAACCATCATAAAAATAATCCGAACCAGTAGTTTCTCAGATTAGGGCGTACAAACAAACAAACAAACAAATTCTTCAGTTTTATATATTAGTATAGATGTATGTTTTTTGAGTCTCACCAGCATTATAAACGTTTCCATTTGGCTGCGGAGCTTCTTTATTATTTAGATTGGGCGTGCTTTTGAATATGTCTCGCATGTAGTCTAGCGGTCTGAAGTTCGATTCCAGCGAGTCCACAGCCGCTTCGAGGGTCAGGAGCAGCTCTGTGACGTAGCCTTGCATATCTTCCCCTTGTTCGGCCACCGTCTCTACCAGCCGCGAGAGAATATCGGAGACCATACGGCCGGTCATCGCCACACCAATGAAACGAAACACCTGAAAATTTATTGAATGATTAAGTAGTGCTAGTTACGGATGCTTTGCAACAGCCGCGGTCACGGGGGGTAATAGTTAAAACAAATTGTAAATAAGATACATTTCGCGTTTGTATGAAATTGAGATTAATACATCTTTTAAAAATCATATTAACCAGCGTTAGACAATTTCCAGTAGCCAGAACTATTGTAATAATAAAAATCGAATTTTAAATCATTGAAACCTGTTTTATATTACCTGAGATAATAAGTCTCGCAGTATTTTCAAACTTTATATGGCAGTCAGCATTTGTAGCAAACTGAATCTATGAATAAGTGCAAAAGCTTACACTAAGTGGATCGTACCTGTAGCGAACGTCCAGCATAATGTCTGGACGGACACGAAAGACCGAGTTGTAAAGCCGTCTGTGCCCACCGCTCCGATATAAGCGCATGCGGCAACGATTCGCGGAAGATGCGCAGAACGTGCGCCAACAGTGTCGCCATCTGTTGGCAACTGCGCAGCGACCAAACTGAAATAGAAGAATATACAAATACAAATATTCTTTATTGTCACAAAACAAAACAAAAAAAATATAGATGATGTGTATTTGGAAAACCATAGACTGTAACCGAAATGAGATTAAAGTGTAATATTTATCTTTGGACGGTGGTACATGACCCGGTCGGAAATTAGATATACCTACACTCAATTAATATCTAGATTTCCAGATGGAGTCCAACATGTTTCAGCAAAATTATAGATCGTTTAAAAACATGATGGTACTGATGGGGATCCAATCCGTTGATTATAAGCCATACATCGATATCATTAGGTGAGCGAGGCCGTTGAAAAAATATTTACTGTTAGAGGAATACTGAGATGACGTCATCAAGGAGGGAGTAAGAAGAAGTGCTAACAAGTGTCTCACAACTTTTCTTAGGGAAGACTCGATCCGATTGAATAGTTAATCTGTCTTTCATTCAAATAATTCTGTGTTGTGTTATTTATTAATTCGAAAGTAGGTTTATTTAGTTTTTGTGATTTTATTTGGTTTGGCCTTTTTATTGTATTCTGCTCTTGGTCTATAAAATTACTTTTTTTATAGTCTTATAATACTGAATATACCTTTAGCTGTGATGTCCTCATACTGCCATAGTGGCATGTGTGTCGGACGACTGGCGAGGAAGTGTACCAAACTCTTAATCGCATCAGCGACAGGGAGTTCCGTCATCTCCTGAGGGTGGAGTGCCTCCCCCTCGGTCTCGCTTCCTCCCGGAGGCGGACCCTCCGTTTCATTGGTCACGATTACTGGAAGGGATGGATAGTTGTCGCCCTCAGCTGGAAGGGAGGAAAGATTATTATTACATCATTACAACATATAACATACAAAAATACATCTGTCTTTTGACACTGATTTTATTTTTTTTTTTATGTAGAGAGTGGCACTCTATCTTGGAAGGTGAAATACCCCCTAATATAATATGTTATTGGGCGTTATATGGCATCTCAACATAATGCGCTGTCTGCCTATTTTGGCTTTGGATAGTGGGAAATCCGCAGCGTTCCCACTTCATAAATTATAGGAATAGATAACTATAATACAACTAAAGGCTGTGTCACATTCAAACAATTCTTACGATTTGCTTTTACATTAAAAATAAACCAGGAAATTTTAAACAACTGTTAGATATGCTTTATCTCAAATAAACATTTTAAACAGTTAAAAACGCCGAACATTGTAATTATCTATACTACTGCTACAAAACACCCGAAAGGTCAGACCGTAGTGACAATAAATTGTAAATAATTTAACTAATACATTTCACGTTTTAAACCGTTAAAAGTGTACTATAACTGTTTAGTAGTTCCCGGTGCTGAAATTTCGATTTCTTATATTTCACGTTAGGTAAGAGACGGCTGGTAGAAAGGATAAAGGAGTCGCCAGTCCAAGAATAAATTGGTGCATACCTTCAGGCGTCACTTGTGGGTCTGAAGACAGCGAGCGGACGTGAGTCCTTGGCGAATGTGTGCACTGAGTTTGACCGTCGAACACGGCGTCTGGTTCTAAGAAATAAACACGTTTCATATATAGCTACTCGAAAATAGCAATTGTTTTAAAACATTCCACATTATATAAAAAAAAATCAACTAAGTAACTACGTAAGTAGATACGATTTGCAATATTTTTTTTAGTAATAGTCATCTAAACAAGATACGCTATCGGCGTATATTGGCTGGCTATGGATAATCGGGAACCCACACAGCGAAATTGACGGCTGTCTTTATCTGTTGACGGTGGAGATTCAAATTTAGAGACGAAGTCCAAACATGTTTCAGAAAAATTTTGAAACATGTTGGGCCTGGTGGGGCTCCGTTGATCATTAGCCATACATTGATAAAACCTTTTCCCGTAAGAACCGTTTTATGAATATCAAATTCGGTCGAAATAAGTACTACTTCTTAGAGTATCAACTTAATAATATTGATCTTGCAAATGACAAAACAACGATAGCCGGATCAGCGAATTATGAAATGTAGCACGGTAACTTTACCAGTAAAATTATGTATGACGAGTGGTAACGATGGTGGTGGTAACGGTAGACCGAGCTGGGAAGAGCGCGCAGCCAACAGCACACGGGCTACCGTTAGGTGGTCGTGGTGGGCAGCCACCGCCACCAGGAGATTCAGGAGCAACTGCCGGCAGTGTTGATGGACCAACCACCTGTAACACAAAATAAGGATATCAATGTGAATCTTAAGTATTGTCTACTTAGTATAATAAATAACCTAATACATTTTGCGTCTACAACGGTTAAAACTGTTTGATTTAAATGTGCACTCGCGTAAACTACAGACAATACTTAATATCGACTAATAACCAAAGACGAACATCTTCTACAAATCATACACGATTGAATTTTTATAATGTCTTTTAGTGCGAAATAGAAAGTATTTCTTTCCCATTAAGTTTTTAATATTTAGATTCGTCAAATAAAAATGAAAATTATTTGTCTGTCTGTCTGCTCGTCGTGATTCTACAGAGTGTTCAAAAGAGAACACGCAAGAAACTCAGTCCGTCTTGTTTTAACATGTCACTGCCAGGCATTCTTGTCATTAAAGAAATCGTTCAAACAATAATACAACCTCAACCTCAACTGGCTTTGGAATTTTCGTATTATATATACGAATACAATTCCCCGAAAATGAATTAGCTATTTTATGAAGCCTACTTTTGGAGATAGCTAATTTGCACAGTTTGGTTCATAACGATTAATTAAAAGCGACCCAATACATTGAATAAACCGAAATACAGTTCGCTTCATCGCAGCGTATTTCGCATTAGGATATTCTGAATCGTTGATATTTGGCAGGTCAAAGAGCTTTCTATTTAGCAAACCTCAAATATTTGTTCTATTTGTTTGATTGATACCGATTGCATTGGTGCAGAGACATGCTACAGGCTCAACGGGAGATGAAAGCCCCATTCATTCAACCCAATATAATGCGCATACAGTAACTATTGACTGAATGACAAATATGAGCAGTGGAAATCAAACTGACGTCCTAACGCACTAATGAGCGTTTCGATTATGGATGAGATATGGAGGATGAGAAGGGCGCTTAACGGTAACGAGCGAAAGAGCGTTAAATTGTTTCATATAATTTTGAAGTTAAAAAAAAAACATTTTTAACGTTTTAAAACGCAAAATGTAGCAGTTAACTTATTTAGAATTTATATAAACTACGTCCCAACGTATCGGGTGCTTTCAAGTGTTTAAATCCGTTAAAAGCGTTTAATTCAAATGTGTACTACTCTCGAAAACATTACAAGAAAGGCCCGACGTTTCGGATACTGAGAACGAAGTTAAAATAAATTGTAAATAAGTTAACTAACACATTTCGCGTTTTAAACCATTAAAACTGTTTTAATTAAATGTGTATTCACTATTCACATAAACTACAGACAGTATTCAAGTTTTATTACTTTTGTTATGGTAGGAAAACTATTTAGATTTCCCCGTGACCACGGCTACTGCGAAGCATCCGAAACGTCGGGCCGTAGTTAAAAATAATATTCAAATAAGTCTAACTAATATATATCGCGTTTTAAACCGTTAGCGTTTATTTAAAAGTAATAAAACTTGTTACTAGCGAGATACTGACCTTGTATGATCCATGCCTAGGAAGACGATATGGAGCATGAGAGGAACATGGATAGACCAGTCCAGCTCAACACCATCCAACACGACATCACAGAGTAACATGACTGCAACGTTGCATCTATAACACAGATGTGAAAAAAAAAATCTTGTAAACAATACTATTACCTATTTTTTATGATAGAAGACAGACATTTGCTTGTCTGTGGTTTCACTTGATGGTGGGTGAAATAGCAATAGCCATATAACAAACAAGATGTGCTGTTTGCCTATTTCGGCTTTGGATATTTGGAAATCCAGACATTCAAACCGAAATGCGAATGCTTTTTTTTATGTGAACGGTGTGATCCGCGATCCGCACGGAATTTCGATTTCATATCTATTCCAGACGATGTCGATCATGTTTCACAAAAAATAGAATTTGAAAACTTTTAATGTTGGGACCTGGTGGTCGAACCCACGACCCGTTGATTAAACTAACGAGCACGTCAAAATGTATCTTTCCAGTTCCTAATTGCCTTTCTTTAGCACCACCTGCCTATAGTAGTCTTTCCTGTTTTCCCTTCAACATTTGGTTGCCTGTTCAGCGCTGAGACCGCCTTTTATTTATGAGCTAGCTCATAAGTTTTTAATGAATAAAGTTTAATAAATAAATGTCCAATGCGGAGTATGTTTTTTTCTTATAATTGATTGTTAATTTTCATCTTGTAAATCCTATATATCAATACACTATGTACGACATAACTACGGTTGTCAGGATAATTAAGCGTTAACTGCAAGAGCGCCGTGACGCGTGACAACTCGTTTAATTGCTCTTGATCCATATCTGGCCCATTTGAATATGTAATGCAGGTTCTCGCCACAGAATACAGAACTAACCGGTAGACGACGACGACAACGAAGACGATTGCAACGTTATCTATAGTGTATTTATTCTTACTTGGCATTTTTGGTAAACAAACATAATTTACGTAAAATCGTGATCTTCTCACAAGATTTACATTGATTCACATTAGGACTATGAAATATATATTTAACTGATGAAATATCTCAAATTCACTTACTAAAAACCACAGTGTTTCATTCTAAAATTAATGAAAATTCTAAAAATTAATTCACGCAAATGCACAGATTTAAATTTCTAAACTTTGACATTTACATAAGGATTCGATATAACCAAAGTCAATGACAGTAGAAGGTAGAAGCCTCTCGTGCACGATTGCTGGAAATGCGTTACAAACCTCAAGTTAAGTAATAATGACATAAAAATTTTTAAAAAAAAGTCGTCATTAATGAGATTTTGAATATTACGGTTGTGTGGTCCATGCATAAAGTATATTTATTTAATCTGTGGCAAACTATAAAGGGCATCACTAATACGCTATGGTTTGAAATCGGCCATATTTGTTGTGGTCTTTTGCCAAGTTAGAAAACCCACAATATAGGTAAGGTTGATCTACGATTCACAAAAATGAATGTAAGGAATACAGATAAATAATGTGTTAAATTTCCGATCGCGTTACTGGTTTTTCACTCCTGTGGCTCTCTGTTACAACTGATCAACATAATTCAATGTGTTAGAGTAGTTCCTAATAGAAACTATTCGCAGAAGTTATAATTTAATTGTTGCACTACTACAAAATGATTTTACCTATAATAGATACATACATAAATATTAATGGTAACTCGTATCATTGTATTAAATTCATTCGTTTCCATTTACAGTCCCACAGCTAGGCAGAGGTCGCTGTATCCCATTAAAGAGGGGGTTAGGTCAGTGGGGGGTTGGCAAAAATGGTTAACACGGGACTGACTGCTTATCCTGATCCCCGGGCCTCGTGATATGTAGTCAAGTCTATAAATTTTAAAACATAAAGACGGGCTCCTTGGTGTAATTGTAGCAATGGATGGATAATCCCCACCGGGTCGGACATTATTCTGTAACATGTAGGACTTTGTCTGAAAAACTGGCTATTAAATGGGTGGTTGGAATATCGAAATTCCGTCCGGGTCTTGAACCACAGTCCACAGACGAAACAGCCGTGAAGCTTAATCGCGTTTCAGTTTCAGCCTGTGGATTTCCGAATATCCAAATCCTTAATAGACCGACAGCGCATGCTTAGATGCTATTTCACCTACCATCATGTGTACACCGTGCTCGTTTGTCCTCCTCAATCATTGTAAAAGAGGCTTAACACCTTACCTATGGAAACCGGAAACAGGTTGATTAGTATCCGGAAGATACTCTGTGAGTAACGCGAAAAAGCCGCCATATTCAGGCATTGGCAGCGGGCGAGGTTGCGGCACATCCATTCTAGTTTCTTGCGGCGTTGTCGGCCCGCTGCCGGCGCATACGCTTGTTTCAGGACAAATTCCGGTCTAAAGAGAGATAAACATTGATATAAACAATACATTATATTACTATACTATCGATTCTATGATTATATTGTAACTAATTGTAATAATATTGTAAAACGAAAAAATATTTGTTAAATAGCTGTGAAAAGCAGTTGATACCCTTACAATATGTATAAAAGAATGATTCCTCTTTAAATAATATAAAAGAAATATCCGTGACATTTTATGTCCATCATTTAAGATTAACATGCAAGAACAACGTGAGTATCATCTATAATAAAATAACGTCGCTGACACAGCTAGGAGCTCGCATTTCCTCAGGTTTGGAAGCTAGCTTCTTCCGCTAAGCCTTGCAAGGCTAGGCATTTTAAAGTTTTAATAGGTCAAGCATAAAATAGAAAGAAATTTAAAAACTAACTTCGCATTGGTTGTGACAGTCAATTTCGTTTCATTCTTAGATTTAAATGTGTCAAAGAAGTCAAAAAAGTCAAAGTGTTCCCCGCGTAGTGTAGGACTATTATAAGTTAGAATGAAATTAATCGTAGTTGGATGGAAATAGAGAATTATTAGAAGAAGTTTAACAGTGTTCATGTCAAATCCTACTATAATATCTATACTAATATATAAAGCTGAGGAGTTTGTTTGTTTGAACGCGCTAATCTTAGTAACTACTACTTGAAAAATTATTTTTGTGTTTTTTAGAACATTTATCGAGGAATGCTGTAGGCTATAAAACATCGCGCTGTGACTTATAGAAGCGAAGATGGAGGAAGGAGGAAATGTGAACAAAACGGGGGAAATTTTTCATCTCTGTGGGTTTCAGATGCGTACGCTGCGAAAACGGTTCAAGATACCCAGAAAATATGTATGAAATAATGATTCCTTTTTAAATTATATGAAAAAAAGTCCCTTTTAAGATTAACTCGCTAGAACGACGGGAAGGGACGCGACCGACGTTGTGGGTACCAGCTTAAGTTTATAAATATGACGGGGTTTGCAAAAACTAATTTGGATGCCCAAAATAACGATTCTCGCGGACGAAGTCGCTGGCACAGCTAGTCTGTAATATTACTGATTTGTATAACTTACATAAAGGCACTAATCCGAGTACTGTTTGGATTTTTGCATGGTTTACTAACAAATAACTAGTAATAATGCATTAATTTTGACCAATTTTAAACATGATAACAACGGTTATTAGATTGAATCTTAAAAATTATTCTTTTATACATATTAATACAACACACTTTTAAATAAAACACTTTAACGGTTTAAAACGCGATGTATTAGTTAAATTTCATTGAAAATGATTTTTAACTCCCCGTGGTCACGGGGAGACAACACATTTACCACTGTTTATTTGCTCCTAATCGCAGTGTGCGGTCTAAACTCTAAAGTCAACTCCATAAATGTTCTATCTAACACGAAACGCTTTTAAACCAAAAGTCTTTTCTACTAATACTTAGTACAGAAAGCTATTTAATACCTAGAACGACTCAATTATAATTGCATAAAAACTTTGCATTACTTACAATTTAATAAATTTTTATAGAAAAATGCACGAATATAGATGTAGTACAGTTGCAAAGTGTGACGATTAAATACTGTCTATAGTCTACGCGAGTAGTACACATTTAAATAAAACACCGTGGCCACACCACCACCACAACCCCGTGACCTGACGTGACCGTGACGTGACGGCTGCTTTGCAGCAGTAGAGGAAACGTCGGGCCGAAGTTAAAAATAAGTTTAACTAATATATCGCGCTTTAAACCATTAAAGTGTTTTATTTAAAAGTCTGACGATTGTAAAAAGAGAACTTGGTGATAAAAGGTATGTCGGCCAGTTTCTTGCCAGTACTTCTCGTTCGTTCTACGCCATATATTTGAAGAACTGATAGTAAATCTACAATTTAAAGTCATACTCTTAACTGGTATTATGTTTATAAGTGTGCCTAGTTACTTAATAAAGGATTATTGACTTGAAAGAATAATATATAAAATGTTTGTATACAAAGGACTTGATAACAAACAGTCGTTTGTATTCTTTCAGTAATTGGGCGAGTTTAAAAACATCATTAGCCACGTAACGATTTATAAACATCCTCGAGAGAGGATTAATTGTCACGGAGATAAACTTTAATATTAATAACTCGTACAGTGCGTCCATATGAAATGTGGCTTTCAGATTAGTTTCGAGGCAATATGTTTGCTGCAGCAAATATTATGCTCAAAGGTGAATGGGTATCGTGAAGTATCTTATGCTTTGGAGTTGCAGTAAAGTTTCTATTGAGATTGATGAAACAATTGACGACGTGGACACGATAGCCAAATTGGTTAGCAACAGCACGAAAAGCTGTGGATTATTAATTGAAATTCCGTCCGTCGCGAACCACCGTCCACTGATGAAAAAGCCGTGAAGCTCTATCGCGTTACGGTTTCAGTCTGTGGATTTCCGAACATCCAAAGTCTAAATAGGACAGCGAATCTTGCTTAGATGCTTTAGTGAACTCTATGCCATGTTTGTCCTCCTCTATAATTAAAAAAAAACCGGTTAAGTCCCACCCGTGCCGTTTTCAATATAAAATAGCTTTTTTTCAATTACTGTCTATAGTTTACGCGAGTAGTACACATTTAAATTAAACACTTTAACGGTTTAAAACGCGATATATTAGTTAAACTTATTTGAAAATGATTTTTAACTTCGGCCCGACGTTTCGGATGCTTTGCAGCAGCCGTGGTCACGGGAAGACCCGTGACCACAGCTGCTTTAAGCTTTTTTTCACTTATACAATGTCGCCATATGCAATAACATGTGAACAATAATAATGTTTTCAAACTTTCGAAAACTTTTCGAAAAAAAAAAATTGACACGTTTGGGACTTCAAAACAGCATCCACAGTGTTTCGTGCTGGGCTAAAGTTCTTGAAGACAAAAGAACGTTGAAAATAATATATTTTAAACCAATATTTTGTTTTGTCTCAGTATTTTAGTGAAAGATAAGTGTTCGCAACCCTTATTATCTCTGAATCAATTATTGGTATGTTACTTTCGCTTGCTATATGTAAAATCTTCAATTTCTCCCAGTAACGAAAATAAATGGCAGTATTAGTTTACTTTACGAGTGTGCATGCGCCAAAGTTCGTCTAAACTATGTTCAGACTTGCCAAGTTATGAATTTTAGATTGCCCTAAGGATAATTTAATGGCGGTCTCTCTATCACTTACCGGGGTAGCATCCCCATCCGACGGCGGTGACAATTCCTCATCAGCCGGTGGGGTGACACAGGGGGGTGCTGATGCCCGCTTATCCTGACTACGACCCGGAGTCTCCGACTTCACACTCCTGTAATAAAAGCGAGATTATTTTGTCGAAAATCATAATTAAATTATTACAAATATTTATTTATATATTTGTTGTCCGTGTAAACCTGGGTGGTACACGCAAGTGTTACACCGTTACCTCACGTGGCATGGGACGAACACTTTTCTGTGTCCGTTTTACTAATTGGTTTTATGTAAAGGCAAGTAGCTGATTCGATTTCTGTGCTTGTCCCACCGAAACAATGGACAATAGTCCAGAGTTACGAACCCAGGAACGCGCGCTTAACGCAATGTTAGTCAAGTTTAACCATTTAGCTACAGAAGCGATCCCATATGCAAATAATCTTTGACTGCGAACCTAGAAATACACAAAACAATATCTAAATTTAAAAAAAGATTTGATAATTATTACGTGTCTTACAACACAAATCTTTCGACTTATCCATTATTGAATACGTATCCTTAATAATTGAATTTTATTAATTCGTATCATACATATAATGGGATTAGCACAAAAAAACAAACTAAATAAAAATAAATATTAATGTTTGAAGTGATATAAACGTTTAGAAAGTTGCCTCTCTTATTCAACGAAAGCATTTTCTCTATCTTTTAGTAACACCGCAACAAACGGTATAATATCCTTTGACTGCAAAGGGAACGTATAATTAAACTAACATTTAAAGAGCAATAAGCAAAGCAAGATATGCACGAAGCATTTTAATTTACATCCAAAAGGTTTATTAGAGCGAAAAATCAATACGCCGATGCATCTAGTTGGCGGGCAATCAATAATGTCAAACTAGATAACTATGTGCATATTGACGTCTATTTATTTTTGTATAGACACATTTTTTGCGTGAAAGCACGTTTCCCTCTCTTGGGGCATGGGACGAACACATTTCTGCGTCCGTTCTTTTAACGGGCAAGTAGTTGATCAGACTTCTGTGCCCTGCCCGAACGAAACAATTTTGCGTTCCCCTGGGATTCGAACCCGGGACCTCGTGCGCTTAACGCAATGCTAGGCAATACGTTTAACCATTTGTTATATAATGTTGCAATTAGTATAACTAAGTGAAATTCCGTTTCTCCGTAAAATTGGGGCGCAATTGTGTGTGTCGCTGATTTGAACGTGAAGCATAGTGAGTTATTGTTTCTTAGGATTAATATTATTACTTTTATTTTTGTTGTATTGTTGTTTCTTCCTTATTAGCTTCCTCATTATTTCTGGCTGTCACTCTAAGTGTCATTCATGGGGCATCAATCTGCTGTTGCAGCAACAGGTAAGTGATGTCCTTCCACAGCATAGTTAATGTTTGTAATGTATTTGTAAAACAATAATGTATATATATATATTTATATATAAAAAAAAAAAATTTAAATGTATATATATATATTTATATATATATATACATTATTTGTGTTTATTATACATACACACATTTATATGTGTTTGAGTTTGATTTGTTTCCCCAAGATTCGAACTCACTCTCGTGCTTAACGCATTTGCATTTTGTTCTCTTTGCCGTATTTAAGTCACAAGGTCAATACTGAACTTCATACAGCTCGATTCCAGAATATCTTGAAGGGTTGTAAGTTTGTGAAGCAATCACTTAGGGGCACGCCCATCAATGATCCATCATACAGAGGTATGTCTACATCAATTTAACCTATATCAGTCCAGGAATTTTATTATAAGCAATATAAATACCGGAATACTATATCGCTTTTACCGGCAGCTGATTTTCAGAATATATTTTAAAATTTCGTAATTTAAAAGGAGGTCACGTCTCCACGTGTTCTATTTTTTGGCTAAACGTATAAGTATTATGACAAGAAAATGTGGTTAATATTTAAAATTTATTGCAATAACTCGTAAGATTTGTATTTAAGAAAATTTTCAATTTTCAAGTCTGTTTCCCTAGGTTACAGATAACAGACAACAAGTTCACTATTATATTTAGCGTTTGAAACCGTAAAACGTACATTGATTATGTTGCTAACAGTAAGCTGGTCACCCTTCTCCTCTGTTGGAAATGTCTTGATAAGAAATAGTGCCAGGCTCTGATTTTTTAACGCCGTTTAAAAAAACCAAAACACACAATATATTTTCCTTTTAAACGTACACGTATTTGCACAATCAATCAGCTTAATGTTTTAATAAGGCTTACTATAAGGGCGACTAATTAGCAGAGCGAATGCGAACCAAAACATTACAATTATTTTAACATTCTCTTTTGCATGCATTGGATTAAATATTACATACAAATATCAATTCTGTTAATCTGAACGGAATTTTCTAAATAAATATGAAAGTGCATTAATCACAATGTTTTCAGTTTTACTTAGCTAATGCCGATTTTAATATTACATTAACATCTAAAATGTCAGAATTTATAGCTGTCAAAGTCATATTTTAACTAACTCAATCCAATGTTCCACGTAACTTGGATAATAATAAGATAAAAAAGTCTATAGCTATATCTGAAGCTGAAGAGTTTGTTTGTTTGAACGCGCTAATCTTAGAATCTACTGGTTCTATTTGAAAATTTTTGTGTTAGCTAGAGCATTTATCGAGCAAGGCTATACGTATAACGTATAGGCTAAATAGTCAATTGTTTAATTTAGTTTAAGGTTCTGCAGTGACAATTTAAACAGTGTAAGGGCTTATACTCACGCAGCTTTCGCCGGATCTTCGCCGCTGTGCCGCTTTGTGTGTATTGTGCCTTTTTCGACAGGCGCCAAATCACAGGTACGTCCAGTGGCATCCTATATCAAAGAAAATATTATAATTTTGACGGATTCATTGGTGCAGTGGTAGCAATGTATGGCCTATAATCAACGAATCGTACGTTCAATTCCCACTTGGCCCACCACGTTTCTAATCAACTTGTATTTTTTAACACATGTTGGACTTCGTCTGAAAATCGGGATATTTAATGGGTGGTAGATATATCGATGAAAAAGCCGTGGCTTCAGTCTCAGCATGTCCGGATATTCAAAGCCAATAAAAGGTCGACAGCCCATCTTGTTAAAATGTTATATGGCTGGAAGGATTTCACCCATCTACGATCGAAACACAAGCCATTTTAGATTGGTCACACCTGGACAACTAATACGGTTGCCATGGTAACGGGCTTTGTTATTTTACGTACCCTCCGCCATTGAAGCGAAACATTCATATTATAAATAACGGAAGCTTAATGGAATGGAAATCTCTTAAGTTAACATTTAAAATAGACACAAAAACTTCTAAAATACTAAAAGAATTATTAATTTTTAAACATCGATGTTTGTGTTGCTGGGTTTAAAATCGTTAATCGGAGTTTGTAGCATGTGAGGTTAGAAAATGTAAAACGCCCGTAGCCGAGAGAAAATCACATCAAGGGACAAGTAATTGGTAATATTGGATTAGGCGACAATTTTTCAAGCGTTGCTTAACGTCATCTCTGAGTAGAAATAAGCAGCGTGTGGCACCAGCTAATGGGTAACTTACCTAACGTACCCACAATTAACTACGTTTGTCATATAAAGTTAACGGTATAAATGGCGAAATATATCAGTTAATTTGTATGCAATAAATTTATAAAAGGCCCGACGTTTCGGATGCTCGCAGCAGCTGTGATCAGGGACTCTAGTTCAGTTATATAAAAAATATGTTAACGAATATATTTCACATTTTAAACCGTTATAAGCGTTTTATTTAAATGGGTGTGTGTGTGCGTAATTACAGACACTACTCAATTATATCAAATTATAAGATATTTACTATGTTTCTTTAGGTCGTGTTAATTTAAATATTTTTTATATAGATGTTAAATAAATTATACCTACCTTATAATACTTTAGTGGAATTTGCTATATTTTGAATAAAAAATGAATCGTTACTAGTTCATAAAGGCTCAACTTGAGATTTTTGAAAACAGATTTGACGTTTAAAATTAGCCCTTTAAGGTATAATTAAAATTAATAACTCAACATATCCAATAAAAAGGATGATTTTTCGATATTAATAATGTGACGTCATAATTGAAAGCCCCTAAACGTGTACGTTTTATTCTTGTTTTTGTACCGTGTAGTCAAGCGCGCGAAAATTGACGGAATGAAAACGCTTGCGGCGATCGGCGAGTATAACCGGATTTCTACTGTACTTTAGATGGTCTTTTTCTTCGGTCTGGTTCTTGTACCACGAAACCGTTACCCGTTACTTCGTTACTGGCAATTTTAATGAAATGTATTTATACTACTATAATTCTAATAGTACTATAATAGAGACTACTTACTATAAGAGATACGAGTACTATAATTTTAATATGTAATAGGCATGAGGTACTATCCAATTATAAAGAAATAACATAAGGTATGTATTATCTGTAGTTTACGTGAGTGGTACACATTTAAATCAATCCCCCCGTAACCACGGCTGCTGCGAAGCATCCGAAACAAAATAGTAAACAAGCTACCTAACACATTTCGCGTTTTAAACCGTTCAAAGTGTTTTAATACTGCAGACGTACTTATTTTTTATTTGAAGTATTACCTTAGTTTTTAACTTAAAATTTATTATCCATTTTCCTTTTTTTACATTCCATTCCATTTACTTCCAATTTCCTTGTCGTAAGATAAGAGCATATTAAAATGTTGTTAGGTGGAATTGATGGGTGTGTTCCCTAGACAATATTACATACCTGTGATCCAGCACCAGGCCCATCACTGTGACCTGAAGTGGCCTTCCTCATCGATGTCAACCTGTAGAAGGGCGGCGTCTCCGTTCGTTCAATGAGACAGTTCAGTGTCTCAACTGTTTGCAACTCGGTCATCATCTCATCCAGCAGTCGTTCGGGTCGAGATCTTGCCAGATATAGCACAACGCGTTTCGCCTACACAAAAATCGTATTGAGTCTAAAGATATAGACGGGAATCGAATCCGAGACTTAAAACGATTCAATTTCTCTATATAGGAAGTAAAATGTAATTTCGACGATTCGTTATAGAAAATTTATGACAAGAGGAAATATATTTAAGATTAATAAACTAAAAGAGGAGGGCTTGAACTGGCATCCGTAGCACGGGACTGTTGATGCCATGCAGGTTCGAGTCCTGTCCGTGTCGTAAAATTTCCAATCTAAAATTGATTTTTGATTTACATAGACCGCCATCATGTGATAATATAAAAGTTTTCAAAGAAAATAGTCTAAAGTCTTAAATCTAGACAAAAAAAGTCACTAAATGCATAATTTTTATGTCTAATTGGTTTTTAAGAAATAGTACTTGAATTGTGCAAAATATAAAACATCCATATAAATTTTCACTTCATGAAAGTAAGTACTTACGCCTCATCCCTGAAATTCAACCTGATATCCGACGCTATAGAAATAACGAATAAAAATGGATCTCTCGTAAGCTTTACACCGCGCCTCGTTAAATAGATACAAAAGCGTATATAATTCGGGAGCAAAAAACAAAAATTGGCTGATCAGAACAAATGAAAGTAGAGCAATAGTAACATGTTAGATCTAAGCATGTCTGTGCTTAGAAAAAAGGCTGCCACAAATAGACGAGACAGAGTATACATCCGTAGAATACAATTTTATGTCTAATAAAAAGTCTTATACGTGTGTAGGCAAGTCGTTTAGTGCTTTTCTCAAATAATGCGCGGAAATTAAAATTAAGTAGTACAATTCAGAACATTATAACCAATGACGAAGTCGACGAACAACTACATTAGTTCTTTTACGCGGCAGTTTTTTTTTACTTCTATGTGCAAGCCAGTCCGCGATTTAAATTAAACCTTTCATAAGTTACCTCTTTGGTCGCCATTTTGTGGAATATAAGTTTTTAAAATACACGACAAATATGATTTCCCATAGTAACTTATTTGGCCGGTAAACACGCCAGATATGGATTTTCATACAACGATTGCCGCCCGCTGCTAGATCAGTACGGCAGGTTCTTGTCATCTCGAAGGATGTCAAAATTATGCTCAAATTTCCAAGCACGTTTGAGAAAAATAATATTTAAAAATCGAATTGCCAACCCCAATAGAAAAATGATACTAAGTATTATATTTTAGCCTTTTAAAGAAGTCGTATAGGTATAATAAACTCTTTAATATACGAATTTCAAGTTAAACTAAGTCTAAAGTAAAGACAGTTTAACATTATTTAATAAATTAAAAATATTCAATTTTAACAAGAAATATTTCTGGTACTAATGTTTTAACGAAGTTGTATTACATCTGGTAACCCACGAGTTATAATGACAACAATTAACTCGCTTAAGAATCACGTTACAACTCAACGTAGCGTTTAATATGTCTGTTAAAATACAATACGACCGCTACTTTGTATATAAAAGACATCGTAATTACAGAAAACCTCGAAACATGGTATTCATTATTTCTATTAGCTATGCTCTCGTACGTTCTAATAAAATGTATAAAACATTACGAAATGATTTTTTTCGCGAATCGTATCGTGAAAATGTTAGGGATCATCTTTCTTGAAAACCAGCTGTGTCAGCGACTTTGCCCGCGTATAGTTATTTTGGACAACCAAATTTCTTTCCCAGGATGTCGATCGCGTCCCGTCATTCTTGCAAGTTAACCTTAGAAGATAGACATATAGTGTCGCGGACACCTTTTAAATCAAAGAGGCAGCATTCTCTCATACATTATTTTTGGGCATGTTGAACTGTTTTCGCAGTATACGCATCGGAGACCCGCAAAGATGAATCATTTTCCCAACTTTTTCCACATTTCCCGCTGTTTCTTCGCTCGTATTAGTCACAGTACTACCTGAGATTAGCTTGTTCAAAGAAAATACAAACTCTACATCTTTATATATTAGTATATATGTATTTATTAATTTGGATTAATTACCATTTGTTTTAATTTTTACATTACCTTTTACTAAATTATATGGTTATAATTCATTTGGAAATTTGAAAACATTTATTTTGTCTCACCTGAGCCTTCTATTTTGTGTATAACCATAATGTGATACAGGTAAAATACAGTTGTTATATTTTGGTAATTATTATTGTGTTGTTAGACTCAGCTTGTACAAAATTAGTTCTTAATCAACTACTATTAGAAACCAAGCGATAAATACTGTCTGTAGTTTACGTGAGTAGTACGAATGTAAATAAAACACTTTAACGGTTTAAAACGGATGTATAATTAAACTTACTTGAAAAATTATTTTAGCCACCCCGCGACCCAACGGCTGCAAGGCATCCGAAACGCCGCGTCGTAGTTAAAATAATTTTCAAATAAATTTAACTAATATATATAACGTTTTAAACCGTTAAAAGTGTTTTATTTAACACGCGATTACACGAATATCGCTCTTACGTACGTGATTTGCATTACTGAAATCTAATATTAGTTTTTGAAGCACATCATAAAATTTCCGTACCATCGATTCTCCGTACACTCTTAAAATTCGTTTTAACGAAGACGCAAGAAAATTCTAAGAAGATATCGCTCGAACAAAAAAAAACACCTCATTGAATTTACACTATAGATCAGTTGCCATAGCAACGATAGCGTGGGAAAATCTAATCGCTCATGAATACTTATCCCCCGATTAAAAGATAAAATGGTCCATAAAATATGAGAATTATTTATCTTAGAATACGGAGATATCTTAGAATAAGGATAATCGTAATAATACGAGTATATATCGCGTTTTAAAGTGTTTTATTTAAATGTGTACTACTCGCGTAAAGTATATGCAGTATTCAACTGTACTTGAGACAAATAAAACGATTTTAATGCAAATTATTTAGTCTTCTCGACTTTACTTGCTGTATATTAACACGTTTCCAAATTTCCACCTTCCATTTAATACTTTAAGCACAAAATGTATACTCTGTAGTCAAGCTTCATACGGAATAACTGATTTTAGTCTGTACAAGTAAGTACTAAGTACGGGGCTTTGTTAAGTGAAAATTGTTAATGGGAAAGTAGAATTTCTCGTTACTAGGGCATGCAATTAGGCTATTAGTGATTTTTACAATCTTAAAATTAGTTTTTCAGTAATACTCAAAGATATTTTGTTAATTGGAATCATACCCAACTTTCACATCTGCTTTTAACAAAATGGCGGGGGTTGAGGTACAGTATCCAATATACAATAATTAATATTATAAGGCTGAACGCGCTAATTTCAGGAAAACATCAAACTGCTGCCGTTACGTGCGCTTCAAAAACGATTCAGACACCAAACAATATGTATAAAACAGTGGTTCTCATTTAAATGATCTAAAAAAACGTCCACGACAGTATATTTCCATCTTTTTAATTTAACTCACAAGAACGACGGGACGCGGACGAAGTCGTGAGTGAAAGCTATAATTTACAAAGAAACAGAGGTTATTTACAAAAATAAATAATATGATGCCAGAAAATAACTATTCCATGCGCACAATGTCGCGGGCACAGCTAGTATCAAATGAAATCAATAATAATTTTCTCATTTAGGTGACTAGGTACTAGTAGACGTTAAACTTCCATTTACTACCAATCTTGTATTATATAATTATGTATGATATATGTTATTACTGACGTAGGGCAATAGTTCGTTGGGCGCCATTCCGGAAACAATAATCAAATAACGTATGATCACTTTCAAGTTGTTCGGCCAGCAAGCGCAGAGTGTCGACCAGAGTTCCTCTATCTCCTTCGGGTGTTGGTCTGAGAACTGCAACAAATAAGACATTGATTTAATTATATGTAATGTATAACCTTATCCTTATAGTGTTCAACAATAGAACGACAGAATAAGGTCTTGATATCAATGTAGAAACTGCTATTAATTGTTAAAAAAAAAACACACAAAATCACCTAATTTGAAAGGCTCGTCGGTCTAATGGTAATTGCTACCACTCATAATCAACGCATCGTGGATTCTATCCCCACCGGGTCAACATGATATTAATTTTTCAGAAACATGCTGGACTTCGTCTGGAAATCTGGATATTAAATGGGTGGTAGAAATATAGAAATTCCCTTTGTACGAACCACCGTCCACAAATGAAAAAGCCGAGCAGCTTCATCGCGTTTCAGGTTCAATCTGTGGATTTCAGAATATCCAAAGCCAATAAGAAAATAGGTCCATAACGCATTTGTTTAGATGCTAAAGCCTGGGGTGATGGTCAAATGATGGCCAAAATAACTATTCTATGCGCGGACGAAGTCGGTGACACAGCTAGTAAAAATAAAGATCAGAGAAACGAAAAATTAGCACTTGTTATACCTAAACCATCAATGTATGTGTAGACACGTGGGCGGCAGGCAAACAAGACGCGCCTAGTTCGTTCGTTCGATTTGGTTATCGTAGTCTTATGGTTAACCTTCATTCACTATTGCTTAGCCCTTTCCTTAAAATATTCCGGTCCGCTTTGACATTTTCCATCAAGTCGCATGTAATGAGACCTGCATATAAAACTCCCTTTTTGTGTTGCGTAGACCATTTATTGAAGACTTCAGGCTTCATAAGATCACGCAACGAACAATAGGAACGAAGTTATAGTGAAAAATGCGAAAACAGTTCCAGACAGCAAAAATACGTCTTTTAAATGATCTCTGATCTTTTAAGATTAATTTGAAAAAACGCACGACCGCCGTTAATATTGACGAATTACTACATTCATTCTCGTAGAATTAATATAATTAATGATTAATTATACTAATTCTTCGAGCAACCGAGGAGCTAACAATATCTCATGATGATGCCGGCCGCCCGTGATGGCGAAGCGTCGAGTACCTCCTCTCGCTTACGTCGGCCGAACAGCCCGAAAAATAATGGTACGCTGGATATAAACTTTTTAGTTTAACCTAACACCCAAACTTGGCTTATGGGACATTATACTTATATCCTGAAACATGTCGTCGTTAACGTATGTTGCGCACTCAGGTAATGTATGGATTTAATATGACATACGTACGATGGAAGCACCCGAATTTGACAGTGAACACATTTTTTTATCGTGATAAAATACCGCAGCCATATATTATCATATAAAGAAGATGCTCTGTTGATCTATATTGGCTTTGAAACCGAATCGTGCTTACGTTCACAAATTTTTCATCGGTGGGTAGAGGGTGACCGTGACCCGGAGGAATTTTCGATATTTCCACCATCCACTTAATTTCCAGATTTCCAGACACTGAATACTTCAGAAATAAATATTTACCAAAAAAAATATGTTGCACCAACGGCCCCGTCAAATGTGATAGCATACAGTAATCCGATTGTTTGGCAGCCAATCAACAAATCGAGGGCTTTGTTGTCACTTCCATATTGCTGTATTGTACAACAAACCCCTGTACAGTTTTAAGCTGATACGACTCCAAAGACGTTGTTCCGAGACTTATATCGACGTTGTCAAATTCTTGCAATTCCACGTGTATCTTTGTGTGTGTAACTTAATGATCTTGCCGCGTTCACTGAATTACCCACGCCAACAAAAATCGGGTATCGTGTAAGGTGACCCTTACACAATTGAGAGGTAAAACTACCTTCATATTGACAAAATAATTATGTTTAAATTTATTATTCGTTTTTTTTCCTGATGACATTTGTGATGTGGAAAGTTTGGTAAATCGCACCACACCCTCCACAAGCTGGTAGTACCAACCCAACCAGAGACAAGAGTCTACCAGACCCCTAGACAGCTACGGTGCTATTGGGATACCTGAGAACCCTAGGGCACCAAAGGTCCTTACCAAAACCATCAAACCGTAAAAATACTAGGTATGCAAACCATGCAACGTGATTACAAGGCAATGCAATTCACTACTGACCTTGACAGTGATGTAAAAGAGATTGTTGAGCACCATCTCTGTCGCCTCCACGGATCCGAGGCCCTCCCTTCTCCCACTACGTCCACCCTCCGCACCGTAGTACTGAAAACAAACATCATTATGCATTGCTCTCACCAAATATAACACTAATTAGCTGTAATGAAGGGCATGAACCGTGCTTTTTTCGCGTGTATTGTTAATTGGGTAACAGGGTAACATTTTTAATATGTCTTTGAACAGACATGAATGTAGAGCTGTCTGTTCTTTACATATGTAATGAAAATAAATTAAAAAACTTTAAACATATAAATACATCAGTTTTTTCACACACTAAATTAACTACTGCTTGACGTTTCAGATGCTTTGCAGCAGCCGTGGTCACGGGGTGACTAAAGAAGGAGGGTGCCTCTGACGTCAAAGTAAAAACCTGCTTCAAATAAGTTGAACTAATATATATCACATTCTAAACCGTTAAAGTGTTTTATTTAACTGATATGGGATTTCAATTTTAATCATATATAACAAATTGGCGAAAGACAGTCAACAGCTGGGTTTAATTTTTAATATTAAAAGTGCAAATTTAAAAATTATGAAATATATTAAACTAAATGTAACCAAGCTAACGTTTTAGTATCACTTGGGGCAATTTAGGTCGGAAAAGAGAAAATAAGTGTGACATACTTGTATATACGAGAGCGGATTGGCTGGCGGTACATTCGGGTCGACCAGCTCAATGTTGACGAGCCAAGGCAGCAAATACTGCAGCAGCAGCTGACGGACCTCCGTTCGCGCCGTTTGAAAGCGCGCTGTTATCTCTGTGAAGAAACAATGCTTAGAATATAATTAAGAAATATTTTAATAATTTTCGAACAAACATCGGCATCAAGACACTGCGCCCAAAGTACACGATACCAAAAGATTGCAAAATGTTAGGTTTTAAATTAACTTTTATTTTCAGATCATATTAGGCACCGTAGATCCCAGGCAGTTGAACAAGGTATGTATTCTTTCAAGAAGTCGATTGTAGATTAGTTAATTTCGTTTCTATATGCTTCTTTCTATAAATTACATATAATGACAATCTGTAAAAAACTATCGATAATTTAAGTAAAACATTTAACTGTTTAAACTGCGAAATATTACATATTGAATTGTAAATAATTTAACTAATATTTGTCACGTTTTAAACCGTTAAAGATGTTAAATTGAAATTTACTACTGAAATGTCAAAATCATTTATTCATGTAGGTAACTAGGTACACTAATGAACATCGCAAAACTGAAGAATCTACCTTTACATTTACTACCAGTTCTCAAATCGTGGGCGTAGAACGAACGGGAAGAACTGGCAATAAACTCGCCGTCACGCCTTTACTCGAGTAAATTATAGACAATACTTAACCATAACTTACCAGAAAACATGGGCATAGTGAGTTCCGGATGCAGCTGAGAAAGTTGACGAGATAGATATAGTTGAGAACGACAATATGTCGTGCACAGCAACACGTCCAGTGTACCGCGACCCTTTTCTGAACCTGAAACAATGACTATCATTTTATACAGTACTCTGTTTGCGCTAACAAAATCTAACCTCTGGATTTATTGTTATTATTATGTACAAAAAAATACATAATTTAATACAAAAAAACGTTTGTTTTAAAACAACGATGTATATTTGACCTAACAGATGTTCCCATGATTGTTACAACTTTTTCTTGGAAAAAAAGCTTATATTCAAAAATTATTTAGATTCAAAAAAAATATCGAATCGCTTTAAGCAATGGAGCTACCGTGTCACTTTTTATAAATTTCACAGCTAAAGGTAATATTATCTTATCTACATGATATGTCTAAATTTATATATAATACATTCAGCACAACGATATACACGAATTCAGTCCAATCTGTACTAATATATAAAGCTGAAGAGTTTGTTTGAATGCGCTAATCTCTGTAACTACTGTTTCGAATTGAAGAAATATTTTTTTTTGGTTAGAGCATTTATCGAGCCTATAAAAATAAGGCACTGCGACTAAAACGGACGAAAAAAAAAAGTATGAAACGAAAATTCCTCTTTAAATGAATGAAAGAAGTCCGCGACACTATATTTTCTGAGATAAACTTGCAGGAACGGGACGCAACCGCCGTTGTTACTAACGGCTTAAGTTTAAAAACAAAGAGGTTTGCAAAAACTAAATTGAATGCGGACGAAGTCGCTCACACAGCTAGTATATATTCAGTCAAATATTATGTGTACTTCATTAATTGCTTACGTGCTTACGAGCCTGTAAACGCAATCAGTTACATAATAAACAGTAAGCAACTGGAGTACCTGGATTCCATTAATTAATCGCTATTCAGGTTGCTTCCCTTTGACTATTGTGATAACTGCATGACGTGATGCACTTTGGATGATTGAAATTATTGTGGTCGTATCATCTTAATAAGATGCGCTGTCGGCCTATTTTTGGATATTTGGAAATCCACAGAACCGAAACGCGATTAAGCTTCACGGCTGTTTCATCTGATGACGGTGTACATTACGTTTTCCATACGTAAGTATTGTCTATAGTTTGAGCAGACACATTTAAACAAAAAAAACTTTTAATTGTTTAAAACGCGAAATATATTAGATATGGTCTGTACATTACGCGAGTAGTACACATTTGAATAAAACACTTTAACGGTTTAAAACGCGATATATATTAGTTAAACTTATTTAAATATTATTTTTAACTTCGCCCCGACGTTTCGGATGCTTTGCACCAGCCGTGGTCACGGGGAGACACGAAAACGAAAGAAACACGAAACGTCGGGCTGATACGAAACTAATAAATATCGCGTTTTAAACCGCTAAAGAGTTTTATTTAAGCGAAATATATTAGTTAAGTTAAGTTTATTTTCATTTAATTTAAATACGGGTCGACATATGCATGTTTCATTTACAAATGTTAACATACAAACATTAATTACTAGTTAATAGTTTGATACAAGATTATTTTTTTATAAGAATATTCTACATATTGTATATTTAACAATCATTAAAAATGAAGCAATTTGTAAGCTCTTATTGAAGTGTCGTGTATAAAATGAAAACCTGTTTTTAAGTAACATAAATAATAAACATCTATTATTTAGGGATGAGTAACAAATAAACAAATGCCGCACAATCAACAAGTAAGGAAGCACCCAGTCGGGCCGCCACGCCGCGCAGCCATTTTAATTTAGACTGTGTACCTTACACCAGCTTACAATATAACTAAATATTTCGCGCTCACACGGTGCCTGACTGTAATATTGGAAATGAATGTCTTATTGGATTTTTTATTACATTGAATTCAATTGACAAACCCGCGTATGCAACATATGCAGGCTGTTTGTTAGTTTTCAAACATATGTTATAAAATTATCGGCTCAGATCAGTCTCTTTAGACATTTGTTGTTAAAATTTAAATAACAAAGAGTTTTACTGTGTAAATATTATTTAAAGCTTTGTTTATAATATTATTTTAATTATATTTTGCTTTTTCCCAGGATGACGTTTAAAACACAATAAAATGTGTTTATCTATATCTTCCCCCGGTGGAGCATGGGCAAACACATTTCTGTGTCCCTTTTACTGATCGCTTATTTTACAGTCTTGATCAGACTTCTGAGCCCTGCTCGAAACAATCTATTTTATTTCCTGTATTCGAACCCCCGACTTCGCAGTTATAGTTCATCACGTTCAATCATTTCGCTACACATAATATAGATATAATTCTCTCTACGAGTATCACACGTTGAACGCGAGCGTTTTGATAACGTTAGCCTAACTTTGTATTGGTGTAGAACTTAGTCGACACTAACATATTTATCCAAATGAAATGACTTTGCACAGACTTCTACATCCATGTGCATAGAATAAACAGAGGACATTGGAATAAATAAAACTAATATACTCGAAGGTTCGTAAAATAATTGTTTTGTGCATTGTGTTAATTGTGCGTATTAGATATTTAAATAAGACACTTTAACGGTTTAAATTAATAAATTATTTGTGTTGGTTAGAGCGGTAATTATCGAGGGAGGCTATAAAAGATGTCGCTGTGACGAATAGGAGCGGGAAATGTAAAAAAAAGGGAGAAAATTAATTGTAATTGTGGGTCCGATGCGCACGTGCAACAACAGTTAAAGGTGGAAGAATAATTGTATCAAAGAATGATTCCTCTTTAAATGATCGAAAAAAATCCGCGACATTATACGTCTATCTTTTAAGATTAACCTGCAAGAACGACGGGACGCGCTGACATCGTGGGTAACAGCTTAAGTTTATAAAAATGAAGAGGGTTGCTAAATACTATCTATAGTTTACGCGAGTAGTACACATTTAAATAAAACACTTTAACGGTTTAAAACGCGATATGTTAGTTAAACTTATTTGAAAATAGCGTAGCAATTTTTTACTTTGACGTCAGAGACATCCTCCATCTTTAGTCTCCCCGTGACCACGGCTGCTGCAAAGCATCCGAAACGTAGGGCCGAAGTTAAAAATCATTTTCAAATAAGTTTAACTAATATATCGCGTTTTAAACCGTTAAAGTGTTTTATTTACACATAATGTTTTAATTAAAGTAAAAGATAATGTTTAAAGGAAAATAAATTTCCTTGCTTTTGTGACCTTGTCTATACCACTTACGCTTATAAAACATTTTTGTTTATTCATCAATTACAAGTATTTTAATTTAGAACTGTTTAAGTTTATTTTATTGTTTTATGTTAAAAAGAAATCTAAATTATATTTATTTTCTCAGTCTACGACCCCTGACCTCTATATATATATATTCCAATTCATCTTATCGATAGATAATGTACACGATAAATCCACTGTTATATTGTGTCGTCGTTGAAAGCAAAGAGCCATCGGTAGGGCTTATTTGATGACGACGCCAGAGTAACTATTTCTTTTTATATAACAATTTAATATTAAAAAAATATTTATTAAGTAGATTTGTTATATAACATTTGCTATGGCCGGGGTGGTGGCACTAGGGTGTAGGGCGGGCGGAATGGGCGGCGAGCTGCTCGAGACACGATGGCACACGCAGCAATCGCGCCGCCGAGGACGGTCTGGTGCGACCGAGCCCATCGTCAGTTGTCCACGCGAAGGCGCGGCGGACGCACGCCGCGGCATGACTCCAAACCCCACGGAGAACCTCACTCAATATGACACGTACGAGAATCAAACGTATGGCGACGTGGTCGCGGCCGAAATCGCCAGTGCGCTCTCTCTCTACTACACCCCCATTCTGATCCTGCTCGGCTCCATCGGCAACCTCCTCTCCGTTTACGTGTTCTTCAACAGCAAACTGCGACTGCAATCCACTAGTCAGTACCTATCCGCTTTGGCTATTTCCGACACGATATTCCTCATCCAGCTGTTGGCGCCGTGGTTCAGCGCCGTGCAGCTCACCTCCATCTTCTACACTGGCGGTTTTTGTCAAGTTTCCGTGTATCTGTCGTATGTGTCATGTTGTCTGAGCGCTTGGTTAGTAATGGCTTTTACGATAGAACGCTTCGTCGCCGTCCTGTACCCGCTGCGACGCACCGCGTGGTGTACCGTGCGGCGCGCGCGCTATGTGATCATACTGCTGTCGCTATGCGCGTCCACAATCAACTTGCCGGTATTGAAGTTCGCTATACCGACGCGGGACGACTGCAATATAGACAGACAGTACTTGGAACATGCTGCCCGCTTCAATCTGGTGGATACGATGCTGTCCTTCACGGTGCCTTTGAGTCTAATCGTGCTGCTGAACGTGTGGATAATAAGGGGCGTCTGTCGATTGGAGAAGGCTCGGAACCAGCTGATGAAGTCTGATCAGCCGGTGCTGGGTCAACGGACTAGACCGACCAGAGTCCTCGGATGCCCACGCTCGCAACAGCGCGTCACTAGAATGCTGCTTATAGTTTCATCGGTCTTCGTCTTTTTGAATCTGCCCGCTTACGCCTTACGTATCATCGCCTACGCTTATAACTTGGTAAGTGAAAATCGATTATAAATTGAAAAAAAAAATAGGATGCGGACAGGACTTGAACTGGCATCCACAGCGTTCCGTTCTGTTGCTTTAACCAATTGCACTACCGTGGCCCTGCTGTATTTCTTGTTCAGTTTGAATCACCTTTTAAATTATATAGTGCCATAACATGTGAAAAATATAAAAGTTTTCAAACTTGGTAAGTGCTAATGCGACTTTCTGTAAGAGAAGGCGTAGCGATTGTCGTAGCGGCGCGTAGCGATTTCGTAGCCGCATATTTTTTGACATTATTTATCTTAAATTAGTTAGTATCGTAAAATTAGTGTTTAATATTTAAATAAAATCATTTTCAACGGTATAAAATGCAGAATGTATGTACTTATTTCTAGTTTATTTTAATTACAGTCCAGCGTAAATTAACTAATACAGGTCGCGTTTGAGACTGGTTCGGTTTTATTTGAATGTGTGCTACTCGCGTAAACTACAAACAATACTTCATTTTCAATATATGATGTGTCTGCCTTTTATCTCATATTTTGTACAATCTGACAAGAAAATGCTAAAATGACATTTTTAACAAAGAAGTATTTTCCTTTCACATTAAAAGCAGAGACACTTCAGCGTTTATTATACTTAAATTATAATGCGGGTATGAAGAATAAAATATTTTACTGGTGTTTAACTGGCAAGACATTTAGCGAGTCGCTAATTTTTTGTACGAAAAATGAGGATTCTAATCACTTTATTTAATAACTAACAACGTAAATACGTAATAAAGAGTCGTTATAAAAAAAATGATCTAATATTTTCCGACATAGAAAAAAATACAAAATCTTCAAGCCTTGTAATATTAAAAACAAATAAAATATATTCGATCTTTTTTAGCACAAGTTTTATAATTATTATATAGGCAATGAAATATTTTATAATTAATAAGTACCTACTTGTGTTCAGTTATTTATAACGCAAGAATATTATAAATTTCGTCAATATTAGCCGAGCGACACGCCGGCACGCGGTAAATGCAATGGTACATAAACGGTTTGATGAAGTATTTCTAGTTTTCGTTTCATCATTCTTTCATTCATTCTTTATAGACAGCTAACCGACGCGCTATAAACATCGTTTTATAATTGACCGATGTTGTATTTTTAACTCGAATATTGGCGAGTTTGAACGCTTTGTCATAGTGGAAATATTTACGAATCTATGATCAAGGCCGTTCCTCCTCTGATACACGTTCCTATGCACTCGACTTTACACTTTTTAATGAAGCACTCATCTAGTTAACTCTTACAAAGGGCTGTTAGCATTAGAGTCAGGTGACATTTTAATTCTTTCGTAGAACTTATCTGTACTAATAAATAAAGCTATAGAGTTTGTTTGTTTGAACGCGCTAATCTCAGGAACTACTGGTTGGAATTGAATAATTAGAGCGTGTATTGAGAAAAGCTACAGGCTATAAAAGATTGCGCTGTGATTAATAGGAGCGAAGAAACAGCGGTAAAAAATTGAGAAAATTCTCTCTAATCTTTGTGGGTTTTTCGATGCGTACGCTGTGAAAACGGTTAAAGGAATACTGTCTATAGTTTACGCGAGTAGTACACATTTAAATAAAACACTTTAACGGTTTAAAACGTGATATATTAGTTAAACTCATTTGGAAATGATTTTTAACTTCGGCCCGACGTTTCGGATGCTTTGATGGTCTCCCCGTGACCACGGCCGCTGCAAAGCATCCGAAACGTCGGGCCGAAGTTAAAAATCATTTCCAAATAAGTTTAACTAATATATCGCGTTTTAAACCGTTAAAGTGTTTTATTTAAACGGTTAAAGGAAGTTAAGGAATCATTTATTCGCGTAGGTAAGCTTAAGAACGTCAAAGTCAAAAACTAAAGACTCTAAATTCACACTTCACACAACAAGAAGACCTGGCAAATGCGCCACAGCTCTCGAATTCTAGTACGTGGAAATTTCAACGGGTTAGTTTTTACTTGTTAAGCATTTAATTAAGCTGCGGTTGAGCTCTAGTTGAATTCATTTAATCGTATCAATTTACGAATATTCGGCATTTCGCTTTTAGCCCACTCGACACCGATTACAGTGCAACACGATACACAATAATGTCACTAATTACAAGGGCTGTATGGGTGGAACACATTCTATACTGTCCTATGGGCATGACGGCTAGGTTTTTTATTATACTGTATAGAAATCGCCAAAACAGTTAAGACGGAACAAAAGAACTGACATTACATAAGAAGTTTACATACAAATTGTGATAAACAGACACACACTTTTTCTGTCCCTTTGTACGCTAAAAACTACGCAACGGATTTTGTTGCCGTCTTAATAGATAGTGGTTTAAGAAGGTTCTTATATAGAACGTTCACAGTTGTTCTGTAGTGTATTTAGAATTGCAACCGAGCGAAGCCGGGGCGGGTCGCTAGTACTGTAATAAAGTGGAAAGTGGAAACCCGTTTCCCCCTCGGTGGGGCATGGGGTGAACACATTTCCGTGTCCGTTTCACTGATCCGTTCTTTTAACGGGGTAGTTGATCGGAATTCTGTGCCCTACCCGACCGAAACAATTTTTTTTTTGTTTCCCTGGGCTTCGAACCCAGGACCTCTCGCTCGCTCAACGCAATGCTAGGCAATACGTTTAACCATTTGGCTACAGAGGCAGTTAACTGTAATAAATTAATGTAACATAAGTCTCTTTCGAAGTGAAACATGAGATCCTGAACTGTTCACGAAAAAAGGGCTGTATGAGAATCGCATTAATATAGACCGCTTAAAATTATCAGGTCCTCGTTAGTCCCGTTGCAACGATCAAAGCGATCACTTATTCTCGTAACAGAAAGTTGAAAGGCTTTAATTGACATTTATAAGAAGGCCATACCGTAAAGCTTACACCGTTCACATTAGTCTGAATTAACAATCGTTATGCAATAACAACATTGCCGTGTAATTTTCCTGCCACGCTTAGAGACGACGGTTTGAAATTTATGAGATGATAATCAAACGTCGTTGAAGAAAGTATTCTATTTATAAAGACAAATATTTAAATAAAACAACGGTTTAAAACGCGATATATATTAGTTAAATTTATGTGAAATTATTTGCACTAGGGCCCGAAGTTTCGGATGCTTTGCAGCCGTGATTACGGGGAGACCAAAGACCCGAATAAGTTTTATTAACAATGCATCGCGTTTTAAACCGTTAGGTGTTTTATTTATGTGGTGTACAGTATTTAAAATATTGTTAAAAGCAGAACAACGAATACCAAACGTGTTATACATCAATTTTCGTACATAATGAAACCAATATAAGTTGTTATTTCTGTCGCTGGTGGGTTGTCAACCTATCACCATTGTTTTCAACCAATTGTGGTTCATTAGTGGCGCGGAGTTCACCGTGGGTTCAATTAAATCATCCTTGGGGCTCTTTTAACGAATTCGCTGTCAAATATCATCCCTTAGGCTTTGTTTATTACGAACGGTTTGCTTGCAATTTGGATTGTAGCGAAAAAATAACGATAGCAGCCTTTCTAAGAATACAAATGTTGTTTTCGCCATTATCTTTAACCTAGATATAACCGCTGATTTATTAAATATTTTACTAAACGGAGGAAAATATAAGTAAGTAACAAATTCGACAAACTACAATTACCGTTTAATAAAACCGTTTTACTTGTTTTTTTTTTCAATATGAATGAATGATGTTGAATTTGAGTAAACGATTTTAAAGCACTATAAACTGAAAACTGTGTAATTTACACGAGTAGTACATAAATAAATAAAACACTTTTAACGGTTTAAAACACGAAATGTATACGTTAACTAACTTATTTAGTCGCAAAACGGCTACTGCAAAGCATGCGAAACATCGCATGGTTAAAAATAAATCATACATAATAAATACATTTCGGGTTTCATACCGTCGACAGTGTTTCAAACACAACAAAGTAGCATCGTAACTGCTATACATATTTTCATTCACCATTTAAACGCCGAAATTCATAAAACTGTTTCTAATTCTACGCGCATAACAGACATGTAACAACGCTTATAACAGCTAACATAGGCAAAATATTCCATTGGCAAAAAGGCGATGGCTGCTTAGAAAGAGTGATATATTTATCAAATGTTACAAAGTTATTTTCGCCCTTGCATAGCAAACTGAAAGAGATATTACGCTTGATAGGACGGCTTGTAAATGGTAATGCTGTAGTTTACGCGAGTACACATTTAAGTAAAACTTTTAACGGTTCAAAACGCGAAATATTTCGGATGCTTTGCTGCAGCATAAAGGAAAAGAATTCACGTATTTTAAAGGATTTTTTATTTATATAGTGCCATCGTAGGCAATACACGTGAAAAACTTTAAAGTTTTATAACTGATATATTTCCCGTTGCACCAGACCATGGAACAGCGAGTAAGCTAACAATACTCTTCACATTGTTAGCAGGGCTCTGGGCATCTATCCGGCCATTGGATGGCACTCCAGCAACTAGCGATCACCTTCTTCAACACCAACTTCGGCATCAACTTCATGCTGTACTGCCTCACTGGCCAGAACTTCCGCCGCGCCGTGCGACAGTGCATCCCGTTCTTGCGTCAGAGGGCACGCCGTCAGGACGCCGTTCGCAGGACAGCATCGCGACCAGCTCGCACCAGCAGCATCTCTAGTGAGTCTTCTTCTTTGACGGTCATTGTTGTAACTATGTGTTCTTCTTCACCTTTCACACACCGTTCATTAGCAACATGTATTTAACACCATATTTCAATTTCACTTTACTCGTTAGAAATTTTCATGCATCGGATGGTAATAGGGAGGTGGGTCGCCTAGTGAAAATTCTTGTAAGTGACGTCACATTATAATATAGAAAAAAATCATCCTGTTTATTATCGTCGTGGCTGAACATTGTAAAGAATTTGCATTGCGTTAAACGCAGGTTCGACCTCGGAAACGGATTTAATTTGCACTCAATGCTTCTACGGAAGTGCACGTGTAAGTGAAAACAATTATAGTTAACTTACAAAGATGGTAAGTGTAAGGTGGCATTTTGAAAACCTAAAATTCACACAAATCTCACTCGCGAAATAAAATCTTTTCTCTCCCATAATCTATTAAAAGCTTAGCGAGTAATATTATGAAAGCTTCAATAAGAGGAATTTTATATTATCCGGAAACACCGCGCCGGAAAAAAGTTTCAAAGAATAAACGTACCTACTTCCTCCATTTTCATATATTTTTTAGTTACTTTTCAGTTCGAAAAGTACACAATCCATTAGCACAAAACGTGCTTAAGCTACTTAGGATTACTATTTCACTTCGCAACGAGAATTATGGTTTCACGTTTCTAGTAAGATCGAATAGGTATATTCAAACAGCGTGTGGAAAAGCACCTACGTAACTTTGAAACTTACTTCGCTAAGTGAAAAACTAATAAAGCCGAGAAGTTTCAATTTTCATATCAAATAATCGCTCGGATGATCTAATTTCGATGGAGTATTTAATAAAATACTGTATCCATTATAATGGGACAACAAAATTAGCTTCATGAATGTCCAATTTCATTAAAATCAAACTTTATTCGATCACTAGTTGTGGACGCGACGTTGTCCGCATAGAATAGTGATTTTGGATATCAAAATTTGGTTTTCCAAATCTCTTCGCCATTTTTTGGGTACCGTGAACCGTTTTTGCAGAGTACGCGACGATTTTCCACAACTCCCACTGTTCCTTCGCTCCTATTAGTCCCAGTGCGATGTTTTCTAGCCTATAGCCTTCCTCTATAAATGCTGTAACCAGCATAAAAAGATTTCTCAATTCGAACCAGTAGCTCCTGAGATTAGCGCCTTCAAACAATCAAACATACTAGTATAGATTTTTTGGTCAATCTCATTTCGTGCCTTCGATCTCTTACACATGACATTTTAAAGCTTTTAAGATGTTTTAGGGTTTTCTCAAGATCCTAAGGTCGATAAATTGAATAGACATCGATACTTATGTTAGAACAAGTCTTAAGAAGTTCTTGAGTTTAATGATCAAACCTAGCAAGATATCCGATCGCATTGAAAGCCGACACCTCAGACTACAACTATTGTAATAACTTTACAAATTATAATGAACTTATACTTTATACAGATGACGTCACGGCTTATAAAATTGCTACTATTTACTCGCTTTATATTGGATAACCATCGGAATCGATTCAGCCGTTTGTCGTACGCGATTCTTTAAACATAGAGATGCAATGAGGCCACTAGAAGGAGAATAGCCTAACTGAAATAATATGACATGAGTTATTTATATTTTCGTAAACTAATAATGTTAATCTACAAGAGCACAGTAACCGAAAATTGTTAAAATAATTCTTACACTAATAATAGTACAAATTCATTTTCACCTAAGTCGATTGCGCATTTTTCATACATTATTAAAAATAATGTTTTTGCGATTAGGCCAGTCTGGCTCTAGCAGCCTCTTTTAAATAGTTCGTTTATAGATAACTTTTCAGCTTTTCATCTAAAGAAAATCTCGATAAACTTCGTAAAAGCGCATACCGCCGATCGATCACAATCACGAATATCATAACAAAAATTGGCAGTTAGAGGTTTTCCTCGCCATTATCTTTCTTATGAACTACACGTTTTACTTACACAAACACTCAATAGAACAGTAAGTACGAGACAAATTTCGAACGAAATACACTCTATGTCGGCTACATTTGTTGATTTTTCCTGTGTAGCTGATAGAAATAACATAGATAATTGAACTGATTTTGTTCGCAGGTGATCTTAGTGCGATAAACAAAAGCATCGTACGTAAAATACCAACGACACATAGGACATTAGTTTTAGCAGCGACTGCGTAGAGCAGGATAAACGTAGTCAATAGCATATGCTTGCCTGTTCTAGCGTTTAATTTAAAATTAACCAGATCCATATTACAAAAATTAATATTATAACGTAGAAATTTTCCCAACTGGGTGTTATTGCACTAACGAATCTTGCTACGTTGATTTTGTGCTTGTTATAAGTAGACAATACGCAGATAAAAATATTTTTGTATACCTATATTTATTTAGGCTTAGCTTCGCTTAGAAGTTCTTAGTACGAACGAGCACGGCTATGCGATATTTACTTATAGACATGTGTGAAGTGAAAAGGGACTTTGTCTTGTCTCAACGAATGGTATAGTTGTAGATTAGATTTCTTGGTGGCAAGTTCCTTATTAACACACACATGATAGCTAACAGGATGCACTAATAAATATTAAACGGACAGGTCTGTCTGCAGCATCGTTCGTCAGCAACTGCACCGAAGCAACCACCAACCTGCCCAGCACCTCCACTTGCGGATCGAGGAGGCGTCGCCAAGAACCCTTCATCACACGCTGGAAATTCGACAACAGCAGGCAACGCAGGAACAACCAGTCTACCAACCCGTCGACCAACCAGTCTACCAACCCGTCGGCCAACCAGAGCGACAACATCGAAATGCGGGCCATCAATCAGCCAGGAGCCATGTGACGCGAGAGGAGAGGCCCCAGGGTCGCCACCACGGTGTTTTGAAACGGGTGTATTAAGGAGGAGTATGTACCTTGAATTGCGTTACTACGATTACTTAACTAACGGAGCCCGTTACACCATTCAAATAACCATCGTTCTCTTTAACAAATTTCACCGTACACAACATTTCGGAAACTAAATAATAATTTCGCTCACAGCCCCACTATCAAATTAAATTTTCCTTTTATCCGAGAAAATAACATCGCGTGCATTTCAAAGCTTTCAAACGGAATCCGTCGAAGTGCGAACATCATAACATTTCACCAGCTCTTAGTCTGCAATCGCAGTTCGTAAAGTTTCATTTAATCAAATGAAGACTTTACACGAAGTTCACATACTCTTCCCGCCCCTCGCACCGCCGCACACACCGCGGTTCCACTGAGAACAATCATGTCTCGCCTTGTAGGTTTTCTTCGCTTTGATCATAAAAAATTGCAATTATGTCACTTCCTTCCTTCGATGGAGTAGACTTTTTAACAAAATTGTCTACAATCTTAGTTAGCCAAGCTCAAATTTTTTTCCATCAATTTACTCTAGAGATAATAAAGATAGCTCATCTCTCAAAATAACATATGCTCTCAAAATTCATACCTTACGCCTCTCATTCTCTTTGTAAGTACACCTTTTGCTTTCGTGTCTTTTAATGAGACTCAAAGCTCTCAAAAATCTGTTTGTTCCATTGTCATTAGCTCTTTTTCCAATACAGCTAAAAGGCTACTAATTTTCAATTACTCTGCTACGGTCAGATTACGTTAGCGTATTCTTATAAGTTAAATAGAAGCAAAGATTACGCGGGTTAATATAAAAAATGTTTCCGGGACTTGGCCCGCACTGAATCGCCGATTTGTAACTGTGTTGACAATTGAATAATGCGATCACTTAACACAATTCTTTTATCAACACATCTGCTAATTGGAATGGTATGTAATGTTTAAAAATTCCAATAACTACACAAGTTAAGTCGGAAGACGGTTCTCAAAATGGTTATAAGAATTTCTAAACAATCTCGTTTTAAGCTCAAATAAAATATTTAACAGTAGTGCGTAGATGTTAATGAAGTTATAAAAATAAAATGTTCTGTAGTGCGTAGATGTTGAGGGTAGTTTTAAAAATATTCAGTAGTGGGTAGTTGTTGGCAGTAGTTTATAGTGATAGAGTAGTTTCGGCATATGCCGCATTAAATGGTAGGTTTCAAACAACGAATAATGTAACTTAAATTATAATCCGTAGGATCTATTGATAAATAACAACAAGGGGTTGCGGAGGCGGGGGAAAAGATTGCCTTAAATTTCGTAGTGAGTAGAAAAGTTGATATAACTGTTAGAAGTAAGATCTGAATAGTTATAATTCAATTGAGCCTGAATTATAGCTATTGAGATACATAAACAATACTAGATGTCTTTCAAAATATTCAATTAGAATTCTTAGTCAAACTTTAATCCATATTTTACTCTATGTAGACTCTTTGGAAAATTGTAATCGATAAAACATGTTTAACTGACTATGAAGAGCATTGAATTAGGTAACGCTAAAGTTCAGAAGATTCTCAAATGTGAGTTAACTTAAGCTTTTCCAAATTTAATCTATTATTTAAGAGTAGAGAAAATAAGCGGTTTTACGTAGACATTTTAGATTCCAATATAATCAAACCATATATTCAATATATTAATCAAACAGTTATTTAGAATAGACGTTTATCAGTAAAGGTTTAAATTATCTATCAGTAGAAGAGTAGACGTTGGCAAACATATTTTAAATAGTGAAGCTTACCTAATTACAAATATATACAACCCAGAAGACCATTTATTTTTCAAAGCAGTTATTTGAAGCTTTAACACGAAACATTCCAACCATTATCTTCTTTAAATAAAATATATATTCTTATACGTATTTTATGTATATATTAATAAATTAACAAAGATATGTATTCCTATATTACGAAGCGGTCGCGAGGTTTCTCGCACTATATTTTTATATAACATGTATTCGTACCTACATTGATTTATATGTATATCTACCAAATTACTCCGTATTTTTGTACCGATTATAAAATATATAATATATTTGCTCAATACTATCTTTTCGCAGTCAACACATACTTGTACGACCCTGACATATTTCGCTTTATGTGGCGTATTTTTTCGTGTCTAAGTGCAAAGTAAGAAAATGTAATGAATAGATAATACGTATCTTTGTCATCAGTATTAATATCTTTCAATGTCTGTATGTGAAATAAAAATGTCAGCGAGATTGTCTTTCATTATTTTAGACCATCGGGGTTGGGTTCGATATGCAAAAAAAAGTGAGTTATTCTCCTACATATGTATTAACTGAAAATAAGTTCTTCAGAACAAAAGAACGAAGTGGTAATTAGCTATTTTCTAGAGTCAAAGATCTGATGTCATACTGCTTGTACTAATATATAGATAATCGTAGTATATTGGTCCTCTCTTATAATCCCTATAATATTCCCTTACTTTTGTATGGATAATAATCGATGGGTCGTGGGTTCGATCCCCACCAGGACCATTATGTTTCTAATTTTTCTGAAACATGCTGGACTTAGTCTAGAAACCGGAATATTAAATGCGTGGTAGGAATATAGAAATTCCGTCCGGGTCACGAGCCACCGGCTACAGACGAAAAAGACGTGACGCTTAATTGCGTTTCGGTTTTAGCCTGTGGATTTCCGAATATCCAAAGCCAAAATAGGTCGATAGCTCATTTTGATTAGATGCTATAGGCTGGTGTATACCACCATCAAGTAAACTCCGTGCCATGTCTATCCTCCTCAATAATTAATTTGACGATTCGAAATTTACTTAAGTAAATTTGAAAGTCGAATTTACAGTTAATACAACTTTTCGAATTAATAACATGAAAAACTCGTTCCTTTTTTCTCAGGGGCACCTAACTTTGAACACTCACTGTGTAACTCGGTATTGGCCTCTTGTTTCCAAGCACTCATACCAGACGTGGAATAGTTTGAAGTCCTCAATGCGAGTTTATACTTTCAGCCACTCGCGGACGAATAGTTTGGATGTAAGCGAAATTCGCGTTCGTTTTAATCCACTTGTATTAAAACATAAGTAGCAATAGCACTGAGTTAAACAAAATCTATTAACAACAAAGACAGGAATTAGGGAATGTTTATAACTTAACTTTTATATGTTTGCGAATATAATTTCGGGATAAAAGTTACTAATAGATAAACGAAAAACACATCAAAGCGTTTTTAAAGGAGTAAACCCCTTCAATAGTTTTTCATTGATAAAGCCTAAGTGTCGTTTGCGAAAGTAATTTCTCTCTATCTGATAATAGATAAATACTATTTATATACTGTCCACAGTATACGCGAGTAGTACACATTGAAACAAAAGAAGTTAACGGTTCAAAATGCGATATATTCGTTAGGGAGCCGTGGTCTCCCGTCGGGCCGAAGTTGAAAATAAGTTTAACTAATATATCGAGTTTTAAACCGTTAAAGTGTTTTATTTAAAAAATGCTATTTATTTCATAAGAATTGAAGAATCCGGAGCATATATTCTTTAAACTTTTCTTTGTTAGAGCAGTTATGGGTAATTCACTATTATTAACTGAATGTAGTAGATCTTACGTCTGTGTGGTATGTTGAAATAAAGCAGCAGAGATGTTTGTAATAAATGAGGTAATTTATTGATATTTTTGTTCGACGTCATTGAATGCACATACACTCAGAAAATACTCTTCAGATGTAACAATAACTATAGGCAAAGGGTGACTTAACTTACACAATTACTTTGCTCGCTTTCCACTATACGGTTTTATCAATTGTTAGATCGAGTACCAATTATCGAAATTTCGACTCAATGTATGTTTCATTTTTGCTCCATACCTGTGGTATGATGGTGGTTTATGTTGAATATATTTTATCGTCGCACCTTAAAATATTTTAATCAAATTAAATTAACGCAAATGTAGTTAGATCGGCCTAGAACTAGTACAACCTCGTAGAAATCCGTTTCTTGCAGATTTTCGAATAAATATTTGCAGTAAGCCCACGATTTGTATAATCATTTCGCTATTCTTATTTACACTTGATCCAGTACAATTTATTACCAAAAAATATTTGTTTGTCGACGTGATACTAACAACAGTCATCGGATTATTCTTAATCTGAAAGATCGCCGCGGAAGGACGTTATTACAATAAATAGCCTAGAGACATACAAAAGACGAGAACAGAGTGTAACCAAAGATATATTCTTATTTTACATTAAATAATTTATTTTCCTGAGGGAATATCAATGTACTGTGTTTTATTAATTAATACATTTAGCGCCATCTAGGAAATATTGAACTTAAACTTAGCTTAATATATATAAAGCTAAGAATCCGGAATTGTAAAACGCCATTATGTTATCTATACACAAAATCAACTAGATTACAATCACACAAAAACAGTTTTTACGCAGCTTTTAGGTGAAGGAATAACATTGTGAACAAACCGAAATATCCCGAATTCAAACGTTCAAGCCATGATCACTGTTAAAAATAAGGTAATGGCATTCTTATGGATAGTATAATTTTTAATTACTATATTAATATACAAGCTGTGTCAGCGACTACATCCGCGTAGATTAGTCATTTGGGGCGTCAATATTTGTTTTTGCAAACCTCTTCCGCATCTTTATAATCTATACCTATTACCCACGACGTCGTTCGCGTCCTGTAGTTCTTACCAGTTAATCTTAAAAGTTAGACATATACTATCGCCAAAAAATTTTATATCATTCAAAGAGGAATAATTTCTTCATAAATGTTTTTTGGGTATCTTGCATTGTTTTCCGATCGCACGCAATGGATACCTCCTACAGTTTCTTCACTCTTATTTGTCACAGCGCGATGTTTTATTGCGTATAACCTTCCTCAATATATGTTCTACCCAATACAAAAATATTTTTTCAATTCCAAGCAGTAGTTCTTGAGATTACAGCGGTCAAACAAACAAACAAACCTTGCAGGTTTATAATATTAGTATAGATTTATAACACTATTCTACAAGATTCTAATACATCACTAGAACTTACCAGCATCGTCTTCGGCCGGGAGTGGACCCACGGTACCGAAGAATCTCTTGTCGAGCAGCTGGAGAAGTTGTAGAGCGCTTTCGTGGACAGGAGCCCGCGGGCACCCAGTACACATCAGAGTCACGTTGATGATCGCGGTGTAGTGGTCGCAGGGGTATTCCCTACAAATTTAAATGCTTAACTAAAAAGGGTAAAGTTTGTCGATTGAGTTTAAACAAATAAAAAGCGATGTCATTTGTGAGAAAGAAAGGAATTGAAAGCATAAATTTTCGAACTGTTGAATGTTGACTAGTGGATTTTATTTCTTTTTTATAAGTTTCGTATCATAAAGTTGTCACTGTTCTTTATGATATTTCCTGTACTTTAAACATTTAAATCACTGCAAATCCCTCCGTATCTATTTGTATCCCTCCACATAGATCTATTTTATTGTATTTTTTATGTCATTCTTTGTATTGTATTGTGTTTGTTATTTTCATCTTTGATACGAAACCTGGAAAGGTTTTAATGTTTTTTTAAAGTCTTCTTCCTTAACAAAAAGCCGTATGCTAGATTACTCTAAGACTTATAAAAATTATAAATCTTCATGATGCCGTCCGCTCGTAATGGCGAAACGTCGAGAACCTCTTCTCAGCCCGAAAAACAATAAGCCTTGCACAGTTTATAAAAAAAAATCTCGTAAAAATCTAATCAAACCTACCACCAAATTTTTACAGTTCGGAAACTATAGAGCGTGTTACCAGATGACAGTGAAAAAAGAAAATCGTGTGAAACCATTTCGATGTGAGCGCTATCACAATTCGAGGAATTATTGAATTCGGTTTACATTGAATATTGAGAATTGGGTCAAAAGGAAATACGTGGAATTATACTCTATACGAATCGTATTTAGATCTACCTTATCATAACGTGAACGTAGGTTACATTTTATATAATATATATGTTTGACTGGCCACTTACTACCAGAATCGAATAACTTTATATTAGGACTGATTTAATGAAATTTACGTCCAGGTTTTACATTTTTTTATAACAAGAAGAAAGAAACATAATGTATTACTTGTATATAATATTATCTTGTGCCTATAAGTACACATTTGGATTTTGCATAGAACTTAGCACTATTTAGATTTCAATTCTTTTTACGGCGAAGCACAATTTTTGTATCAAACTCGACATTTCTGTTTTTTATGGGATAACCTCTTGACAAAGGGCGCTTCCAACTTATTTTGGCTTTGGAATTTCGGAAAATGTAGACTGAAACTGTGGGGACGGTGGTTCGTGACCCAGACAATTTATTGTATTCCTACCATGCACCTAATATCGAGATAACTATAGAAAGTAAGTTGGTTAGAAAAATGTTGGACCCGATGGGGGTCGATTGTTATATATCACTGAAACCCGATTGTTATAAGCCTAATGTAAGGCTACCATTGGACCTTGGTCTTACGTTTTTTCTCGCTTTCGTATAAGAACCTACGGCTATTATTATGTATAAAAATTGATTAACTAAGTTTTTAAAAGTTCTTCTCGAATATAATTCTGTAATCGGTTCACATATGAAGTTGATCACGGCACGGAATTATGTGAACACTTTTCAATATCGCTGCACTCATAATTGTGAAAATCGATAAATCATGACCTAAAAATGTAGTTCAATTATTTAAACGCGGAGAAGTTTAGACGAAGGCCCGCTACTGTATTACAGAGCTAAGAATAAACTGAAGAAAAATAAAGCGACGCATTATCTTGGTAGATTTCGTTTTACCTAATTATTAAATATCCTAATGCTAGATATAGACACGCTTTTTTCCACATTTCCCACTAATATTCGCAGCGTCATGTTTTATAGCCTAACGCCGTCCCCAATAAGTGTTATAACTATCATAAAAAGAATTCAATTCGAACCAGTAGTTCCTGAGATTAACGCGTTCAAACAAACAAACTACTCAGCTTTATATATTACCTCGCACTGAAGATAGTTGCCAGCGCCATGAAGCAACCATCTGCGACTCGTGGTGTCCCAGTGAAGCACTTGTCAACAGTCCAGTCGAGGAGAGGACCAATGTCTGGGTTGCACTCCAACAAGAGTACTATCGTTTCACGCGCCAACTCGTAAATCTAAACACAGGAACCAAAATCAATCGTTACCTTGTATACCAACTAGACTCAAGTACGTAAGCAATGAGTTAGTTTTTATTGTTTAAACTAGCTGTGTCAGCAACTTCGTCCGGGTAGATTCGTTTGTTTTGGTGGAGGCATCCGAATTCGTGTTTGCACACCTCGTCTTTATTGTAAATTTAAGTTGTTACCCATAACGTTGGTCGCGTCCAGTCGTTGCAAGTTAATCTTGATTTTTTTTACATCATTAAAAGAGGAATCATTTTATTAATTAATTCGAATCAGTAGTTTCTGAGATTGGCGCGTTCAAACAAAAAAATAATTAATTAATTAAGTAATTCTATTCTTTTACAGTAGCGAAGTTACTCTTGATTTGAAATAAACATTTGGTCTTAATTTTAAAAGTATGTTTTAGTAGCACACCTTATCGTTTGGAGAGGAGAGCATTTCGCTAAGCCATGGGTACAACGACCCGTCCTCAGCCAGGGCGTTCGGCGCGAAACATGGGCCGCAACACACCAGTGCACTCATTGCCTGCGAAAAAAATATAATGTACTTTCTTCACGGTTTCAACATCCTCAATAAAGAAAGTAAATTTCCGACTACCAAATCGGAGGGAACTACCCAAATTAAATAAATTTTTTTTCAAAGTCCTTGTTGATATTTTCATTGGTTGACTACCGATTTAACGGTTTGAAACGCGATATATTTATTACTAGCGGCCCGTCCCGGCTTCGCACCGGTAGACATAAATAGGTACAGATATTTAAATTATAAGCATGCTAATTAAAACGACCGTGAATCACTAAATTAGAAAAAAAAGTATTGCGCGTCCTAGCTGTTAACGACCGTTGTCTACCTCGCTGTGTCAGGAGCCGCTGCGAGCGTCCAGTGTTAGAGTCCCGTGCACGCGTTCGCGAATTCCTAGCTCGATTTCCTTCAAGTCTCTGCGAGCGCTCGGCGCTTGACTGTGGTTCGTATAGCTGCGACTATCTTGCATTTCGTTCTGCAAGAGGAACTAAGCGTTCGACGCTAGATTCTCTGGCTCGCAATTGGGACGCGTACACTCTAATACTTTCCAGATTATCAATTTTAGAAGAAGACTCTCCAATACGACGAACTTGTGCTAATCTCGTTTGGGAACTATTCTTAGGTATTTACTTAAAATCAGAGAAATTAAGAATAAACTAATAATAATACAAAAGAAAATATTCAAGTTCAAAGAGATAATTCCGAAAAGAACTTTGACAAATATTATGCAAAGTGTGATTCCTAATACTAAAACTAAGTAGCTTTGAAAATAACTTTTTAAGTGAAGCATAAAACTGTTTAAGTTTTTTTTTATTTTAACATCATGATATCTTTTGAATGGAATGTCCGATTTCAGTTAAAAAAGTTAACATGAGGTATTGAGACAGTCTTGAATATAATGTTGTCGTTAAATGTAAAAAAAGTAGTTATAGCGACGTAACTACAATAGTTAGACATATGCTGCTAATATTAGACAGATGTTTTTAGTAGATATTGATATATTCTATAATATTGTCGAACATCTTTTTGTCCTATCATTAATACTTTTCGCAGCGTATGCGAATAAAAACATTTTACGGCAAATTTTTTTACGACTTCCGTTGGTTTTAGTAAGATTTTCTATAGATGCCTATAGTAATCAAGTATTAAATATAGCCTATGTTGCTCAGTGATAATGTAGCTTTTTAATGAAAAAAGAATTATTGAAATCGGTCCAGTACTTTTTGAGTTTATCCATTACATACAAAAATACAAATCTTTCCTCTTTATAATATTAGTATGGAAAGGACATACAATTAGAAGTAGATCACCATTTACCAGACCAGCACGTGAATTCTAAATATAAAGAATAAATGAGGAAACATGATAGTAGACGAATTGGCAGTTAGTCGTAATAATAGTACCGTATTTATAATTTTATATTAATTTATATTTTATTTACATTTTTTTGTATTACTTGTTATCTGACAGGGACAGACTGAACATCAGCGCTTAGCAAGCCTCGCTGAGCACATGCTGAATCTTGATGCCTTTTTTGTATTCTTTTCACTATAAGTTTTATATTATTTACTTATTTTAACTACGGCACGACGTTTTGGACGCCTTGCTGCGGTCATGGGGGGACAGACGATATTAAGCAAGTACGTACTTTAAGTGCGGCTCGGTTCAATCGTTCGTCGACTTCGGGCGTCGGCGGCTGAGGTACCAGAGTTCCCAGGTGCTTCACTAAGGGTCCACACCACCCGGAGAAAAGCGAAAATAAGGATTTGCAGAGCTCACGCTTCACCAGGCTGCTGTACATCTCCACTGCACAGAACAAAATTGCAAATCTTTACACCATTTTTTATGATAGAGGAGGTCAGACATGATGGTAGGTGAAATACCGCTGTTATATAACATCTAAACAAGATGCGATGTCGACTTATTTTGGCTGTTCGAATAGCCAGACTGAAACAGAAGCATGATTACACTTCACGGCTTCATCATCTGTGGAGGATTCGTGAGTAAGATTTCGTCTTGTAAAAGTTATATCTAACGTGTAGTATTAGTACGAGGGTCAAACTTAGAAAATTAAAAACTGGTCAAGTTAGCAACGATTTTCCTTCATAACATTTTTACAAAGTAGTGTTAATTCACGTCAATACATCGCCGCATCCGATAGAACCAATGGGAAAAGCACTATGCCCACTCGTTCATCAGACACAGCTTTCTCGGAGTCCATAAAACAATTTCCTCGAAGATGTTCTTTTATTTTTCGGAATAAATAAAAGAACATCTTCTCTCTGAAGGTGCGTAGACAGTGGTGTAAAGGCGGATGACTCAAAGATCTAAATTTAAAAATATATTTTATTGCTTTCAAATAGCCAGTTAAATAAAACACTTTAACGGTTTAAAACGCGATGTATTAGTTAAACTTATTTGAAAATTATTTTTAACTTCGGCCCAACGTTTCGGATGCTTTGCAGCAGCCGTGGTCACGGGGAGACTGGACTGGTCAAATATGTTTAACTAATATATCGCGTTTAAACCGTTAAATTGTTTTATTTAAATATGTACTACTCCCGTAAACTATAGAGAGTATTTAAGTAGCCAATTCTAAAAATTTGTATTCTGATTTTATATGCATTGTGTTTTTTATAATAATATCTATTTTTTTTTACTCTTCACCCTATTACATGTTTCACCACGTCATTGCCGAAGCTGGGTATAATTTTACACTGTCGAACCCGCCATATCTTGCTACTTACGGGGAAAGCTCTTGATAAGTTCAGTGACAAAATCCGCGAAGGTCAGCCTCTGTTCCCTGGTGGCTGGTGCATCCTTCTCGGCCTCTACCTCCAAGCTCTGACGGACCCCTTCTAGGTACTCGGTAAGGGCGGGGTGCAGGCCCCCGCCTTCTAACGCGAAAGGGCTGCAAGAGACGGAAAATTGGTAACATGTTTTGTTATAAGAAATTTAGTCACATGTACTCATAAGTACTCTTCTTTGCTTTTGTATTGGGTTTGAACGAATTTTTTACAATAACAAGCAATGCCAGCGACGTTGTCCGCGTAGGATAGTTATTTTTGGCAACAGAATTTGTTTTTCCAAACTTTAAAATACAGAAGAATCAACGAAGAAATCGAACGAAGGAAACCATCATCATAGAATCATTTTCCCCGTTATTTTCAGATCTTCCACCGTTTGTTCTATAGTATTGGTTCTATAAATGCTCTAACCAACGACAACAAAAAATATTTTTTTAATTCGAACCAGTAGTTCCTGAGCGTTCATTAGCGAGTTCGAACAAACTCTTCAGATTTTATAATATTTATATACATTATTGTATACAACTGTAGTAATATTGTCATAAATTAATAATAATAATTTATACGGTACCTTGACAAATAAATTTGAACTCATTTCAATTACTTAATAATATTACATGATCATCTTACCTAATGGCAAATGTTTTTCTCTGCGCTATAATCAGTAACATCTTGTTGAGATGAAGTCTCAGCGCGTCGCGTCGTCTGCGCCGGCGCATGTTTTCTTGTTTCCTATCTACTGCTTCGCGTAACAACGGGACTAATTCTTCAAAGAGATCTCTGTGAAACAACAAGTGATTTAAACAAGAATTAATTACTAATTTTCTTACCAGTCAAAGTTCAAGTAATCGTAATATGTAACCTAAGTGCAATGGAAAGTTCCAAATCCATTGATTTCACTGTCTGCCCGTTTACTCTGTATAATCTAAGTAGTCTAACGGTTTTTTGGATCACAAAAGAGATGTGAAGACGGTGTTTTTGAAAGGTAAATGCAACTATATATAACACAAGGATTTGGAGAAACATCGAGGCCCTATTTTTTATAGCAACATGGTAGCAATTACTTACTTGAGCGCGTCCGGGTTTATGTGGCCGCATGCATCTACAGCTGCGTCTCTCACTTCAGCTACCTCACACCTCGCCAACGGCACGGCGAGCTTATGGAGGGAGCTTGGGGTTGCAGCGGCACCACGAGACTCGCCACCACTTCTCTCGCTCAACGAATCCGGCGACGAACTGTCATCACACGTCAAAACATTAAACGCACAACACTAACACCGATCTATTACATGGCATGCCGCTTTCATAGATAATATACTCCATAGATTATAAAATTCGACCGGGAGCTTCAATCAAATAATAATGTGATAAAAATAAGACCAGTGGAGAGTAATTAAATGAAAAACATCTTTCTCATTTAGTAATGTATGGAGTAGACTAAATCTATGGCTAATTTATGGCTGGTGTCGTCTCTATCGGGTTTCAAAATATGAAGGAGGAAAACAGCGCAAAATCCCAATAGTGATAAGCAAACCGTTCGCAGTGACGACGCCAGCATCAAACACGATGTAACACAAAAACAACTAACTAAAAACTTCAGCGCATGTATGGTATGAGCGAGGTGTGAAACGGTCTATGGCAAGCAACACAAATATTCGTTACAACGACGCTTCCTAGATTATCCTCCGGTGAAAACATTCATTTGGAAATATGAAGAAATAGTGCGTGAAACTTCATTTAACACCAAACAAAGGTCGTTAACACAGGGGCAACATGCCGTGGAAACATAGAACAGATATTGAAACGCGAATCCAGTCATTTTTTTTTGTGCATTTACTGTGGGATATGAAATGTAGGCATCGCAAGTCGGTATTGTATAGCAACGAATTTAATGTGTGTCTATTTTAGTTTCCAATTGGTATAGGCTAGTAAACAAAAACATGGTATGTTGCCGATCACAAATATAGTTAAAAAGTTGAACTCTATTTTTTTACTTATTTTCTAGTTACTATCCTTTATAAGAGTAGAAAATCTATTAATCATGAGAAATATACCTATTAAACAAATAAATAGGGGTATAAAATTAAAATTGTAGACTATTTTATAGATCGTATATTATTACTAAATAGAAATAACAACACTAAATTTTTTTTTTTTTGACATTGCAATGACTATTTGATAGTAAAGTTAATTTTCTTTAAATCCTCGCAAAAGTTATAAATTGTATATACCGTATTAAATATTCAGACGCTCGTCTTCTGATCCGTATACAAATGTGAAAACATAATTTGAATAAAAAACATAAACACGTTTACTTGAAAATCTGCTTACGATGTGCAAGAATATTTTTCGCTTGAAATCTTTCAGTGAAATCGAACGGAGACAAGCCATTTTTGAATGATATCTTGGCATGAACCGAGTGGCAAATATAAATAATATATAACTAAGTTTCAAACATGTGTGTATGATAGAGAAAACCTATTTTGGAAATCTACAGACTGAAATATTCAAATGTTAAAAAAATAAATCGATTAGAAGCATTCTGGAACCGGTTGGGATCGGAACTGTGACCGGTTGTGCCTATTAATTCTTTTACTCCTAAAAAATAAAAGAATAAAGCAAACGAAATACTATCAAACAAATGAAACGATTCAAAATTTGTTGCATAGTTCTAAAACTATCGATGCTTTTGAGATGAAAGAACGATACGACTTACGTCGATATATATATCTGTAATACGGAAAATGTTAGAAGCGATATTGCTATCGCCCTCGTTCGAATAGAATGTGAATAGGATGGCGATAAATATAACTATATCAATTGACACCAACGTCGCAATAACATCGATAAAGTAATGAAAATATTTAACGTGTTACTAAATTCACCGTATTATCGCGTCGATAATAATGTGAAGTGTCTAAGTGTTTCGGTTGTGGAAAGTATTTGTATACGGGGTGTCCCGACTTGATACAATCAAAAAACATATTGAGCTAATTGTAGCTGTAGTATGTATTTGGTATAGTATACTTTTATAATAATCGAAAAACACGAAAGAGTTTTAATTTAATCATTGAATAATGATAACTTAAAACTTAAATTGACTATCGAGCCAGGACACACTGTATATAAGAAACATTTTAACCGCATACACACTACATTGTTTTAAATTGCGAAAAAATTGCGTGTACTATACATTCAACAAAAAATAGGAGAGACTAAACATAGAGAGTTTTCTGATATCGAAAGATTTTAGTTACATTACTTTATAACAAAAATCCAGTTGTATAAAAGAAGTCTAATATAACTGAGACAGATACCATTGTAGAAAAAGCGGTTTAAAACGCGGAATATATTTGTTGACTTAATGTTAACAACAACCTGGTGCCCTCGTGGCCACACAAAGCCCTAAACGTCTGGTCGAAGTTAAAAACACATTAACTAATATTGACTAGTTTAAAAATGATTTTTTGTATATTATTCATACGTGGTGCGGTATGCAAATTATTTTATATATTTTTAATTGCATTTGAGAAATATTTCCTATAAATTTAATTAAACATGCAATGTACTTAGGAAAAATTCAGTATACACTGTTCTGGTTATTGTTTTCCGATCTAATTGATAGCGTGTTGCGGATAAACTATTAAAATCTTTCGATACAAAACAGTTAGAAGACAGCGGTCACATTTCCCGATACAAACAGAAGGCAATAGCTATACATGGTCCGTGTATTGGCGTTACAGAACTATTAGCGTACCGATTTATGACATAACTGTGCACCCGAGTATGCGTGTATGAGAATCACAATGACTTAGAAGCCATAGTAAGCCTATGAGACGCGATTCCATCTTACAGAAGAGAACAAGCGTGGCGTTCTCCATATTTAACGGGGGTCACAATCGTGCTGTCTGCCAGCTGATACTAGGGAAGATAGAATGGTTTTCCATGGTATAGCGTTCGTGGGAAGTAAAGATGGAATCGCAATGATGTATGTATCGTGCACGAAACGGTATGGCCACCTCGTCCGCTTGTGGTGCCTGTGCGCACGCGCATAGCTCAAGGGCAGCGTGAAGAAACCGACTGGCGCGTTCAGGCTCTCGTTGGACGAATTCAGCTGAGTCCCGAGCCATCCCTCGGGCTCCGTGCTACACAAAGAGAGCAGGGCCACAGCAATAACACTATGTACGATTAAGACCCGCAGCCATTTGTGACTTTAAAAGGAGCTGCCTAGGAAATGTGTTTCATATATCTGCTAAATACTGCGAAACTCCCTAGTGGGTTCGAATCTTGTGTTGGGTAGAACTAGTTATGTCGAAATAAAAACATTACTAAAAGTAACTGTAATTGAAATTAACTTAGCTTCTCACAAGTCGGAAGGGTTATTCTCGATTTACAATGAGCGTAATGATATTTTACTGTAGTTACATCATTGAGGTGAAAATTTTGAGTGGTAATTCAGTTCTTTTTTCAAGAGGAACCCCTGAGTTACGCTTTTAGACATTAAATTTAAATTAACCTTCTCATTTGCCATGGGAAATTAAAAGTTTAGTTAAAAAACTCGTCTCATCCAACACTAGAATTAGTTTTTGAGCAAAAATATACGAAATCTAACAATTTGGTCCAAACGACATTTTGCGGTGAAACGTATTATGTAAATAGCACGATGAAAACGTTGCCCTGGTAATACGTTAAAAATCTCATACAATCACTTAAATCGTAAAAAATGTGCATTCTATATATTGTTATAGGTCGCGGCACGGATGTTTACCGCTGAACGAAGTGTAAAGAAAGAGCTAGTTGCGCATCTGTACAATCGCCCACGTAATTGATTGGAAAACGTGACTGTACTCGAGAAGCAAGCGGAGCGTCGTATTGGTCCGAGAAGGACAACACGACTGGGGAACCAATCGACGCTAGCTCACATGGCGTTCACTCGCACCGCGCCCGCTTCCGTCCCTTCGATACCTTATTTTTGACAATGCGCACGATTCGTTCAGCGCTAAAGATTCGTGCCGCTACTTATAGAGTGAAATTGTTACTTATAAGTGTAATTTGTGTGTAAATCAAGTACAACATGCTGTAGAAATATTAGTGAATTCAGAAAATTATGTGTAAAATGTGTATAATGTGTAAAAATAGATTTAAATTGTTTAGTAAAACCAATCGAAAATACTTTGACAATTAAACACACTAAATGTACTCTAAAACTTTTACTAGTCTTTTCTAATACAAACTAATTAAAATTACGGCAAATCAATTGAAACTGCGCTTAATACGGATAGCAAAAAAAACTATATTCAGTACTGCCGACATTTTATAATATAATAAAAAGCTGCGTGTAGTGTTTGTGTTTGTATCTGTGGCAATTGAATGGCTGCCTTTGAAAAATAAAACCCTTTCGATTGCTACTGGCCATTGATAAACTACTTTTGAGAACAATACGACTGCTATAACAGAGCTTATCAATTTAACACGATGTTACTTTGCTAATTTGGTTAGCTAAAAGTAGTCCGTCCTTGCATTTCATTTTAGTAACGAAAAATTATATTTAAGTATATTTTTTGTATGTTGCTCTTATTGCGTCTAGAATGTAGTTTAAAATGTACAGTAGAACCCACCTTAGACGATCACGCTTAATACGATTTCTCAATAATACGTCACTTTATCTTTATGCCAGTCCCGGGAACTTGAGACATATTTTCTAATTTTTCGCTACGCTTAATACGGTTTTCATCCCGTTTAATTCGCCCGAACCGAGTCGCGAAAAAATTTGAATTTTGAAATTTTTTAGACACATTCACAAACAACAAATCAAACTAAGTTAACTAGTAAACTTCACTTGTTTTTGAGATACATATCATTTTAAAAATACAGATTGAGAGGTGCGCAGATAAAAATAGGAAAGTTTGATAAATTGTCAAAGAAATTGTTGGCATCTTGTTTGTAAAAACCTTTCTGTTCAACCAAAATAAGTAATTATTAAAAAAAACGTAATTATTTCGTACACTACGTATTTAATGTATGTATAATTTAAATATACTTATACCAAAATTAGAGCATAACACATTATATAATATATCGTACGTTTTATTTTCTTTATCCCGAATAATACGCTTTCCCGCCTAAGACGCGTTTTTGGTCCCTTAGAAACCGTCTTAAGCTGACTTTACTGTATTAATTATGTAATCATCTTCAGAATGTTTGATCAAAAAAGAAATGCAAAATCCCAACATTTTATGTATTGTGTGTTTGTGTATTTTTATACATGCGTGTACGCACCTGAGACTAAGATCTGGACTGGCGCAGCGGACCACCGGACTAGGAACAGCGGGTACCACGAGGTACGCCATAGTAAGATAGTACTTCCACACTTGCATATAGCCGTCTCTCTCTTTCTCCGGTTTCCTTGGTAACGCCGGTGAACGGGAGAGAAGAGACGCACGATTATCATTGACAGGCCTGAAAGAATTTACAGTTACGAATATGCGAAATACTATATATAAAAACTCGTAGAAAACTTTTGGAAACTGTGATATTTCACACACGTGATTTTAATCTAACTAGATTTTTAATTCATGGATATGTTTCTGTACTTACGCCGGTTCGATGATTGTAAAGAGAGCATGGATCCTGGCGTGAAGTATGGGCCAGGCCTGTAACACTGTCGTTGGGCACTTTGCGGGCACTCGGTTCTTTTCAAGTAGACCGTATAAGACCACCTGAAAGAAAATACTTTAATACTAGACCTGGATAATAAGTTCCTTGAATAGAAGTTCCTTTAACTAGAATAATAATAATAAACACTTAAATTCGCTTTTAGCGACGATTACAAAACACTGAAAGGTCTCAACTTCAAATATATTCGTTTGTTAATGGGCGGAATGAGAATCCGAAAAATATAGCGTCAATTACTGTTATCTGTTATAAAACTATTTTAAACATTCGTCACGTGACACAAAATGCTCCTGATTGGTCGGGTTTATGACGACGTCACTTGCCTATAAACAGTGCTATCACCACCGTGCTACCTAGTGTTAAAACTGTTATATTCTCTGCATTAATAAAAAAATAATTTGAAACTCATTTAATTACTTCACGCTGAAAACGTTAATGTTTGGTGCAAACGCATGTAGATTGTAGATCATATGATCGAAATACTCTAATATCCAATATGAGGTCGTGACGTCACTAGCCGTATTGCAGTGTTATTTCGCAAAATTAGCGTAGAAGCGCAATTTAAATTATGATTAATTTGATATGTATCAGACTTCGAAATTACTACTTTTCTGGGATTAACATCTACCAAACTATAAAGGGTACGTTTTTAAAATCAACCAAATAGCTCATTACTAAGTGCGAATTTTCATATAGAGCAAGAAAACATTCGTACCTCCCAGGGGTCTGCGCCACTCGTCGAGCTGCCACTCCAGCTGTTTTTCGTCGAGGTTTCATCGTGCTGAAGACCTGTCAAAGAAGCATTCATTTATTATAAACTAGCCGTGTCAGCGACTTCGTCTGCGTCCCGCATTTTGCCTTTGTAAGTTAATCTTTGAAAAATAGACATTTACTATCGTAGACTTTTAGCTCATATAAAGAGAAAACATTTCTTTTTACATATTATTTGGGTCAAGATTCCCAATTTTCGCAGCGTACGCATAATTTTCCACATTTCCCGTTATTCTTCTTTTTCTCAATAAATGCTCTAACCAACACAAAAATTCGAACTCAAACAAACAAATAAACAAATTCCTCAGCTTTATTTATATAATAGATTTATATTTAGAATTAGAACATAATTTTTTTAATTATAACAAGTTATTGCCAAAAGATCCAATTGTTTTTAGTAGCGAACACTTACCACACGTCCAAACTGGATGTGTTCTTTCAACTAGCCAGACGAGATCCGGTTGCCCAGCGGCTAACACGGCTTGTTTCTCAGCAGGGGGCAAAGCACCCAGGCACTTCTCGGTAAAATATGGTACGTGCGCATCCGCCGCGTCTATCAACGCCGGCTCGTCGCGGTTCAACTGAAGACGCTCCAGCAGACTTTTGCATTCTCTGAAATGAGAACAGGCTTTTAGTCTATAAAATTATAAAAAACACAGAAATTTAAGACTAGCAAAAACGCTTCTTTCGGCATCGTTTGACCGAGTTACAGCGAATTATTAAAATCGAGGTAAAAAAAATTACGACATTTCATCTATACTAATATATAAAGCTAAAGAGTTTGTTTGTTTGAACGAATGAATCTCAGGAACTACTAGGCTACTGCTAGTATGAAATAAAGACAAGAATTTATATTATGGTTGCTAGAAAAATCCCAATATCAAACCACAAGCGGACTAATCATTTCTTAATTTCTTAATAAAAGACTTCTTCGGTTTAAAACACGAAATGTATTCTGTATTCGTCTTATTTACGTACTTAGCATCGGGCCATAGATATTGTAAATGAAATTGTTCATTCAAAGAAACCGGGAAGGTTTGAAGGGAGAATCGGATAACTCAATGACATCCGCAAAGGGGGGGATGGGGGGGGGGGAAATGGGTGAAGCGGTTAGCATATGGCGTGGACTGAACACCCGGCCTTCTATCACTGTCACCAAAATCGACGAGGCGTGGCCGAGACCCACATTTGCTCATTTGGTTTAGAGCAACAGCACGAACGCTGACGATGCCGGTTCAAATCCAGCCCGAGACAAAGATTTTTAATCTAAAAAATCCTCACCTAAGAATGTGAACCGCCAGTCTTCTCGGATAGGCCTTGCATTGACAGAGCATAACCAGTCCCAGAGCTTCAGCCGCTCTTATCACGGAGGCTAGAGGCTCAGTCTTAGGGGGTACCGTCGCAGCTGGTTCGCCGTTCTTCCAGCTCGTAATCAGTTGCAATAGCATGCGAAGGCCATTTTCCACCAACTGCGGTGATGTGTCCTGAAAGATTAATAAAAATAACAGATTATTTACACATCTATACTAAAGCTGACGAGTTTGTTTAAATGCGCTAATCTCCGGGACTACAGGTTAGAATAAAAAAAATATATGTTTGTGTTTATCAAGGCAGGCACGTCATGTAAAACGTCGCGATGCGGGAGCGAAGATACAGCGGGAAATGTGAGAAAATTCATCTTTATGGGTCTCTGTTGCGTACGCTGCAAAAACGGTTTAATATATCCAAAAATATGTATGAACGAATGATTCCTCTTTGAATGATCAAGGAAAATGGACGCGACCGACGTCGTGGTTAAGTGCAAGCAAGCCTGTCTGTCCCCGTCTATCATAAAAAATCTAAATTAATAAACACATGAATTAAAGTGACGTATATACCTGCACTTCTTTAGCGAGGAACTGAGTGAAGCCTGCTAGAACATCTTGTCTCCACTCCGGGAAGTCCACGATGAGGGTCTGAAGGCTCTGGAAGGAGAGGCCGCGGAGCTCCTCATCCATGTGGACAGTGAGACGGCACAAGAGATCTACGAGCTCACTGGGACTCATGCCTTCGGGGATCAGACTGAAAAACAGAGAAAGAACTTTTCAAGGTCTGAAGAAGAATTCATCTTCTAATAAAAATTTAGTTTTTTTTAATGATAGAGAAGGACACGGGGTTCACTTGATGGTAGGTGAACTATCCCAGCCTACAGCATCTAAACAAGATGCGCGGACGACTTATTTTGCCTTTGGATATTCGAAGATTCACAGACTGCAATCGAAACGTGATTAAACTTTACGGCCATTTCATCTGTGTAAGGTAATCCGTGACCCGGACGGTATTTCGATATTCCTACCACACATTTCCTATCACCCATCCAGACAAAGTCCTATGTTTCAGAAAAATTATAAATTAATTATAAAATTTTTGTGCTTGTTACTCACCGCGGTATAGCCGCGACGCACGTTCTGAACAAATCGATTCTCGGCTTCCTTTCACCCGTATTGATTTCTTGCTCCTTTGTAACGTTTTGCGTATTTGTCAACATAAGCGGTCTGCCGTAGTGAGCATCGAGGGCCCTCAAAATCTCAACTAGCACCCGCCTCACATACGGGAAGTACGCGCTCATACCAATCGACTGGGCCGTTTCGTCCGTTAACATTTTATTCAAGAAGGTCTTCTTCACACGCAGCGTGTTTCCCGATGGGAGGGTCCCAGAAGTCCTGGGCATCGGTGGCTCCCCCTCCTTCTGTTGCAAGCTATCAGCCACGACGAGAAACGCTCGGAGCCCTATTGACATCCTCTCCGGGGTGAGAATAATTTTAATAGGCCGACCAACCATCAGCAAGTCGAAGACGATCTCTCTCATAGCGAAATCGAGTCTCTCTTGCGCAATAAACTGTATTATTTTCACGAATATGTTGAGTGGCGTGTCGCGCGGGACCACGCCCTTCGAGCCTTTCGGAAACAGCGAATTCACGATGCTCTGCAGCCGGGACTGAGTTGCTGAATTGCTCTCGCATTTTATGCGGATCATGTAGACCCAGAGGAGGCGATACAGAGATTCTGAAGGAATAAAATATAAAATGTTATTACACTTTGATCATAATGGTGTATGTAATTCAAATGAGATGTAAATTATCTATAGCGTATTTTTTCTAACTTGGCAAAAGAGCACAATATATATGGCCGATTTCAAACCATAGAGATTTAGTAATGCCCTTTTAAAGTGTAGTCCTCGCCACAGTATGTCATCTGTGGCAAAGGTTAGAGATATATCCATTATATATGGACCAAACAACCTGAATATTCAAAATCAATTAATGATGACTTATTTATGTAAATATTATTTAACTCGACGTTTGTAACGCTTTTCAGCGATACTGCATAGATGGGACGGACTTCTACCCTCCATCGTTTTGTTTTCTTACATCCCATTTTTATGTACATTTCAAACTAAAGAAATTTTAATTTGTCCTTCAAGCAAATTAAATTAATTTAATTAATTTAGCATAAAATTGTGGTTTTTACTAAGTTAATTTGAGATGGTTTCATTAGTTTAATATATAATCCAGTGTTTTTTAGGATGTCAATGTAAATGTTATGAGAAAATCACAATTTCATGTAAATCGTGTGTTTGTATAACAAAAAATGCCAAAATAGAAAAAAATAATAATATGTGCTGTATCAGCCTGTTAAATGTATAAGTACAACACGATTTACTGATTCTATAACTGAGTATAAACGTAAAAATGTTTTAACACTGATTGATGATAGTAGCTAAGATAAGTGAAATATAACATACCGAGCGCAACACGACACATTTTCGGGTCTCTGTTCTTAAGATGAGACAAGCACATAGCGAGGAAACAGTGCCAATTGGCCAAGAAAAATTGCTTCTGTGAGACACAGAGCAAACACGTCACGAGTGGGAACAACGCCAAGCGGTGCTTCGACTTTGTGCTTGCATCTAGAGTGTGGCTGTACAGCATCTCCACGAAGTTCTTTAGACAGGGAACGTTCACTTCGTTCTTAACGGTCTGGGGGAAATACAAAAGGTTTAAATTGAAAATCGATTTTAGATTGAAAAAGTTTCACGACACGGGCGAGACTTGAACCAGCATCGTCAGCGTTCCGTGCTATTGCTCTACCAATTGAGCTACTGAGTCCTACACCTCATCGTCGAATTTTTTCTACTTATTGATACATGCACCTCTCGCGCAATGTAATTTCAACCTTAACACTTGCGTATTAAGTCTCGATTTGCCCGAGGCGAAAATTTTTTCTAGCGTTCCATGCTGCTGTTACTTTAACCAATGCTCCTCTCCTATTTAACTATGTGGTATGGCGTAAGCTTATTATTATTTTTTTACAGTTTTTTGTGCATTACAGTTTGCACTCAATGGTAACGTAATCAAAACATAAGATCAAGCTAAGTTTATCCATCAGCAGTTAATACGCCTTTTATATTGTAGGAATACTGACCGCAGCGACTGGCACAAGTATTTCCACAAACAGTCCGGCCAGAGCATGTCTAATATCCTTGTCCTTCACCTCCAGGAAGTACTGAGCGCACTCCGTGAGGAACTGGAAGGACGCTTCGAATTCCTCAATTGGTACCATCTTCACGCGGAAGAATTTCATACCCATTAAAAGGGAAATTATGCTTTGAGTGGTCTGTGGGGACTGCTCGCGGCTCTTCAGTTCCTATAAATAGAGAAATAATATATTATTATCTAAATATTTATATTAGAATCAGTCGAAGAGTTTTATACGTATAGTCTCGCTCTTTCCGCGCCCCCGCCCGCGGTAGTGTTTTTTGGGTATTAAAGTTGTTTTTCCAAACCTCCTCTAGCTCTGTTAGATTTGAGTTTCGACTCCGTCCGCGTCTTTAGAATAGTTTTTCAGTAAATCTTTAAAGATAATCCCCCTCCCGGGCTTTTTTTTTTTTTTTTTAAAAAAAAAACTTTTTTTCCCCATTTTTTTTTTTTTTTCCCCCCCATTTTCGCAGCGTACGCAACGGAAACCCATAAAGATCAATAAGTCTTCCCTCCTATTAGTCACAGAGCAATGTTTAATAGCCTATAGCCTTCCTCAACACCGAAATATTTTTTCAATTCAAACCAGGAGTTCCTGAGATTAGCTCGTTCAAACTCTTCAGCTTTATATATTAGTATAGATATAAAGATTAGTACCAGTCTCCCCGTGACCACGGCTGGTGCAAAGCATCCGAAACGTCGGGCCGAAGTTAAAAATCATTTTCAAATAAGTTTAACTAATATATCGCGTTGTAAACCGTTAAAGTGTTTTATTTAAATGTGTACTACTCGCGTAAACTTACTATAGACAGTATTTAAGATTAGTACCTTCAGTTCAGCGGTGAATCGTTTTCGCACAGATGCAAATCTCGACTGGGCTAGAACGCCGATGACCTCTGCATAAAGGTCTGCTATTATGTGCACGTTGGCTGCGTTAGGATTAGATTGTAATCTGAAAGGATAAACATATTTGTTTAAATGTTTAGGTATTTATATGATAATGGAGAATATTTTTGTAAAAAGGATTAAATGTTTATTATCGCTATTTAAATATCTCGGTATTGTCAAGGAAACTACACCAAATTCGTTATTTTAGCAATAATAGGATGTAGGATTCTTTGGCAACAACACCTTTATAATCATGTGATTCGCTGAATGTATTACAACAAGAAAAACTCCTGAGATTTGTGCTTTGTAACAATTTTGCGATTTTCTTAGTGAATTAAACAAATTAAACCTTTAAAAGCATTGTATACAGTTCAAGACATGAGGTTTGAAGTATCCGATAATACAAAACCTTATATTACTATAAAAAAAGGTAATAAATTAAAACATTGTTAAAAAAATATATGTTACTAAATTTAGTTCTTAATCGTTCAAAAGACTGAGACAAAGTTTCTAATTTACTCGTTGTAAAACATGTTGACTCACCCTTCTTTATAGTTGAATCGTTTGAAGGCGACATTCTCGATGTAATTGACGAGGTCCTCGTGTCCAGGGTGGAAAGGCAATTGCTTCAGCACCTCGATTAAAGCGAGACAGAACAGAAACTCCACGGCCAGATCCCTCCGTTCCGCGTGCAACTCCTCACAACTCCTCTCCACTTGTTCCGTTCCTGCTCCACTACCAGACACTATGTAGATGATGCTGTAAATCGTATATTTATCTTCGATACGGTCTTGCTAGGCTTTACTATATATACAGTTTTATATTAAAGTTAATAAAAACAATCGTTTTACAAAGAATTAAGGCCGTGAAATTTATTGTTAATTGTTCGCAAGTTAATATTATCAGAGTATAATTTATTTATTGCCTAGTTTATAAGCAATTTTATAAAAAACGCAAGCTATGACGTACGAATATAGAAATGTTTACGTTGCTCTATCACAACTCTTCTCTGGACGGCTCTATTAGTGTAATGATAGCAATGTGTTGCTAACAATCAACGGGTCGTGGGTTCGGGTTTTCTAAATGTCTGAAACATGTTGGACTTCGTCTAGACATCTGGATATATAGTACGGGTGTGTCCACAGAAGAAAAAGCCGTGAAGGTCGCGTTTCGGTTTCAGTCTATGAAAATCAGAATATCCAAAGCCAAAGGTCGCAAAGCAATTTGTTAAGATGTTCCATGGCAAGGTACTACTAAGGTATTTCGCCTACCATCAAGCGAACCCCATCTAGACTACTCTGTCCTGCTCTATCATACAAAAAATATATTTCGCATTAAAGGATGTAAAAAGCCTTGTTTCCTAGAGTATTTAGACAAAGCACAGAGCAACTGTATTATTAACCCTTTCCTTTTAAAACTGTTTTCAAAGAGTGCATCTATTCTGCGCCAAGAGTTATTTAATTTAAGGTACTATATATTATAAACATTTGAATTAGTTTGCAATTGCTCTTTTAAATAATTTAGATGTTCTCAGATATTGCAATGTTACTGCTAAAGCCGTGTATCCAATATATGAGAATTAAGAAAAAGCAAATATATCCTACTGTCATACCCATTAAAATGGCCAACTTGAAAAAGTCGTCTTAGAAGAGCAATTTCGCCAACTTAATTAAAAAAGTACACTTTTTTTTACATGCTATCGAACATGATAGCATAATTAAAAAACCTGAATATACACAGCCATAGGTCAACAACGCATCTTGTCAATATGTTCAGCTTCCATCAAGTCAATCACATGCTTGCCCGTCGCCTCTCACAGTAAAGAGATATATTTGGGATTTAAAAAAGACACGGGCGCGACTTGAATTTGCATAAAATAAAGCACGAGGGAAACGCCAGCATAATAATAATAATAGTAATAAGCTGAAATATTCAGTTTAACACTTTACAAGTAAGATTACCCCTTATAATGATTATTGTCCCTTACCCCACACAGAGGAAAGGGGACAAAGCATAAAACATTTTACAGTATTACAATAGTTAAACCTTTTGTTCCTCTGGTCTTGTTGCGGTTTTTTGGTCTGCTCTGTAAGTTGGGGTGAATCAGCCATTTGTCTTTCGAGCCACCCGAAAAGTGCCCGCAGTAATGAGGGCAGACAATGTTCTGCCACAGTCCCGAATGCTGAAAGTATCTGATCCAACTGGGGGTCTTCACCGCGCTGCAACGTCTTGTTCAGGGGCTTCTCCTGAAAGTGTTCATTCATCATTTGTAATTTCTTTACAACTAGGCATAATGCTCTATACAAAAAACAAACTTTTTATATTTAAAATAGTAGTAGCATGAATTTGGGATACAAGAATCTACAAAGATTTTACAAAGATTTGGAACAATTGGTATAATAAATCACTTTATTTGACATTGACATAAAATAATTAATACAAAAACATTGATATGAAGGAAAGTGATCCCAAAAGTGTCTTTCGTAACATAAGTTGCAACAAAGCTTAGCTACAACAATCCATGCTTCAGCAAAACTCTGCTGTTTTTCTGTGAGATAGCGCTAATACAAGCATTTGATATTTTAAACAACAGTGACTAAGTAAAGAGATATTCTAACACCTTGAAATTGAATAAACAAAATAAAGCGTGTGGCAGTTTGTATGAAGAACAATAGAATAGATATGCTTTGAAATCACCATACCAATGGTTCCGCCATCACTGCTTCCATCTTCCTCTCCGCTTGCACTGTAAACTCCGTAAAAAGGAGTCTCATGACGAACTCGCCAGGACGCAGATCTGCATCTGGGGCTGGCATAGATGGCCCCTTCGATTGACCCCATGGCAACATTGAGCCTGTAACCACATTTTTATAACAAATTAAAATTGATAAACAGACAAGTCAACATCGTTGACGGTTGTTGTGAAGAGGTTATGTTGGTCAAAAATATTATAAGGATATTCTATACATTACATTACTTTTCATCAAAAAGAAATTATTGTTTTACAAAAGCGTGTTGAAATATATTGCGACATGAAACACATTGATGACATTACAACTTTATATAAAGGTTTTAAACTTTTTGGGTGACATAATTCGTTAATTATAGATATTTATACCTATGAAAATTCGTTCGGTTGTTCTCAAAAATTATCACAAAGGTATACATTATATTAAATGTTATAGACAATTAAAGGGAATTATAAAGAATTTGTTACATGTAGAAAGCTAGAAAGAATAACACTGCCTATCTATTCAAGATGCATACAGATTACAGAAGAATGATTTTTTAAATGATAGAGGCATGGCACAGACAGACGGCATGGGGTTCCCTTGATGGTAGGTGAAATCCCCAGCCCATAGCATCTAAACAAAATGCGCTGTCAACCTGTTTTGGCTTTGAATATTCGGCATCAGCCATGTTTTATTGACTGCATCATCTTCAGTAGTATCCAATCTAACAGACGGCAAATTCAAATTCACTGACCTCTGCTAGATATATAAGATGTCACGACACACCGCACGTCGATGGTGGGTACTGATATCTTGTCCTGGAGGTAAGTTGGTGTATCAGAGGCTAGTTCCCGGCTTTGCCCGTCTCCTTGTTCATTACGTTGCGGCTCCGACAGTATACTTGTTTCTGACTCTGCTTCGCTTGACACCATAGACGAAGGTGCTTCCTCAGTACCTGAAGCTAAAGTATTTCTAGTTAAAAACAGTCACACAAACAGATTTCTATTAATGTCCAATATTTAGAGGCATATTTGGTTGCATAAAAAAGGCAGTTCTTATAAGTAGAAACTATGAAGACCGACAACCTTTCATTGTTTGTTGCATATTATTGATAGACTTGTACTCTACCGACTGTAGTCAATTTTTAAATGGCAATAAAAAAAACATTGGCATTGCTAAGTAGTTTTCATATTAATAAAAAAAAGATGAATACTCATTTTATATTAATTAAAGAGTTTGTAACTAGTGAATTCTAGTGCTTAGTATCTACACTATATTAAACAAAAAAGAAATATATGACAATGAACATCGATGTGAACACCAAAACTAACCTGACAGTTCTTCCGGGTGGCCATCGGATGGAATAGTACTTATCGAATCAGACTCCTCCGAAGTCATCATAGTGAATGATTATAGATGTTGAAACTATGTTTAAAATTTATATTAATAATGCTGCAACGAAAAAATCAATGTGTCAAATGTATTAGCACTGATAAGGTCTCCGTCCACAATAATATTATTTTATAATAATTATTATTGGTTATTTAATTTTTTGTTATTGTTAATTTATTACGAGGGAACATCTTATAGTATAGTATCCCTCTGATTTCAAACATATAAAACTAGATTCAAAGTCAAATAACATACGCTTCTCTTTGCTAGATATTCAACATTATATGTAACTAAACTAACTTAACATATAACTGTATTATGGACGGACCTCTAAAACTTAAAATAAATGATGTTATTGATGAACTGAAAGCATGAGTAACAAGCAAGTGATGGAATTCTCTAGAAGTTATTGCGTTAACATCTACAGCAGTTACTGTTAAAATAATTAGAGTTTACCTTTATTAGCATAACTTGCAGTTATCCAGTTATGCATTCTCGATTCTGGAATGAATTGTTTAACAATTATTAATATATACATTTAATAGAGCAATAAGTGAGTACATACTCAAAAATGTTCCTACAGGAAAGAACAAAGAAATCATTATTAAAATTATCAATAGTCATATAAAAATCTATAAGTATCATATATCATCTGTGTAATATGGGGTAAGTTATTTAAATATTAATAATACTGTAAAAAAGATTTAAGATAAATTTAGATTAGATTTAAAAGATAAAAGATTTAAAACAAATGAAACAATATATCTATAAAGAGCTGTCCACTAAAGGTACAATGTGTTCATAAGCCATAACATCAGTCTTACTTGAAATCAAAACATTCTCATATAAAATAATACCCTATTCCCATAATATTAAATCTTCTTGTGCAAAAGCAATCACAACATTAATACACATTTTATGGTGCCACAGTTATGACTCATCAGCAAAAGTAATGAAACCCCGTTTATCATACAATGCTCTCTGTATTTTAGATCATTGGCATTAACACAAACATATTAAAATATATTATAAGCAACGCTGATTTTTCGTGTATTTTTATATTTCTGTAATAAGTTAGTTTTATAAACTTGTATCTGAAACTAGGGCAAGTAGTAATATTAATGTTAAGGAACCAATCAAATTACTGAATATATAAGTTAAAATTAAAAAAAGCATTGATTGTGCCGAAAATAGCTGCTGTAGCATAATTAATTGACACATTAGCAATAACATAAATTCGATCACAGCACTGATATTTCTTGGTTACATTAAATAAAATTGATATGTTTTTATCAAATACCTCCAAAAGCATTATACGTTAACAAGATTGTTGAAAACGATAAATATTACCTACACGGAGATCTTAAAACAAAAGGCAGCCAAAATTTAATTCAACTTTATCGATTAAAGAGGTAATTTCCAAAAAAAAATACCTAAACATATCCAAAAAAGGTACTCGCCGATTGAACAATCATCATCCACATTTTATTGATCAAATTATCTAAACGAAAACTAGAAATGGTAGATACGAATATATAAAAAAATCTGATTTTCGAGACTTCTGCAATTGACAAGTAATATTCAAGTGTCAACTCAAAAAACACTAATTGACATAACGTTATTTCAATATTGACAATAAGAACTTTTTTTCCAAATACCAAAATAATATAAAAACAACATTTATTTTTTTATTAATATTTAATGGCCTGGTAAAACAACAATTTATATTAATGACACATTACCCTGGCCCATGGCAAATTCATTTCCAAAATCGAATAATTTTAAAATCTATAATGAAATATCCCGTTGGAGTATGATGCAGATAGAGTGATACAAATTGCAAACGTGTTGTATTTCTGAGGCGTCGATAGATAATATCCAAATAACGTTTTCAATAATTATTTGTCTATAAACCTAAAGATTTATCTATAAGAACTTTTTTTTAATTTGTATTAATATACTTTTTATTTAACACAGTTAATTTTACAATGTGATCATAGTCTATGAACCCACAGCTTTTCCAAGTTGCATACTGAATCCTGTATCTGTGTCTGTGGTTCGATTCATATGAATTATATATATATATATAGTTCATAAAAGTTCAAATTATAAACATAAACCAAAAGACGGAATAAGTGGAAGGTGTGTGTTAATAACTTAAATAAGATGGAAGTAAGAATAGAGAATAATATTACTGAGTGGGGAAAATTGGTTAGCGAACCGAAGGCCCGAAGAGCCAAGTTTTTACTAAAAATTACCTAACAACATTTAGTAAGTGTGCGTCGATGCTGAATTATGAGTAAAGTTTAGTGGGATCGACTTTGCAACCAACCTGATGCCATACAGCATTTAGCTTGTGTAAGATGCAGTTAAAAGTATAACGTTCAGTTCAGTTCGTGCGGCATTAAATAAGATTGATAGGTAAGTGGGCATATGTCATATATGTAATTGAATATTTGCTAAATATTCTACTTATGGGTCAGGAATTGTTTACTAAAGATATCAGTAACATTAGTGATTTAATGTTTAGCACATTGTTATATTTTGTATGCATCAGAGTTCAATGTAATTTTGTTTTCATTGTTGATCAACTATTTAAATCAACTAAGCATTCAAAGTTAAAAATATATATAAATATGTAAAGGAGAGCCAAAGTATTAAATAAATATTACATTAAATATGTAGGTCATTAAATACACAGCTGGCTACAACGATGGCGCATAAAAGCCAGTGCGGCCAAATCCGTGCATGTGACCTTTACCCTCAGAACTGGAAACTGCCCTTCTGTAACCCTAGGTAATAACACTTTACCTCAGAGTAATTGTGTGCGCTACCTAGGCATCCACTTAGACCAACGGCTGACATGGAGGCAACACATAAATGCAAAGAAAGAAGAAATCTCACTTAAACACAAGAATTTGTACTGGATGCTCAGCCGCAACTCCAAGTTATCACTAGACAACAAACTATTATTTTATAAACTGTCATCAAACCGATCTGGATGTATGGCATCCAGTTGTGGGGGAGTGCCTCCAACAGTAATATTAACATATTACAACGCCAAGAAAATAAAATTCTTCAGACCGTGGCCAATGTGCCATGGTTTGTTCGTAATTCGGAACTCCATGAACACCTGAGAATTGGCACAGTTAAGGATGGGATATGCTTCTCCTGCTGTAACATACAGGAAAAAGCTCACAGTCCACCCAAATGAACTTGCATGCCAACTGACCATAAATAAATATACTGTACGCCTGAAAAGACACCACATCATGGAGCTTCAAGATCGAAAATAGCTCCAAAAGAAAGAAAATAATTAGTAGGTGCTCTCATTGGAGAATGCCCTCTACATGTTAAATAGATACATCGCATCTGCTCATAGTCTGGGGACTCCTATAAAACAAAGACTGTATTTAATGCAAACTATCTTTTTGATAACAGCATCAGTGGCCAGAGAAATTGATACTGACATTCGTATGATCCTAAGGAAGTGAGGTCATTTGGAGGTTAAGCATATTTTGTGTTATAAGGACTACTACTACTAGTTCTTACAGGTATGTGTATATGAGACATGTTTTCATATTTTATTGAAATATATTGTAAAGGTTAAAAAGGGGCAGAAAGTAAGGATGTAATGTGGGTAACTTGAAGTGTGAGTCCTATTTGTCTGCATCTTATAAAGTTAAGTAATTAAAGTTTTCCCATTTCACAGATTTCCAAGCACGATGACTCTCCAGTGCTTTAAGTGGTCACACACCGGTGAAATATGATATCACATTTGTGGAAAGGGTAAGTTTGACTTAAATATCCTTTAAATAATTAATGTTATGGATGGCATTTGAATCCAACAATAATACCATGATCGAGTTTTGCTGGATTCATAAATCTTGTAAAATCATTTATAATCTGGTCCTATATAAAGAAATGTTTCTTCATACAATTTTGTATATGTTTCAGTGGCAGCAACAAGCTGGCTTGACAAATGGGAGCCAAGTGCTACAAGTGTGAATATTGCGAGAAACAGTTTCTACACCGCCTTAACCTGTCTAAGAGCTTTGTGGTTAAACAGGTGAGTCTGACTTATGATTTAATTATGTTTTTGACGTGGGTACTTCCTTCATAAGCATTATTTTAGTCTGTTTGTTATTGTCAAACTTTACCAAATAGTTATACTGAAGAGTTTTACTAAAATTTTTCCTTAACTTTATGAATCTTACTAAAAATTAAAGATTAAGAAAGGTACGAAGTATATATTTGCCTGGATTTCCAAATGTGTAGTTAAGTTTGACAGGTCATCTCAATTAGATTTTAAAGGCCTTGGGCATCATACTTACCACTGACGTAGTTAGTTTTATTTTCAATAAACTTTAAAATGAAAAACAACATTGTTTTCAGGGCACAGCTTTGAAGTACCAACTTCGCGCCCTTGTGCCTTCTGTGAGCACAGCGCCCTAGCGCTATCAGCATAATCTCTAGCATTAGCGACATACGGTTCTCTAAAGACACAATTTTTTTCTGTTTTGTTTTAAATGTTACATCATGAATCAGTAATTTTTGTTTAAATAAAACACTTTAATGGTTTAAAACGCGATATATTAGTTAAACTTATTTGAAAATGATTTTTAACTTCGGCCCGACGTTTCGGATGCTTTGCAGCAGCTGTGATCACGGGGAGACTGAATAAATAAATGTCTTTTAATTTCTATTATTGTTTTTTCTACTAGTTTACTATCTAATTTATTATTATTATTAAAAGGTGGTCTATCAGTCTTAATACATAGTTGATAATTTTATCATCATTAGTACTGTGATAGATGAACTGAAAACAATTTACTTTCTTGGCTATCTGTGGATTCTTGTAAGAAGTAAAATCAAACAAATGTAAATAGATGTGTTACAAAACAGCAAACAAATGAGGAAATTATTAATAAAGCACGTCTGTTTACTCATTTTTATTTACAATACCTTCTCTGAAATCACATACACACTATCTTTTCCTTTCACCAACATCAAACATTGGAGGATTGGAGGCCCTTGGACGGCGTCGGTGAATGGTTGAGTCCTCTATCGTTAATGCAGAGAAAACTAAAGATTCTCATGACCTTATAGAGGCACGTAAACCGGATTTAAATATGATTTGATCTTCTATAGTTAAATCTTTTAATACTCTAGGTTTTGCTATCACTGTGAGAAATTCCATATCATTTTTAATAACGTCAAACTCTTCAGGGAATGTTTCACAACCTGAAACTGTAATAAATCGTTATTTGAAAATATTTACTGCTTAAAATCTTTTCCTGGGTGTTGCCATAATGCATTATTATTTCTATAATTCTAAGACAATCCCTCAATTACTGTTATTGCGAAAAAGTAACATTGTTTACTTTCTATTGTTTGACAGCTTACTAGCAGTCAAAAACTCGGCACCAATAACAAGAGAGCATTTTACCGCGTCACCGCCTTTGACTTCACCTCTTAAGTAAATTACATTAATTAAAGCTTTTTCAGACTTTCAAGTAAGTAATCTCCAAAACTTTATTTATATTGTGGAATATGTATGCTCATTATGTTTAATGTAGGTGTTCAGTTTCTATGTTCCTCGTTTCTTAAAATACATATTTGCTTACAGAAAAATGGAGGGTGCTCATAACACAAATAATAACGAACGTAAACGCGCTCGGGGCAGTAGTGAAAGAGGAAAGATTAGAGGACGTGAAGAAGAAAACATGTTAGCGCCAAAAAGGAGGTTTGAACCTTATTCAAAGGACTATAAAAAGGCGGGTCTAAAAAGGGCGCGAAACATTGAGGAAATAGAATTTTGTGCAACCGTGCACCAAAACAACAATTATTCAGATCCATCTACTACAATCCCTAATAACGCTGCATGCAGTGGAATGCGACAGCAAACAAATGAACTGAACAATCCTGTAAACCAGATTGAGAATAATAATAACCGTGAGTCCTCTGGTAAGATTGAAAAGGTAACGTTTTTCGAACCCAACGAAAATGTTGATCATGACGGAGATTGGATAATGGAGTAATGAGGATTTTCTAAATATTGTAGTCCACATCCCTGAATAATTTAAATATAAGTCCATACACTCTTGTCTTGTCACTTTCTTGTGATGCTTTTTTTTATTTTTGTAAGATTGATGCATTAATTATTTAGTAATATGATTTCCTAACAAAACCTTTGTTTGACTAATAGTATTATTTGTTGTTTATGACACAGTATAGTTGAGTAGTTTTGTTTGTTTTTTGTCACAAAATTTCTTTCTAATACTATAAGCTAGATTAAGCCCAGGCTTAGATAAGTTAAACTACTATAATATGTTTTGATTAAAGAAATACAACATAATAGAATAATGTTTTATTCCCTTTAACAATTTCAAAGTCAGAGACCTAAATAGTAGGTAAATACCTAAATATATTGTGAAATTATTTGTTTAGTACTTTTTAGCATTTGTAATAATTTTTATTCTCTATCCTTATATTATCTAGAACAAATTCTAGGCTTCTGCTGATATATTTAATAACAGTATTTTCTAAAACACATTACAGCTTAGTTATGAGTCTTTAGTTGCATTTATTAATTTTGTGATATTGCTCAGGATGGGTTCCACCAAGTCCTATACAATAAAACCATTTGTCTTGTTTCATAGTCTATACATAAATAGCATTAGTTACAAGGTTATCTAAGCCAAGTGTTATGAGAAGTTTTAAAGAGCAGTGTTATTCTTATTATTAAACAACATACTTTAATGAAACAATATTACTATTAATTTTCTCATTCCTTTGCTTACAATACATTTATAGTTAAGTGTTGTTTCATGTTAAACATATTGTCTAGCATTTCTTTCAATCAAATCAGTGGAAGCTTGTGTTGGCCTATTCACCACAGGTAAGTGGGATTTAATTTTGAACTATTGAGCTAATTAGGGGCATATAGTTGTTCAGTTCCAAAGGAAGTAGCAAAAAACGCATTTTAACAGATTTTTTTTTAATTTATTGTTTCAAGTTGGTTGTTTTTAGTAAATAGTTATAAAAGTAACTATGTCTGTCAGTCTGTCTGTCCGGCTGTAACGCCGAAACTTCTGAACCGATTTGGTACGCAGATTCTAGAGCTGAGAAAGGACATAGGCTACTTTTTAATGCCAAAAAAGGGTTAAAAGGAGAATGAAAGTTTGTATGGAAATTCGTGATTTTTTAGCCTAGAACAATGAAACTTTATTTTTGGGCTCTTTCGAAATAGGAGTGAGAGTGGGAGTGGGAGTGAGTATACAAGTGAGAGTAGGGGTGATGTGAAGTAAGAGTGGGAGTGTTGCGGCAAAGTAGCACTTACAACACAGATTGGCCTTTTTCGATGACATGCATTGTAAAACCTTTTGCTATACGAAAGAAAAGTAGTAGCGCGTTGAATGGGGGATGAAAAGTTGTGCGGATGTATCGTAGTTAATTTTTATAGAACTTCCTAATAATATAAACGCGAAAGTAATTAAATCTATAATTAAAAATTCTACCCAAAGTCATTATTCCACGCCGACGAAGTCGCGGGCATAGCTAGTAAAAAATAAGTTTACAAATTTATTTCGCGTCTAAAATCGTTGAAAGTTTGTTTTTTTTCATAAAAAAAGTGTCGCCGCGTCAGGTCGCGGCTTGGCAAGCTTTGCAGTAAATTTTCGCAGATGTAAATACATATTATCAATACTTCTTTTTTTATGTTACTTACGTAGGTACATAAAATGATAACCGGAACGAACGAATAGAAGTTAATTTTACGAAACTAATATATTAATATTTCATTAAAATTATCTAAGAAATAAAACATCGATTTTACTAATAATCTTTTATATAAGTATACTTAATACAAAATATACTTTTGTACTACTTAGTACACTTATACTTATATACAAATAAACAAAGCCTATTTGTTTATTATGTGGGTACATTACATAAATCAGTTTCATATTAATCGTCCATTGCGATTTTTTTACCCTCCTTCTTGTCCTTAAGTCTTCTAGGGCTGGCAGTCAGATCAATCTGCTTAATTCCGGAAAGCGCTGACGCAGCCTGGAATCAGTTAAAATTGCTCATGTTTGACACCTTGAACTCTCTCTCTCTCTATCTAGAAGGGAAAGAAGGCGACAGAGGAGACCAAGAGATCGACTTGGATCTCAGAGCAAACTTGGGAACTCACTCATCGTAGGAAAACCCTTAAAATTAGAGGACTACAAGATCCAGAGGTGAGGGAGGAGTATTCTAAGGTATGTAAAGCCATAGACGAATCATGCAGACGAGACAAAAACAGGTACATACATGATCTCTGTGCAGAAATCGAAAACCACGCTCTAAATTACCAAACAGCAGATCCCTTCAACAAAGTTCGTTTACTAACGCGTAAGTTTAAGCCGAAGATGTGGGCTATAAACGACGCGAATGGAACTCCCTTACATGAGTTGGATGGGATCGCCGATAGATGGCGTTCATACTGCGAATGGCTATGAAAAACTTTCGTGCAATGAATTTTACAAGAACGCGTTCCATAGACAACAAAATATATTCATTATGCTAGGTTGTAATGTGATAACTTGTAAGCTCCTACGGGTGTAACAGGATAAAAATCTATTTAATAAATATTAATTAGAAATTATTTAGAAAACAATCTATATACTCAATGGCGAACTTACACGCTTGCTATTGGTAAAAAATTTAGACATGTGGAAACGACAGAGATAGACTAATTGGGTACTCAAGTAGAATAAAATGGGAGGCTTGTATTATTTCTGAAGGGGGTAATAAAGCACATACCAAAAGAGGAGGGTGAAGAATAATATTTTATGTTACCGGAAGTTTAGATTTTTATACGGTTTGCATTGACGTCTTTAGTATTTCAGTGATTTTATTTCAGTTTGACTGTGAAGTTATTGAAGGCATCGAGTAACCCATTTACCTGTTGTTATCTTTATTATATTAGAAGTAATAATTTTTTTTTGTAACTTTATTGTAGTTATGAAACGAATTTCTACTGTCTCTTCGTTAATAACCTGCCCTAGTAGTTAATATTTTAATCTTTTCATTTGTTTAACACCCAAACATCCAATTGGTCAGATTTACAATAAAAATAATTGATCCATGTTTAAAAATACAGCTTAATGTTTAGCTTTATTATCGGAAATCCGATTCCCCTCCTGGGGCATGGGGCGAACGCATATCTATGTCCGTTTCACTGATCCGTTTTTTAACAGGCAAGTCGTTCAAATAAAACACTTTAGTGCGTCTCCCCGTCACCACGGTTGCTGCGAAGCATCCGAAACGTCGGGCCGTAGTTAAAAATAATTTTCAAACAACTTTAACTAAAATATATCGCGTATTAAACCGCTAAAGTGTTTTATTTAAACGTTTTCTAATCGCGTAAACTACAGACAGTAGGCAAGTAGTTGATCAGACTTTTCTTGCCCGACCGAAACCTTCCCTTTGCAGGAGTTCCTTGGTTCCATGGGGAAGGTGACGCTTTCTGTTCTGCATTTTTAAGTACATCACAAGTGTCTTAGTTAAAATTTAGCATTGCGGCGGTCCAAGCCGAGGCCGATGCCCCCTCGGGGCACTCTTGGTCTAGCCGAAAACACATGTTTGCGCCCAAACGCCCGGTTAGTATTCGTGGTCCCGTCGGGACACAATACCAAATAGTCACTCAAAAAAAAAAGTAATAATTAAAAGTAAGTAATACACTGACACCGTGAGAAACCTTTATTATTGAGACTCGTAATGTGGTCCCGGTTCTCTTTTATGAAATTACCTCTGGTATTGGAACTTTCTGAACCTGGTTAAATGAGATATGGATTCTAGGCTTTTTAAACGTTCCAAGGCAGATTCATCAGGTTTTTATTTTTATACAAGCAAACGCGGTGACCTTTGTAAATTAGACAACTATAATATATTGGTATAGATAATTAAAAACCGTATTATTGGAAGACTTAAATCGGGTTTTAGTCCTATAGGAAACGTATTTCCGTTTTAAATGTACACATAGGCACAACACAACACAGTGTTAATTCAAATTCGCGGGCTTTGATCCTTCATTGGATCTGACGCTACAGTGCTGCCATTTTACTTTCATAGTTACAAAACCTTCGTTCCTATCACAGTACAATATTTCCCCTTTTACAAAAAGCTTGCACTACACTCTCTTGAACCCTCAAACACTCAAAAAATATGTTAAAGAATGATTTCTCTTTATGATCTGAAAAAAGTTCGCGAAGCTATATGTCCATCTTTTAAAATTAACTCGCAAGAACGACGGGAAGGCACCCTACCAACGTCGCGAGTAACAGGTTAAATTTATAAAAATGAAAGTTTTGGTTCTAAGTTAACAAAAACCAATTTGGATGCCTAAAATTACTATTCTACCAGAAAAATCGCTCACACAGCTAGTATAAAATAACTTACATGGTATGAAGTGGGGCCAATGCTCCACAAACAGGAGATTTGTATTTTTGTAAGCTGGGGCATACTACAAAAGCCCTATTGGAGTACAGTATTGTTTATTGATATTGTCATGAGAAGTGGCCCTATGTTAATTGTTTCTTATTTTTATTAAAGTATTTTTTACTGAATATTGCTATTTTGCAAAGCTACTGTCCGTAGTGAAAGAGATGAAAGACCCAATAGGTAAGTAGCGAATAGAAGATTCTCAATAACCTAAATAGTGCTGTGACAATTATGGTAGAAAGTGAAACGGTATTTTTTATCAGTACACCTTTACTTAAGTCAAAATTGTAAAAACAAGAAATCTTCCTATATATTTATAGAATGACAAAACGTAACACATAATATTAACGAAAATCGGTTTAAGGACAGTTATACGAAGTCATACGGACAAATAACATATTATATACGAATCGATTTTTTAAAGTTGTTATAATCGGAGGGATGGCTTGTGCGCTGTTATTGTTCTTATCTATACTAATATATAAGGCTGAAGAGTTTGTTTATTTGTTTGAACGCGCTAATCTCAGGAACTACGGGTTCGAATTTAAAAATT